TATCTTTTCAAACGCATTGATAATCTGTAATTGTTATTTTATTCGGTTTTATTGAATCAAATTACTTGTTCATAATGTTCAGTGCTACTCAATGTTTTTTTTTTTAAACTGAGAAGCAACACTATCAGGAGCGAGCGCTACATGACTTAATTATTTTTGTTGTTTGCTCCTTCTAACGGGGAACAGACTGAAAAGAATTTCCATCGCTAGATAAAAAGACCCCCTCAATCCTTATGCTATTTGTTGCGCCTTGCCCTGTTGTGATGTCTGTGTTACACAAGTTCTCATCACAGCAATTAATATCACAGTTTGAAGTCCCGTGGTGTCCTTTACAAACAGGATTTGCGTCCTTTTTGCAGTAGCTTTCGGGTCCACATGACTTTAAATGCTGATTGAAGCTTCCGTCATTTGTCGAGTAATGAACCTTGTAGCAAACTGCTTCTTTTTCTGAGCATTCTATGGTGGATGAACCATGTACACGCTCGCAGTCTTCCCATGATTTTGTACTTGAACAGAAATGACACTTTAAAGCAAAACCTTTTAACAAAATGAAACAAAAGACAAAAATTAGTGGGCAAGTATCCTGAATAGCATTTTTACAGCTTTTTTTCGCTGGTACTACTATACCCCATGCAAGAGTCATAGCTCAGTTGATAGGACGCGGTGTTAAAGTGGACCAAAATAAAGATGACCTCGTAACTGCAATAAGCACAGCCTTTATGTTTACGTCGTTAAGAGCCAACTGCGATGCTAACCGATCGATTGCCGAAGAAATTGAGCGGTCATACAAAAATAACAAATTTCTTACCATGTGGAGTGAAGAAAATGAGAAAAAGGGTCGTTAGTAGCTTCATATCAGTTCCGTTGTGCCAAGACAGATTTTCTTACTTGACTTCTTTAAATCGTTTTTGTGTTTATAGAATTTGTGATCATCAATGACCGTGCAAAACATTTTGCTGACTCAATATATCCAACGACTCTAGCGTAATATTGGTCACTTTTGTTGGCATTCAAAAATACAGAAATGGTTCAATCTTGCTTATCATGAATAAATAGAAATTAACAATTCTGGTTGGCAACTATATTATTTCGTCATAAAATCGACTATTAATTAAGGTCAAAACTCGCATGTAACTCCGACATTTTCTAAGTAGAAGCCTAGGTGATAAAATGATATCGCGGCTAAACTGTATTGTAACCATGGTTATGATAATATGATAATAATAATAAGTACTTTATTTATTCTTCGTTTTCACTGTCACGCAATAAACACGGCACAAAAAAATACATTTGAAACCGTCCAGTGGAAGAAGCCAAGAAAATGACATGTTATAAAAGACTAATATATGAGCAATTTGTCCAAATCTCAGGTCTTTGTGGCCCACAGTTTCTGAGTTAGTTGCCGAAACATTTCACGCACCTTTGTAGAGCTTTGTATGGAGACGCCATATTGGTGGACAGAAACTGTCCACCAATATGGCCGCCGGAAATCAACAAAAACATCTGGAGTTCACTTTTTCTATAAAAGCTCCTTGTTTTCACTCGAGAACTAGCATACTTGCGCATAAACATATCTTCTAATTCTTGAAATGGTTAAACTGCTGAAAATCAAGCGGAGAGACTTTTTTCAAGGAGATAGCTTTCCTATTTTTGTGTCACGCACTGTGAAAACTCGGAAGTTTAAACTGCTGTATTTTCGAAATGAAACATGCTTCGGGGCTGGAAACTTGTACAAAGATTTATTTCCTATTAATCTTCAACCTAGTGTAAATAAGAATTCTTAAAACCTCGCTTTTTTGACTTTGCAATCTGATGACGTCACCGTGAAAACCATCAATATTGTAAAAAATAGATCAGCTGTGTCCTGGCTGTGTATAAAAAAAGCTGTTATAAACCTATGTGCCGTAATAAAATATTTCAAGATTAAAAAGACAATAGTACATGGTAAAAAAGCGGAAAGACTAATATTTACAATAAAAAAGGTGTTTACTTAATCAAATGAGTTAATCTACAATCTACATTTATGCTGTGTTTTGTCTTGTTCTTGCAAATACTCAAATGTCTTTCCTTTAAAAGATCCTTAAGTTAGGCCTTCAGCCCGTAATTCATTGGGTAAATCATTGGCTTCTATGAGTTCATAGACTGTTCACAGTCCCCTATTTTTCCGCGAGATCGTCGAGATCGAGCGCGTCTTACCATTAATGGCGGCCATCTTTATTTTACCCCCTAGAACTATAATCCCCGACGCCCGCCCCCTCGGTACATCTAAAAATCAAGATGGCCGCCATTAACGGTAAGACGCGCTCGATCTCGACGATCACACGGAAAAATAGGGGACTGTGAACGGTCTAATGTGTTCACACTATAACAGATGGCTTTTGCGCCGGCACGAAAACCATACCCGACCTTAGGGCTTCTGTTCACACCTACGAACGTAGCCTCCCCGCAGACGTCCTTTGGGGTTCGTTTGTCACGCATTCATTTCATGATTGCGTGACAAACGAACCCCAACGGACGTCTGCGGGGGGCTACTAAGAACGGTGATTTCGGCGCGATTTCTGTAACGAAGAGAAGCTGCGTATCACCGATCTCTAAATTATACAGTGGAGAGTAACATAACGGATAGGTGTTCATACTATACACCGTAATTTTAAGGGAGTTATTATAACTCCAAAAATGGAGTAAAAATTTTAGGCACAGGATAACCCCTTTTTGGGGGGGTTATTTTAACCCCTAATTTAACTCCGAATTTAGAGTCATTTTTACTCCTGAAAAAGAGTTCTTTTTACTCCCATGCAGTCTGGAGTTAAAACCAATCCGAAATGGGGTTACTTTTACTCCTTACGTGGGTTATTTTTACTCTTTTGGAGTTAATTTAACTCTGAAAGTGACGTGGGTCGACCCAAAAAAAATTTAGAAGGGTTTGTATGGAGTTTTCTAAGCATAACTGGGCTATGATCTCAGAGACAATTTGCCCCGAAATGCTCATTTTTGGTAAGTAGGCCTCTTGAACATTGTTCTTTCAGAATATCCTGACAAATCCCATAATTTCAGAAATTTCATTTTTATGACGTCATCACTTTAGTACTCTATACCTCTCGTCCTTGCCTAGGCCCTGTACGGCGTTTTCCCAGTCCCTCTCGGTCAATACTTTTCGGTGACGTATCCGAGGCGAACAGGGGGGGGGGAAACTCGCATTTTCGCCTGGGTCACGTGACCCGAAACGCTTTGGCCCCGTGGAGTAATGAGGCCTAGGGACTAGGCAACTCTCGTCCCTTTTCCCCCCTGAGGTTTGTGAGCGAGAAGGACCGTTAATCGAGAGAAAATTTGTAAAGGGAAATTGACCGCTACAACATATTATTCCGTGAACTATTAACTGCAAATAAAGCTTATTTAATTTCAAATCTGCATGGGCCAACATCAAAAAAAGAGAAAGAAGATTTTTTAGTCAGTGATAAAGGCGGTTCGGAAGACTCTGACTACTCTCCAAAAAAAGTCGAACCCATGATCTTCTCGTTCCTACTCCAGATGCTCTACCACTAAAATACTGAGGTTCAAGATTACAAGACAGTTTCACAGTTCAAAGTGGTTTAATCAATGTAGAAATGAATTAGACTAGGTCAGTGGGCCGTAATCTGAGATCCTTCTTCTGCAGTTGGTGGCTGAAATGAGCACTCATTATCATTCACAGATGTTTTCTTAAAACTCACGGGAGGCACTTGGGTCTGTCTTGCATAAGCAGTTCATAGCTGTCCTTAACTTTTAGCGATGATTTACATTTAAGTTGTTTGACACATTTATAACGACAAAATACATTGCTTCATAAATGTGTAAAACAACTTAATGCAAATCTTAAAAATGTCTTTACATTGTATTTTCCCCCAAGTACTGTAAAAACACTTATGTTAGAAAAGCGGCAGAGGCTATCTTCAGTGTCAAAAACTGAATTTTTTAACACTGTTTTAGCGTGAGCCAGTTATTCAGACAAAATCAGAGTGAACTAAGACATAGCGTCTTCCTTTACTTGCGTTTGTGGATATAATTTCAATTGTATAACTCCTGAATTTCTGTTTAATCCATCTTCCCACTTAATTCACGTGTTTGTGGAGATTAACGGACTTGAGTTTTTGTGCTCCGTGAACTTATAAGTAGGCCAACCAAGTTCAGTTCACCTAGAGTGATTTGTTTTTTATCCCTTAACTATGCCGCCTGAAAAGAACGACAAAAATCAAATGTTCATTTGTAGGCCATAAAAGTAGGCCAACCAAGTTCAGTTCACCTAGAGTGATTTGTTTTTATCCCTTAACTATGCGCCTGAAAAGAACGACAAAAATCAAATGTTCATTTGAATTCTGACCATGAACATGAGGAGTTTTCGATCAACTCTGCGCCGAACGAATTGGATTCGAAATTGGATTGTAAGATGGCGCCTCTCGATGATAAACTCGACCGCCGCTTGAGACAGCACAGTGAGCAGATTAATGACTTATCCGTTAAATTATTCGGAGTGTTAAAGAAAGAGCTCGGTGAGCTGAATACTCTCATTTGTGATGCCCCCTCATTTGTATTCGTTCCAATCCAGAGTTAAAAACTTTCTTCTTTCTTGTTACTGAATTCTTAACTTAATTTTTAGTCTTTGTTTAGTTTTTCGTTACTACATGTATTTTAAATGCATTACTCCGCGAACTTCATTTTACTTATTTCTTTGTGACTGGGGAGCCCAGGCTTCATAAGCCTTCTGGTTTCTTCTGGGCTCCCTTGCCAACTTAACATTCTTGTATGTATTCTTGCATTGTAATTTACTTTGGCTAAATAAAACTGAACTGAACTGAACTCGTCTCACTAAGTATCCATCTTTATACCGGGCATGGCCATGATAAAAGTCTAAACGCAGCTGTAAACGCTTTATAAGTTTCTTTGAGCTAATTAGCCAAGGCCAGACAGCTCCTCTAAAATTCTAAAATTCATGGCACAAGAAGCCTACTTCGATTGTCTCGCTATCACATTACTAAACGTATCACAAGTAGAACGCCTGTTGTCGTTGCAAAGAGAGCTCCATTACCAGTAATGACTGAGCCGGCGTTACACAAGTTCTCATCACAGCAATTAATATCACAGTCTGAAGGCCCGAGATGTTTTTTACAAACGGGATTTGCTTCCTTCTTGCAGTAGCTTTTCGGTCCACATGACTTTGCATACTGGTTAAAACCGCCCTCCTTTGTCGAGTAATGAACCTTGTAGCAAACTGCGTCCTTAAAAGAGCAGTCTTTGGTGGATAAACCATCCTTGCAGTCTTCCCATGACTTTGTACTTGTGCAATAGTGGCATTTTAAAGCAAAATCTGAAAAAAAATATTTAAAAATAAATAAATAAGCGTAAAGTGGGAGAAGTGATTTTCCGTCTTGACTCTTTATCACGGGAAGAGAATTATACCCCTGCTTCGTGTTCCCAGTCAGGTAGGCGTAAAGACACTGAAAAGACACACACTGAAGACACAACACCGACTGAATTTTCTATGACAATATCAATCAATAACTATTGTTTTTGTTTTTTTTTTTCTTCGTATTTTTATAATCAAAATAATATCAGGCCGGAGAAAATGGGGGGTCTGCCGTGAGACTGGATTTGGAATTTCTCTTTTTATTTTTTTCATCAGGCATTTGCAGATTAGTAAGACTGCGGGTAAGGTGGAAATGATTTCAATCAGCCAAGCTTTTCACGAATGAACTGCATGACCAGAAATTGCTGCAGTCCCTGAGCTGAAATGTTTCTAAGTTATGTTTAAGACAGACAAGACTGAGTATAACAACATTGCACCTGAGATAAGGCTTAGTTAATTGGGCTGGGCCACTATTGTATAGTTCATATTGCCGATAATGAGATTTACGCGTCCTTGTTTGCATTTAAGGAACGAAAAACGTACTTGTAAATGACTAAATCACAGTTTTGTGTCATACAAATATCTCTCCCAAAAAATACATCAAACGATAAAAGCAACAAAATTGAACTTTGAAAATCTATCAGGCTGACAAGTTTTCAAAAACCACAATTGCAATCCGTTTCAATATCCTTCAAATTTGTCCATCCGTTCGGCCTGTTTTACATTTTATGACGTGTTATTTATGCCTAGTTTGTTAACAGTTCGAGCAGTTATTTTTGTTTCACCAAGAGAGAATCGTTATCTCTTGGTTTCACTTAATCATGTGGCAGTCTACTCTTTAAATTTTGATAAATTACGTGACATAGTACATACAGTTTCTTTAATGGCCACTAATCTTTACGGTACCTTTTATAACACTAGACTTATTCTCAATAATACAGTGTAATACAAGAGAGGATAAAGCTTTATCCTCTCTTGATGTAATATCAGTGTTGTACTAAATACAGTTGCTATGCTTATCAGGAGCCCGGGGAGGGGGGGGAGGGTACTCCCTATGATGGCCTATACGGGGAGGCTCCACCCGAAAAGGGTACCTTTTTCAGGCCTCAGGTATATGAAAGGGTAGGGAGTTCACTAGTTGTATATATAAAAGGGTAGAGAAATCTGTCATTCTGGTCCGTGAAAGGACCCAAAACATGAGCTTACTGATGAATTTTAAGGCTTCATAAAGTCGAGTAAACGTTCTATTTTTGTGATTGATTCCTTATTTAAAAGGACAGTAGATTTACAACAGTTAAAAGGGATGCAAAGTTCTAAGCAAAGGATGTGTAAGAGGTTCCGTACCATTTGTCAATAGAATGTTTACGAAAGGGGTACCTTTTTTCGTGAAAATCCCCGTATAAACATTTGTTGCGTATCCCCCCAGCCCCCTCGGATCAGGAGCCTTAGCAATAGCCTCCTTACAATAAAGGGGCTATGTCAAGAGGACATTGCTGGTTTAGGCCAATTATGTGCTAACTTATTAGTGCTTTTACTCATACACGAAATAGTCCTGAATAGTTATTTAATATCAGGCCGGAGAAAATGGGGGGTCTGCCGTGAGACTGGATTTGGAATTTCTCTTTTTATTTTTTTCATCAGGCATTTGCAGATTAGTAAGACTGCGGGTAAGGTGGAAATGATTTCGATCAGCCAAGCTTTTCACGAATGAACTGCATGACCAAAAATTGCTGCAGTCCCTGAGCTGAAATGTTTCTAAGTTATGTTCAAGACAGACAAGACTGAGTATAACAACATTGCACCTGAGATAAGGCTTATAGTTAATGGGCTGGGCCACTATTGTATAGTTCATATTGCTGATAATGAGATTTACGCGTCCTTGTTTGCATTTATGGAACGAAAAACGTACTTGTAAATGACTAAATCATAGTTTCGTGTCAAACAAATATGTCTCCCAAAAAATACATCAAACGATAAAAGCAACAAAATTGAACTTTGAAAATCTATCAGGCTGACAAGTTTTCAAAAACCACAATTGCAATCCGTTTCAATATCCTTCAAATTTGTCCTTCCGTTCGGCCTTTTTTACATTTTATGACGTGCTATTTATGCCTAGTTTGTTAACAGTTCGAGCAGTTATTGTTGTTTCACCAAGAGATAATCGTTATCTCTTGGTTTCACTTAATCATTTGGCAGTCTACTCTTTAAATTTTGATAAATTACGTGACATAGTACATACGGTTTCTTTAATGGCCGCTAATCTTTACGGTGCCTTTTATAACACTAGACTTATTGTCAATAATACAGTGTAATACAAGAGAGGATAAAGCTTTATCCTCTTTTGGTGTAATATCAGTGTTGTACTTAATACAGTTACTATGCTTATCAGGAGCCCGGGGAAGGGGGGGAGGGTACTACCTATGATGGCCTATACGGGGAGGCTCCACCCGAAAGGGGTACCTTTTTCAAGCCTCAGGTGTGTGAAAGGGTAGGGAGTTCACTAGTTATATATATAAATGGATAGGGAAATCTGTCATTTGGGTCCGTGAAAGGGCCCAAAACATGAGCTAACAGATGAATTTTAAGGCTTCATAAAGTCGAGTAAACGTTCTATTTTTGTGATTGATTCCTATTTAAAGGACAATGCATTTACAGCAGTGAAAAGGGATGCAAAGTTCTAAACAAAGTATGTGAAAGGGGTTCCGTACGATTTGTCAATAGAATGTTTACGAAAGGGGTACCTTTTTCGTGAAAATCCCCGTATAAACATTTGTTGCGTACCCCCCCCAGCCCCCTCGGATCAGGAGCCTTAGCAATAGCCTCCTTATCATAAAGGGGGCTATGTCACGAGGACATTGCTGTTTTAGGCCAATTATGTGCTAACTTATTAGTGCTTTTACTCATACACGAAATAGTCCTGAATAGTTATTAAAAAGGTATCAAACAACTGAATTCTATAAGGGAGCACTAATCATCGGATCAGGAGCCCATAGGATCCTTCCATAATAAGTTGTTTGCGGGTAATTTATGAAGGCATAGCATTAAAATTTTAGTTATTTCAAGTTTCAATCCAAATTCATTATTGTCATCGGTGGCAACAAATCATGAACAAATGGCAGGAATCAGTTTTAATGTCTACCTAAAAGGGTCGACAAAATTTGAATGACCGGACTAAAGTGGGTGTTCTGTTCTTGGCCAAAAAACAAAATCAAATTTCGTTTTAAAAGATATACATGTAATCCGCAGTAAGCGAAAGTTCTGTCGATGAGGTTTCATTTGTAATAGTAACACCATAGTATGGTTGACAAATAATCTCGTCAGTATGTGACGAATAAATAACAGATCATATCAATAAATCGACCTACAAAAGAACCAGTTATTTTGCTTTCTGTTATTCAATCGGAAAGCCCTCACGGAAGTGACTGTACACTCACCACTGCACGCTCGGGCGAACTTTTTGTGTCTACGAAAAACTGACTGACGAGTTGTTAACTCATGTGAGGTATCTTCTCGGTTTGACCAGTTTAAATATTTCAGGAAAGTAAAAACTCAGGGAAAAAGCTATTGAACTAGCCTGCTAGGATTCACTTAATTCCGAGGTCTTTCCGATTGAAGTAACACAAGTAATGCAGCATAATATGTAGTGGACGTATTATAGGTTTATTTATTCATTTTATTCACGACCCAGAATATTTCTTCACTGAAGTAATTCATGCATCAATTTTCCAAACTGATCTAAAAGGAAAGTTAAAATGCTGACGTCTGTACGGAGACCTCCTGATATAATTCAAAAAAAGCTAGCGGTAACACAACTGATCCAGAAAACATCGAGACAAATCATCCTTTTCAACGACCCTTACAGACGCACAACAGACGCACTGGAATGTTCACCGATTCATAACCGATTTTCAGAAAGTTTTGGAAACTGAGAGTTACAGTATTGAAATAGCGGAAATACTCCACTTATCATAAATAAACTCCTTACCATTTGGAATGAGGGCAATGAGAAACAGGGTCACAAATAGCTTCATATCGGCTCGGGTCTCATCCAAACGCTTTCCGGCTTAACTTCGTTGCTTATGCGTATCACACGTATAAACGGTGACTAATGAAATGGCCAAGTAAACATGCTATGCAAACCATTTTGCTGACTAATGTAGACAATATTCACTTAATGACAGGTCCCGAGGGTAACAGGTCTCGAGGGTAACGGTTACTTTTGTTTTCCCGATAGTCCAGATATTGCCCGGGAGGAATCGACGAGGAGTGGAGGAAAACATCAGGACTCAAGGGGAAACGAAAATATCAAAAATTTCTGGTTTCCCGAGGAACTTGCATGTGATTTGCGTTTTGTTATATTTCTAGACTCGGCTGAAGAAGCTCTTAGTATACTAAGCTTTTAATGGAATGATGATGACGATAAAAATGATGAATGCCTGCATGTTTTGCAGGCCGCTGGTAGAAACAAGGCAAAAATAGCCTTGTGTGTAATTTTCCAAGGGCAAACCATAAAATAAATCCATGGCTTTTTATATCATGCTTTGCGAGTCCTAGCAACTGGGCTTAAGGGGGATTACAGTTGAATTTTGGGGGAATTGGGGTTGAATTGACAATGAAAGAAAGAAGAATAGAAGAGGGTATACACGTAAACCAGTTATTCCGCTATTTGGTTCAGGGCCACCTTTTTGTGGTGGCGGACTGTGTACTGAGTTTATTGTCTATTAATTATTCATTTCAAATTTTAATTTTTAGCTACCCTTAAATCTAATTTTTCCATTTGACTTTTAATATTTGCCCTTCAATCTTTTATTGATTACAAATATGCTAATAATCACCAAAAACTCTCAAAAACTCATCGTTCCAAGAACTTAAGGATGAGTGATTTATTTTTAACATCGAATGACATTTTGACGAGATTTTCCAGGAAAGGTGCTCACGTATAACACAAACAAGGCAATTAACTGTAATCCCCCCTTAATTCCGCAGCCGGACCTCTTTAGAATCAGTTCAAACGTCTAAACAAAGACACCTATAGCTGGGTGACGAGCCCCTGGATTTGTAAGAGCTTTGTGAAAACTAAGAAAGAGGCAGCCTTTCGCAAAAAGATGAGAAGTTATTAAAAGGCTTATAATTGCCGATAACGACGGCTACGAGAACGACAAAAATAAAAAAAAACTGGGCCGAATATTTAAACGAAGTTTAGGTTAGACCCGTTTTTTGACTAAATCGAGGTTAAGACAAGGCCTCCAAAGACCACGGCTTGGCGTGGTCTAAATTGTATTATTTAAATGCGGTCGAGCAGCATTCCACGGAGACCACCTCTAAGGGGTGTTTCTAAAACGAAGACCCAAAAACGAAGACCTAAGACTTAAGACCCCATGGACTAAAACGAAGACCCCATGGACTAAAACGAAGACCTCTTGGACTAAAACAAAGACCCCATGGACTAAAACGAAGACCCCTTGGACTAAAACGACGACCCCTTTGACTAAAACGGAGACCCCTTAAACGAAGACCCCATAGACTAAAACGAAGACCCCTTGGACTAAAACGAAGACCACATGGACTAAAACGACTGATGCTAACCGCTGAGGGCAATGCCCGCTCTCGTAATTTGTTACGGCGATTTGGGAATGTTGTGGAATTTCCTCTGCAATATTTAGTTGTGACAGGCTCCTGGTTGTGATCATCAAGTCTATCACTTACCTTTCCTTCAGGTTTCTTTGAAAATAGGATCATCTAGTGTGTCGTGTGCACAGGGAACCCGAACGCTGTATTAACTAATAGAAAAATTAGACGTATTCACGCTGTATTAGCTAATAAAATATGTATTTACCTTTGTTTCGGTGTCTTTATGGGTCGTTTTGAATCCGATCAGAGACGGTTAACATTGCTAGTTATCGAATGCGTTTGCTTGCCTGGTGCGGGGCGGGGTGTTTCTAAAACGAAGACCTAGGACCAACACCCCATGGACTAAAACGAAGACCCCTTCGGCTAAAACGAAGACCCCTTTGACTAAAACCAAGATTCCTTGGACTATAACGACTGATGCTAACCGCTGAGGGCAATGTCCGCTACTTTAATTTGTTACGGCGATTTGAGAATGTTGTGGAATTTCCTCTGCAGTATTTAGTTGTGATAATCAAGTCTATCACTACGTACCTTTCCTTCAGGTTTCTTTGAAAATATTTTGCATGTTTTAAACCACTTTGGAAGTGTTTAAGGTGATGACGACGTCAGTTTTATTTAAATTGAAGCTTTTTGCAGGATCAAGGTGAGAGAGCCTTCCTGGCCTTGTGGTAAAACCATGATGTTGAAATAAAGGTCCTAGGTTCGAGTCTCGTCAGACATGCTTTTTTTTTCCTTGTCTTTTTCCTTCTTTTTCTTTTATTATTATTATTTTTTATCACAGTTATCATAAAAACAACTGTTTAAGCCGTAAAGATGAGTCATTTTTCAACAATAGAGGACAGAATATGGTAACAGCGTATGACAGGGATATAAATAAAACAAACAAAACCCGGCATAAAGACAAATGAACCTCGACATGTTAACCTTTACTCGAGTAATGTTCTCGATCGAAGGCTTTTTTCTCTATTGATGAGGTAAAAAGTAATAAATAGAGCGCGAGGTTCATCTGTCCTTGAATTCGTCAATGAGAAATGTCTCCTTGTTATTTCCTTCCTATACTACGTGTTGTCACTGTTTGTTTTTTAAATGCATTGATACAACTCTTTGACATTTAAGAAAGCTGGAACACGCGGTTATATTTTCTTAACTCATTACACCCGGGATGACACCCAAATCATTCGACATTGAATTTCGAACTAGTCTGCTTACAGTCTCATATTTTTCTTTGCTAGGAGCCGATTACTACGACTCCTGTCATTGCAAAGGGTCCAAAGTTACTTGCATGCGAAACCCAAGCACAAGGGCGTATTAAAGCCCGAGAGGAAAAAATAAATAAGTGACCGTCTTTTCTCGTCTCGACGTCCAAATCCCTGATTATATCGTAACGTCGGGGTTTGCAATCGCGCTGGCTAAGATAGAAACTTGACAGATTTTAAGAGAAAAGGCGGACTGCAAGCAGTATAATGTCGAACCACAAAAAAGGCAATGGACTCCCTCCTCCCCCAAACCCCAACTACGCGCCCCGAACACGTTTGTTGGAAGTCTTCAAGACAAACCCTGTCATAAGCCTTTTTGATTGTCAGGCCTCCCATGGCCACTCTGATGACCTCTGGGCTCGTCACGCCTTCCTCTTCACAAGGGCGCATTATTTATGAGGGTGGGGAAGGGGGGAAAGTCCTCCCTTTTGTGACCTCTCTTGGCCTCTGAATTACAATCGGTGCCAGGAAGTGAATTTCGAAATGAGAATTCCGCATTAATGAATCACAAGAGAACCAGCAAGAGAAACAATTTATTCGGCCTTTAACATATAGAAATAGTGCACTGAAAAAATGCTCTTTACATGACGTAATGAATGATGTTATTTGGTGCGAATTTACAATTTTTTCCCGCGCATTTAGAATTGCCCTTCGACATGTAAACATCTTGAATCAATGGAATCTTCGCTTTAGTCCATGAGATCTTCGCTTTAGTCAAAGGGGTCTTCGTTTTAGTCCAAGGGGTCTTCGTTTTAGTCCATGGGGTCTTCGTTTTAGTCCAAGGGGTCTTCGTCAATGAGAAATGTCTCCTTGTTAGGTATTCGCTCATCCTCGGAGACCCAGGGGCAGTTAGTCGGGTCGATAAAATGTTCGTGGTGAAAGTTTACTGTAAGATCGAGACGAGCTCGTCTCGATCTCACAGTAAACTTTCACCACGAACATTTTATCGACCCGACTAACTGCCCCTGGGTCTCCGAGGATGGTATTCGCTGAGATGTTGGTGAAAATTTTGCAGGAGCAAGACTTTGAAACTTTTTTAAGTCTCTCGCCATGACTGAGTGCAATCTACGGCAGATCTAAATCATGGCAAGCATTTATACAAAGCCGATCATACACAATAAAACTTTTTTAATTGCATCAGATTCGCTAGCGTACTTACAAAAACCCTTTACTTAAATCTTCCTTGTAAAAGGCCTTCCCATGCAAAGCAAGCATGTATACAAAGAAGAACATACACTAAAACTACTTCTTTTATTGCATCAGCTTTCGGACAGTATACATAAAAAAAAACCTTTGCAAGCGAATCACTCTGAGTTCGGAAAAAAGGTGCAGCTATGAATGATGTCTTGTTTTTATCGTTCCACAGACTAGAAGCTCAATATTTGTTAGACGGTGAGTAGTTTTAACTCCTTGAAAGCTACCCCAAACTCACTCGCTAATAATTTCAAGCATTCTTGGGTTGACTTCCTCCATTACTTGTATAGCTGCAAGTAAGACTGCCTCCCTGAACAAGAAATCATATTTGCTATGATACATGGCCTCATAATACCGACGAAAAGTTCGATAAGGCTGTATTGTTCGAAGCGATAAGAGTCCAGCTGCTTCAGTTTGCGAAAGATTTTCTTTCCTTCTCGGCTTTTACAGAGTTAGTATACTCTTCTTCGTTAATTTTTCAGAGACGGCTTAAAGGCCTTCTTCAGTCTTTCTTACAGAAATGGTACATTCTTTTTCGTTCTTCTTTAAAACTTCGCGATACTCTTAGTGTTCGCTCTTTTTTATGACAACGGTATTCTCTTGTTCGTTCCCCTTCAAAACAAGGGTGATGTCTTTTTCTCTCTTTTTTATAGTTAGGATAATTGTGAATTCTTCTTCCTTGTTTTGCCGCTCTTCCATAGGAGCCACGTCGCAAATATCCATGGCTGGTTGCATTTGAGGCTCCTCTTCTGCAAACACTTCATCCATTTCATAGTCAGCACTAGTCTGCAGAGGGGTACACGCAAGACTTTGAGGATCCTCTTCGGCAAACACTTCATCCATTTCATAGTCAGCACTAGTCTCCAGAGGGGTACACGCAAGACTTTGAGGATCCTCTTCGGCAAACACTTCATCCATTTCATAGTCAGCGCTAGTCCCCAGAGGGGTACACGCAAGACTTTGAGGATCCTCTTCGGCAAACACTTCATCCATTTCATAGTCAGCGCTAGTCTCCAGAGGGGTACACGCAAGACTTTGAGGATCCTCTTGATCACTCATCACATAGTCTGGCTCCATCGTCTAAACAAGACTTTGTGAAGTTTGGTGTGTGTGCTCTCTTTTTATGACCCATACTATATGACGTCATTAAAAAAAACATTAAATATTTGTAAACGCTGTTATCAAAAACGAAGAGGAATACAATTTTATACTGTCTCTGTAGAAAAGACCCGGAGAAGGGTAAGCCGTCTCTGACAAAATATACGAAGAAGAGTATACTAGCTCTGTAAAAAAGACGGAAGAAAGTGGTTCAGTGGTTAGAACGTCCGAACGAAGGAGTCCAAGGCATAATAGGGAAATTGCCCACCAGATGCAAAGTTCTGCGACCCGCAGGGACCGCGGAGGGGGAGGGGCTGGTAGGGCTGCGGCCCCACCACTTTTTTGCGCCCCCGCCCCCACTTTTTGCGCTAAAAAGAAAAATAATTCAAATAAAAAAAAGACTTGAAACAAGTTTTTTCCGTCTATATTCCGCTATATTCTCTGTATTTTCTTTAATTTCAAACGCCAGGCATTTTGTGGGGCCCTGTGCTTTTCGCGGTAATTGTGCTCTGGGGCCGACTTGCCCCTTGATCAAACGCCATGCCTTGGCCACCCCTTCGCTTCTTTCGGCAGCGTGTTTTGTACTTCCAGCTCCGGCAGAGTTTTTTATCAGTTTTATCAGACGAAATGAAGAAAATTACTAGCCCTTTCCAGCCAAACGAAGGTGAGTAGTTGTTTTGAGTTAATAAAAGTTTTATCTTTTGTCAGTTTCTCCTTTCGAATCAATGAAATATTCGATGGCAAGAAGAATTATATTACTTGAACAGTGAGCGGCCATAGTTAGAAATTTTTCAGATCACTTCAGTGTAGTATTTTCTATACTAAAATTGTAATCGCGTCTTTTCTTGCATTGAATCTGAACTGACCGTGTATGTTGGCCGACCTATAAAGAGCAACAAATACACTGGATAAAGTATGCAAAGTCACGCGACAGAAACAAATCAAATACTATGATTTTATTCCTTTTTTCGATTTTCAATATGAAAAAATTATTGTCAACCCTGCCACTTTTCACCTTGCTCCGCGGTCCCTGACCCGTCTTACCATTTTCCCTGCCTCGACTCGTCCGATGTGTGAATTAAAAGGTGGCATCGGCTCGGACACACTAGTAGATTGTGAAACCGCGAAACCCGAGAACAAGTCTGCAGGCCCTGGCCCCTGTAAGGGGCCAAGTGATTGCAGGAGACCAAGGCATAACTGGGAAATTGCCCACCAGAAAGAAGCAAAGTTCTGGGACCGGTCTTACCGTGTCTCCTACGTAGACTCATCCAATGTGTGAATCAGTAAGTAAGTCAGTCATATTAAACGAAGAAAAAATCTTGTGAAAAAATCGATGAAAACTGCACTTGCATCTCTCACTCTTTCCAAGCACGGATCTTCTTGGATCTGTACATCGCCTTTAATCTCTACGCCGAAATATCTCTACATCTTGTCATCCTCTTAAATCTTTTTGCCAGGAGTTGCGGTTCCTCCTTCATTCAGGGCCATCTCAGTGATGCAAAGATCCGACAAAAACCACCGGAGGAAACAAGCGCCCTACATACTTGTGTATGCCTCGTTCTATAAGCTAGGATCTGACAAAAGCCACCCGAAGAAACAAGCGCGCTACTCACAGGGTATCATTCGTTCTATACGCGAAGATCCGACATAAGCCACCCGAAGAAACAAGCTTCTACTCACGGGGTATGCCTCGTTCTCTAAGCGAAGATCCGACATAAACCACCCGAAGAACGCGCTACACACGGTGTATGTCTCGTTCCATAAGCGAAGATCCGATATAAGCCACCCGAAGAAACAAGTGAGCTACTCACGGGGTATGCCCCGTTCTATAAGCAAAGATCCCACATAAGCCACCCGAAGAAACAAGCGCCCTCTCACAAGGTACACCCCGTTCTATAAGCGAAGATCCGACATAACCCACCCGAAGAAAAAACGCGCTACACACAGTGTATGCCTCCTTCTATAAGCGAACATAAGACATAAGCCACCCGACGAAAAAACGCGCTACGCACGGTGAGTGCCTCGTTCTATAAGCGAAGATCTGACATAACTGAGCGACCCGAAGAAACAACCCGCTACACACGCTGTGTGCCTCGTTCTATAAGCGAAGATCTGACATAACTGAGCGACCCGAAGAAACAACGGCCCTACGCACGGTGAGTGCCTCGTTCTATAATCGAAGATCTCACATAACTGAGCGACCCGAAGAAACAACGTGCTACACACGGTGTGTGCCTCGTTCTATAAGCGAAGATCTGACATAACTGAGCGACCCGAAGAAACAACGCGCTACGCACGGTATGTGCCTCGTTCTATAAGCGAAGATCTGACATAACTGAGCGACCCGAAGAAACAACGTGCTACACACGGTCTGTGCCTCGTTCTATAAGCAAAGATCTGAGATAAGTCACCCAAGGAAAACACGCGCTATACACGGTGTATGCCTCGTTCTATGAGCAAAACGCCGACATAAGCCACCCGGGGAAAAAACGCTCTACACACGGTGTGTGCCTAGTTCTACAAGCAAAATGCGACATAAAACTCGAGGAAAATAAGCGCTAAACATGGTGTATGCCAGGTTCTATAAGCGAAACTCTGACATAAGCCACCTGACGAAAAAACGCGCTACACACGGTGTATGCCTTGTTCTATAAGCAAAAGTCTGACATAAGCTACCAGAGGCAAAAAAGCGCTACACACGGTGTATGCCTCGCTCTATAAGCAAAACTTTGTCATAAGCCACACGCCGAGGAAAAACCGCGCTACACACGGTGTGTGCCTCGTTCTATAAGCAAAACTCCGACATAAGCCACCCGAGGAAAAAACGCGCTACACACGATGTATGCCTCGTCCTATAAGCAAAACTCCGACATAAGCCACCCGAGGAAAAAACGCGATACACACGATCTTTGCCTAGTTGTATAAGCAAAAATCGGACATAAGCCACACGCCGAGGAAAAACTGCGCTACACACGGTGTGTGCCTTGTTCTATAAGCAAAAATCGGACATTAGCCACCCGAGGAAACAACGCGCTACACACGGTGTATGCCTCGTATGCCTCGTTCTATAAGCAAAACTCCGACATAAGCCACCCGAGGAAACAACGCGCTACACACGGTCTTTGCCTAGTTGTATAAGCAAAAATCGGACATTAGCCAGCCGAGGAAAAAAAGCGCTACACACGGTGTGTGCCTAGTTCTATAAGCAAAACTCCGACATAAGCCACCCGAGGAAACATCGCTCAACACACGGTGTGTGCCTCGTTCTATAAGCAAAAATCGGACATAAGCCAGCCGAGGAAAAACTGCGCTACACACGGTGTGTGCCTAGTTCTATAAGCAAAACTCCGACATAAGCCACCCGAGGAAACATCGCTCAACACACGGTGTATGCCTCGTTCTATAAGGAAAACTCCGACATAAGGGACCCGAGGAAAAAACGCCCTACACACGGTCTTTGCCTAGTTGTACAAGCAAAAATCGGACATAAGCCACACGCCGAGGAAAAACTGCGCTACACACGGTGTGTGCCTCGTTCTATAAGCAACAATCGGACATAAGCCACACGCCGAGGAAAAAAAGCGCTACACGCGGTGTGTGCCTAGTTCTATAAGCAAAACTCCGACATAAGCCACCCGAGGAAACATCGCTCAACACACGGTGTATGCCTCGTTCTATAAGGAAAACTCCGACATAAGTCACCCGAGGAAAAATCGCGCTACACACGGTGTGTGCCTAGTTCTATAAGCAAAACTCCGACATAAGCCTTCAGAGGAAACAACGCGCTACACACGGTGTATGCCTCGTTCTATAAGCAAATATCCCACATAACCCACGAGAAGCAACAAGTGCGCTAGACACGGTGTATGCCTCGTAGTTAGTTGAATTGAGTCTTTAATTTCCTTTGAAAAAAACTTTGCGCTCGAAACAGTACAGTGTTAGAAAAAGTGCAACTATGAATGATCTCTTGCTTTTAGAGTTCCATTGCCGGGAAGATATCGTTCATTATTTGGTCCACGGTGGGTCTGACCAGTTGCATCATTTGCTGCACTAAAATCCCTCTTACTGCCTCCAACATCGCAGGGATGACTTCTTCCATGACTTGTCGCTGCATGTTACACTGCCACCGTAAACTACTGATGACTCTTTCCATCATCGTTTGCCCCATCATGCCAATAAGATGTCCCGTCACTTCAGGTTGTTTTGGTCGCGTTACAGAGCCAAATCGTTCTGTCAGGTTTGCGTTTATCGCAGAGAAGATAGCGTCCATCACTTTGTCTATAATAGACGGAAACAGTACTTCTACCTGATCATTAATAATCGAGGAAATGTTCTTAGTTATTTCATCCGACATGGTGGCGAGGACTGGTTTGTGAAATTGTTCCATCGGAGTCCCTTCACTCGTATCCATGGCTTGAGGTTCCTCTTCAAATGCCTCGGTCATTTCCTGGTCATGTTCCATCGTTGCGTACAAACAGGCCGTTTCTGACGTTTGGTGTGTGCGATCTCTCTTTTTATAAGGCCAACTTTATGACGTCATTAAAAAAAGTTAAAGTTTGTTTTAGAAAGAGTAAATGGGACTCAGTTAATGGCGAGAGACTTGGAAAATTTCAGCCAAGTGCGACGTCGATGAATCCACAACGACGGAAAGGTCAACGTCCAAGAGGAATTTGAAAATGTTGCAAAACTAACTCTATTAGCTCCGACGGAGAACCAGTGGGAGTGGGCGAGAGGGTTAGAAAATTTCTTGTTCTATGAGCAAACATCCGACATAAGCCACACGAAGGAACAAGCCCGCTACACACGCTGTATGCCTCGTTCTATAAGCAAAGATCCGACATAAACCACCCGAGGAAACAACGCGCTACACACGGTGTATGCCTCGTTCTATAACGCTTGTTTCTTTGGGTGGCTTATGTCGGATTTACGCTTATAGAACGAGGCATATAGCGTGTGTTGAGCGTTGTTTCTTCGGGCGGGTGGCTTATGTCGGATCTTCGCTTAAAGAACGAGGCACACACCGTGTGTAGCGCGTTGTTTCTTCGGGTAGCTTATGTCGAATCTTTGCTTATAGGACGAGGTATACAGGGTGTGTAGCGCGTTGTTTCCTCGGGTAGCTTATGTCGAATCTTTGCTTATAGGACGAGGCATACAGCGTGTGTAGCGCGTTGTTTACTCGGTTGGCTTATGTCGGATCTTCGCTTTTACAACGAGGCATTCACTGGATATGCTGGCAAGAAACGAATTCGAAGGGATATGATGGAGTCCGTCGCCTTAGTAGGAATTGATGGACTTGTTTGGCGAGAGTTATAGACAAGTTTCGCAAAATGTGGTGGTAAAAAACCTAATCTCCCTTGTGTTTCAATGCAGGTGGCTCAATACCTCTATGACCAAGAGCTTTTTAGGCGTCATCCAGACTTGCACCTCTTTTGATCGCGTCTTACCGATCTCAAAGAGAACAGCACGAAAAGAGGCTTCTCGCAGCCCTATCCGAGAAGGTGTCCCCAAGGGACGTGCCTTGCGAGATGCCAGTCTTTCTTCGACCGCCTTATAGCTTTGGCTTCGGACCTTTGAGTGAAAACGTGTGGTCTATACAAAATTGGTTTGTGTGGCGCTTTCGACGACAATAGCTTGCTTTGCGCGGTTAAGATCAATAAACACTCAAAAAGCTGGAGCCGATTAATTGGCTCTAGCACATTTTGAATCATTTTATTTTGAAAAAATCTTGCAGTTCTTGCTCTTTCAAAGCTCGGCCATCACATTGACGCTTTAGATATTTCCCTGCCAAGAGTTGCGGTTCGTTCTTCATTCAAGACCATCGCAGTGACGCTCTGGGCATTTTCTCTCGTGGCGGCTATGCGGTCCATCGGGTGTGCTCTGCTTTGCCATGACTCCTAACTCCTAACTCCTGACTGCCATGAATCCTAACAAGAACTACCACAGACGTCGTCCATGTTGAAAAGGAAGATATTGGGGCGTGATGTTGTCTTTATAGTGGTAATGACGTCAGCAAAGACGAAGTTTGTTATTGGTTAACGGTGATGTCATCCGATGATGTCGTGGTAGGAGAGCTTTCTGATTGGTCAATGGCTGCTGATCCTACAATGTAAGTACAAAAAAGCTATCTTATTGGATGTCGAACCGTCAGCAGTAGTGTAATGATTTTAGTAATTACCCATGCACTGATGCGTAGTCATTTGATACCGTACTAGTGAACGGTCGCGGCATTTACAGTGATATTAGAGCCCATCACGTCCTCATGTTCGTTTTTTGTCAACTCAAACTCAGTTTTTCAGGATAAAAGCTGACACTTATACCAAAAGGCCGAGTGCTAAAACACGAGTTTCAAACGGGGTAAAACTAACCTCCAGTTCGCCCCAGTGGCTCGTTTACTGCCCGATGCAGACGCCGAAGCTTTCATGAGCCTAACATAATTCGAATTAAGGCCGACCCAAATTATTTAGACCCGCTGAATTGATTCAGACGCCGAGCAGAACTTAGTTCAAAAGGCGGAAAATGCTCATTTCGGTCAAACTGCTTACAAAATACGTTATAATAATTTATGCATTAGGTTCGGTACATGATATGTTTGGCGTCTGAATCAAGGCCGTTCCAAAGTCGCTCCAAAGGCGAAATTCCCGACCGGGCTAGGCGGAAAGAACGGCTGAACAGTTCCAAATTGAAACAGGCGTTCCTAATTGATTCAGACGCCGAACTTTTCATAAACTTAATTCAATATATTGAATAGGTTCGGCTCATGAAAAGTTCGGCGTCTGAACTTGGCCTAAGACACATCTCTACGTAGCTGGATAAACATTCAGTGTACGCAGAAGTTATCAAGTTTTTTGACTTGATCGCTTAGCCAGTTTCTTTATTAAAGTCGCGTTCAGTTTAATATATATTCCACCACGTAGCCATTTTCTTTCAATATCCGATGTAAACGTGGTCAAAATGGCTATTTACTTAACCGAGTTTCCGTTTTGCAAAGCCGGCTTTGAGGAGTATTAATATCTGAATCACGCAATCCTCAAAAATTAATGTCGCTATTCTGGCTATTTGCACTTATACCGATAGTACCTGACGCCTACATAATGAAACAAAACTTTGCTTAAGCTGATACTTTGCAAACATCAATAGATCGCGCAGTTTGTTTTGGAAAATTTCACACAATCCTATGATACACAAAAGGTATATATCCAAGGAAGTATTCAGGTAGTTAACTTTCGTTTTCATTTATAGTTCCTGCTATCGTAAATTAGTCCCCATCTACAACAGTTCCTCAGAAGATCGAAAGAATTCTAGTCAAGCCTTGAAACAAAGTAGTTTTTTGGTCAGGGTGAATGGATAATATACAACTATTTCGTCTTCAGTGAATATTCTGTGAATAGTTAGAAAATTCGAGGCTATACTAACCTCAACATAATTTTCATCTTCCCAAGATCGAAGAATTGAAGCTGGACTGAATATTTTGGGGGTCAGCGCGAATGGATAATATACAACGAAGTATTCAATGCTTTCGTCTTCAACTATACTCATGCTATTGAGGTCTACAGTTAAAGAACCGGAGACGATCCAAGAACTCAACATTCCTCCAAAAGGTTCGAAGAATTCTTGAAGCGCAAACTTACGAAAGTATTGCATTGCTAACATGTAAAATCGGAATATGACGTAGTCTTGGACCAATCAGAGCGCGGAAATCTCAATATATAGAAAAAACTATTTTTGGACAGCAAGTCAACCTTTGGCGTCGCGGAGAGTGCAATCATCAAAAATGACGTCTGTACAAAAGATTGAAAAGACTCTGAACAATATGCATACCACAAAACAAAAGCTAACAAACAGTGGTTTCCGTAACACCAAATCCTACAATCGAAGAAGAACGGCTTGACCGTTCAAAATATTGGGTTTGCTCAAGTCGCTTTGTTCTTTTCTGTTTTGTTATTATAGTATATTGGTCTTCGTTAACACAACAAGATTTGGATACCCTCATAATTATAAAAGTCTCTATCACAAATGCGTCACATTCATAGAGAAATTACTTTTGAATTGCAAATCACAGCTTTTATTGTGGAACAAATATGTCTCCCAAGAATTATATCTAACGATACGAACAGCGAAAAGAAACTTTGGTGTTTCATGTTTTGAGCTTTAATTTTTACACTTTCAGATAAATTTTGTCAAAAGTGTACTTTTATAATTGCTTCATGATAGGTGTTCATCAAATTGGACATTAGACTTGCTCACAAGTCTAGCTTTGGAGCCCGTAGCGCGACCAGAAAACCATGCGAACGACTTTGAGAAAGTCTAACTGGACATCTATCAACCATATGGATTGATACTCGTTCTCGCGGGATAAAGGATGGATGACCGAGTGCTTATCTCCTTTCGGTTGTTTAGAACACGGTGGTTCTCCCTATAATGGCCTGTACGCCAGGTATACGAATGGACAGGGATTTCATTAGTTGAAGTACAGTCAACTCTCTCAAAGACGGAAATGCCGTTCGGGACGGGCCCAAAGTACCCGTCAGAGAGGAGTCCGGCTTAAAGAGAGTCGACGCTAATGTGATACCAGTGATTTAAACTGTCCGTCCTACAAACTGTGACCGGCCTATAGACAGTCAAAGTATAATGTGACACCACGCTGTCCGCCTTAAAAAGGTGTCCAGCTGAAACAAGGTTTGCAAGGGTACTCTTCGGGATCCGAGATTTGACCAAAATACGGTGCGGGATTCGGGACAGCACAAGATCCTGAAGGGAAACGGGGTTTGGCGGGGTTCATCAAAATATGGGCGCGGGATGCCGGATTTTTTGCCTGTCTGTCGGGAAAAGTTCGGGAAGTCAATTGCCAATGGGGAGATTAAACAAGAAAAATTTATTAAACATTTAGGACTACACATAGGCACTCACACCTTGGAAGTTGGAAGTTCCACTGACATTATGCATATTTCGAAAAAAAATTAAGCGCTGAATTGGAACACTTTCTAAGATTAGGTACTTCGTTAGCCAGCAAGTCCTTGTTCAGTTATACTACACACTTATCTATCCCGTTTTGACTTATAACTTAATTTCCTGGGGAAATACATATCCAACTCCTCCTCAGCCTCTTATTACTTTACAGAAAAAAGCAGCTGGAATAATAGCCTTTTCTGATTTAAATTCCCATTCTAGTCCTGACTCTTTCGCAAGTTGGGGCTACTTAAATAAGGGGATTTAATATATCTAGACAGTGCTCTTTTTATGTATATGTATGATTACTATTCAAATAGACTCCCAAGTACTTTGAATATATTTTTTAAAAAGCATTAATGAAGTACATTAATATGCAACCAGACTGGCCTCTAGGAAGTCTTATTATTTACCAAAAGCTAGAACCAATTATCAAAGGCAAATTTAATGTCCGTTTCAGTGGGGCTAAACTCTGGAATTCTACAAACATTAACCACAAAGGGATGCAAAGGACCGCAAACGAATATGCCGAAGAACGTATGATCTATAAAGACCTGATCAGCAAAAATGAAAAGTAGACATATTCAGCTGCATATTAAATTCTGCAAGTAAAAAACTGCAATGCTGATCGTACCACGAGAAAATTAACTCTGCAAGACATCAACACGACACCGAAAGAACTCAAAACAGAGCGGGATTGTAGCCATAGACAGCTGTTTCGCTCTCTTTGGGGCTCGTCAGTATGGCGTAACAATCAGAGAAAGCTCTGATGAAAAATATCCGCGCACTCTGATTTAAGCTCTAACCTAGAACTCTCAACACCCACAGAATCACGCCATGCCACGTGTCTTCTGGAATTCTGTTCAAGAAGATCTAAAATCAGCGAGTCGTTTTCGATTTAAAAAGCTTTTAAAAGAATCTGTCATCTCCAAATATTGATTGGTTCCTTGGAGTACTTTATCTGCAGCTAATTGTGTGCGCAGCCGTTGTTTTGGTTCTTTGTTTATTCGTTTGTGTATTTGTAAGCAAACTATTAATAGAGTTATCTTCCACAGACGAACGGACAGAAGACCCTCTGTTTCAACCTGATGCCAGGAAAGTACCGGGTATAAAAGTCAGCATAGCAGTTTTAAATAACTTGGTTCTCATATCTTTTATTGCTCAAGCTCTTTTCATTTATTGCAAATCTTGAAGAAATTATTCGATCAGATAAACTTTTGATATGACAAACAGTACAGTGATGCCAATTCTGCTTCTGACAATGAGACAGTGGGACGTTTAAAATTTCCTGCGGCCATAGATGGGTCTATGCCCGCTTTTTCCAGGCTTTCATGCAGGTAGTGGGGAAGAGGCAAAGAATAGTTTTTTGCTTCTGAAAAGAGGACGTGGGGCGTTTAAAATTTTCCGCGGCCACAGATGGGTCTTAGGCCCCTTTTTTCCGGCTTTCATGCCGGGAGTGGGGGAGGGGCAAAAAATAGTTAGGAGGAAAAACTTTTTTCAAAAGGGTGGGGTTTGGGGGAGGGGGGGAAATAACCCCCCTCCCCCCCCCCCCTCCTTTCCCCCCCCCCCCCTCCGCTTCCTCAAACTGAGGTATGAAAAGCAATTTATTTTTTGCCATTGCCTCTCTCCCTTACACTCTTACACTCGTAAACTTAAAATATCAATCGAAAGAGTCAATCTGCATCTCACATTTATGTCATTTGTCGGCCGTTTTACAGAAATTAGTCTTTTTAACGTATGTATTTTGAAGTAAAAAAAAGCGGGATTCGGGAAAGCGATAAAAAAATAGAGTGGGGAGAGCACCTACATTTCGGTTTGATCTACAGCACTTCCCAATTGCCCGTTGATGGTTTGAAAAGTGTCCGTTGTGCGTCTTAGAGAGGTAGAGAGGTACGTGTCCTGGAAACATTTCTTAGAATACATTGTGAAACAGGCCAATAAAAATACATAAACTTCGTAATTTCAGGGAACTTCAATATTTGCAAATCTTAACATATAGGATGGGTGTGTGCGCATCATAATCTTTGTTTTCTGGGGCCGGTTGCTCGAAGCCTGGTTAGCACTAACCACGCTTCGAGCAACCCGGGCCTGAAGTATAAGTCCAGTCCAGATGTTCAACTGTTCGGCTTTACCACTTGCCGCAAGGTGCCGGGTTTAAAGTACAGGTCACCGGGTACGGGTCACATTCCACGGGTCAAGAATACAGGTCACTGCTCCATGGATAAATTTCCAAACCACACAGGATCCCCTCGATCTAAAAGAGAACTTTGATAAGAGATTAGGGATAGGAGACACTTTTAATGCTTAAAATTTATCTGTATCATGGTGACCTGTACCCTAACCTGTGGAAAAGTGACCTGCCGTTCGTTACGTCACTATAGTCTTCGTTCCCAGAGTCACGAGGTTGAATTATTCCAAGATGGCGGACGTTTGTAGGACACAACCTTTTGATCTTCTTTTCTACAGTTTTTAAAATATGTTTTCGCTAGGAATGGAAACATCATTCAGCTCTGAGACCGTCAATGGCGTCTGAATTTTTGTCGATGGGTCAAGGATCACATGCATCCAGGCTTAAAGTTATTGAACATGTCGTACAATGCTTGACTACGGAGAGGAGCACATCTTCTTGTGTTCAACAAGGATATGTCAAACGTTATTGGGACCACCTTTTAGAGTTAGAAAGGGGCCGGGGAATTTTTTCATCAGAACAAATAGAGCGCATGGAGAATGAAATAAAAAAATGGGAACTTTTCCGTGATAGTCAAATTCAGAGAAGGAAACCATCAGACTTGAAAGTTTGCTATCTGGGCGAATCGAACCTTCTGAACAATCTGCAACTTCTCATTCAGGAAGGGGTACTGTGTCGAAACGTCTGGGTGGTCGCGAAGGATTCCAAAACTTTACAGAATGTCCGGAACTCTGTCAGTCAATCAAAGTTTAGAAATGTCAGATTGTATGAGAGTAAGTTCTTAAGCTTTTTGGACGGTTTTGAAGGACAATTTGACATCATATATTTTGATCCATGTACCTCTCTCGCTGAGAAGGACGCCTTAAGGTTGATCGGCTATGTCTTTTACTACAACAAATTGAATTCGCCAGGTGCATTAATTACCGTCTTTTTGTTCACCCCTTGCAAGCAGCCTGTGAGACATGACGATATTCCAGAAACAGAGGGAAAGAAAAACAACATGAAGAGAGAATCTGAATCAAGTGTGGAACTTGCACATGAAGATTATTCATTTGGTGACCTGTCAGATAAAGGAGGAGAAAGAGCCAAGTTTCTGTTTGATCAGTACTTAAGATACAGAAACTCTCAATTTGACACAAAATCTCCTAGTAAGAAAAATGATGAGGAAAAGTATGGCGACTATATTACTTATCAAGTAATTGACTCTGCCTCTTTGTTTGTTCCTGTTGAAAGGATGCTAATATCGACTAGAAAATCAGTTTGGAATGAAATATTTTCTTTCAGTGGTGACATTCTTGAAGAAATATTGCTACCAAATTTGGAAGACATTGCTTCATATAAAAAGGCTAATGAATCACTAGAAGAGCAATCACAAGCTCCAAGGAAACCCAATACTAACATGACTAGATGGGACCACACGGCTGGCGAGTCACATTTGCAAAACATCTGCTCTGTTTTGAAATCAGCTGAGACATTGAGGTCCCTAGGCAAAACCTGGGTTGATGAAATTTTTCCCCACTGGAAGAAATCTTGTTTGCAGAAGCATGACATTTCATTGCTGCTTTTAACTCCGCTCTTGTTTTCTTCACATGAATTTATTTCAAGCTGTTCCAATTCACAGTTTAAGAGTACATGCCTTGACCCAATTTCTCAGTGTTTTCCTGAGTGTAGCAAAAGTGATTGTCTGTGCAATAAAGTACATATACCTGGCCCTTGCACAGGATGTTTGGTGGCTAACCTCCTTTACGGTCAGTTGGCTAACCCATCATTTCCTGTTATAGATAAGCTGCTGCGTCTCAGTTACACTTCAAATGGCAGCAAGGTTTTTTCGGATGTTTTTATTTTTGACAGGTGTGAATATCTCTATGACCAATTCCCTACTGTTGAAGGTGCATGCTATTCTATATCTGAGCCCATGCTCCAGATGGTTTATAGAGTGGTTTTGGAAGGCTTGAGAGAGCACCTGGCATCAGTGTCTAAAAGTCTCTTTCAGTTTTGCGATCAAGTTGGTAGTGGGGCTAGCTCTCCAGAAAACCTGTTGGGCCTTCCTGAGAGGCAGGTATTGGAAGAGCCTATCCTTCTGGAAGGAAAAGTTGTACCATCAAGTGAAGCTGCCCTCCATTCAGATCACGTTTGAGAAGAAGAAATGAAGATGACAAAGGAAGAGGACGACAAAGAGGTAATAGGGGAACTTATAATTATTCAATGTAAAACATCTTTTATCTTCTTAAGGTAATTCCCTCCAAAAGAATGTTGTACAGTCAACTCCCCGTACCTTGAACCCTCTATAACTCGAACCTCCTGTTAACTCAAGCAATTTTCATTTCAGAACATTTTCTATATAATTTTACCCTTGATAACTCAAACTCCTGATAACTTGAACTTTTTTCTGTTTCCATTGATTGGAAGTCGACTGTACTTTCCAGATTTTTTTCAAACTTAGAACAATAATATTGACAGCCACATAAAGGACATTAGAAAATTGCAATTAAAAAAATGGGGTCATGTGCTTATATCTACCCTGCTTGCCCTTCATTCTAAGTGTTTTTTCCTAGTTGCCTGCAAAATGTTTGAAACTTGACTGAAAATTATCAAAAATTCTTATCAATGGCTAACCCATGCACAAATCTGACAGCACTTCTTGTAAAACGTAATCTTGAGGCATTTCACAAATTAATTTATGTGGCAGGAAGCAGGCAACTGCAACTTCTATGACAACTGTCCAAGTAGAAAGCTGAGTGCATTTCTTTCATGAGATGTATCGTCCAAACTGACTGTTATTAATGCACCTTCTATGACACCTGGGCCATCCAGAAATCTAACAGCATTTCTTGCAAATCGTATGGTGCATGTCACAGACTGTGGCAGTTGTTTGCAATTCTATGACAACTGAGCCAGGCAGAAATCTGACAACAAATCTTGCAGTTCTTTAGCGGCAGCAATCTGTGTCCTTACAGTAGACAAATACTCAGTGTATGTCTGCGTGCCTGTTACATTTTCTGTTTTGCTGTTGGAGACAGGTTTAGGTGTGTACTTCATGCTGAGCTGTGTTTGATTTTCTGTTTCTCTCATTATTTCCTAAAGAAAAGAAAATCAGACTCCTTTAACAATGGTCAACTTAGCAATAAAGATATCATGTTCTTTCTTTAGATAATAATATCATGACATGAAAACACAGCTACTTATTAATAGTACTCAATTTAATGGGTCTTTAATTTCATGTTTTTTATGATTTCAAAAAAATAAAGAAAATAAAGACCTGCAAAAATAAATCCTCGCAAAATTAAATGCTCGTATAAAAAATTCACATCACAGAAAAAAATGTTTATTTGAAATAGCAATATAATGGTGTGAAATATCTCTATATGCTGCAGAAGTAAGCGGACAAAGTTGTCCTTGATTGTTAAAACTGATAATTTCACAAGTGGTAGAAGGGACGTGGATCCACACAGGCGCTTACAAGCGGCTCAGGGGTGAATGGGTAAATAAAAATAATATTGTTAGATTAAATGTTTACACCTCATCTGGTTTTGTCTAATGTTCAATTCCTCATTGCTATTTCATTCCAGTGCTACCTGCCTTGCAGTGGAACTAAAGAGCAGTTCTCTCTGGCACAGATTGTCATGCTTTACACAGCTATAAACCTCAATCTGGTGATACTCTTGGTTAAAATACATGCACCACTAACAAAAAGCAGAAATGAGGACAAATTTCTGGCTACGCTGTATTTGTACTCTTAAGACGCACATGTAAGATGGAGACAAATAACATTATGAAAATGTGTTAATTACCAAATAAAGTTGCAGCTGGTCACATGCAGTGTAAAAATCTTCCAAATGTTTCTCAAGTTTGTTGCTTGTACCCTCTGATTGAGTGGTTGATTTCCTGAAACAAAAAAATAGGTCAGTTATTTTTATACATGTGTAATACTTACTGTCAGACCGACAAAACCGTGAACATCAGAAATATATGTGGAATGTTATTGTGTGGCAAGAAAAAAGACCATCAAGCGTGAGAAACTAAACTGCAAGCAAGAACGTTAATTTGTTTGTACTTTCGTGGCTAGTTTAATAGTGTGTCCTGATCTTTGCCATGATTGGTCGTAATACAATAAACACTCCTGAAATATTTCAAGACACTGTTCATGGTCTTGTTGGTTTGACAGTTAGTATCCTCTCCCCTTACAAGGGAGAATATAACAAAACCCACTAATTCTGATAGAACAAAACAAGGTTAATAATAAGAATAATAATATTGTTGATACTTTTGACCAGTTACATGTACTGTGAATTTCTATTATAAACACCAGTTTTGAGATCTTAATTTATATCTTGGAAATATAAGCCTAAGAAAACAGCTAACATAAAATTTTTGTTGATCCCAGATCTGTTTCCTCAGACATTATTTTGGAAGGAAACAGCCATGGTGGTGTCACAAAATGTTGGCTGTTTTCTCAGGCAATGGAAATATAAGCTTGAAGTGAGCTCAATTACCAGCCGCTCTTCTCTAAAATTTGAGGTGAAATAAAGGTTACATGTCTGTATGGATCGATTAGTTACTTAGCTATTTAGGGGTGGGAAAATTATATGTTTATCATTGACAATTGAGTTTGAATAAAATTTTTGCTTTTCTTTTTCTTGTAGTGTATTTGTAACAGAAGTTACATTGTTGATGAAGCCATTCATCAGCGTTTTTTGAGAAAAAGTCCTCCCTTGATCAATAAATCCATTGTACAGTAAAATATATTGAGGTGGTGTCTAAAATTTTACATTCTTCCTATTGCTATTATTGCAAATATATTATTTTCTTGGTATTATAATCATGTATGTTGCAGTTAATTTTTGTTTTTTCTTTGTTTTTGGGTCTGGTAATGTATGCTAATAAATTTCAAACAAAAGAAAACCAAAAATTAACTTAAATAAAAAAATAGAGGTAGAAGTTTCTGCTGAAACAGGTAATGTTACCAGAATTATTGTTGTGTTATTCTTTTCTTTCAACATCCTTATCAGGCAACCACTGTTTAGAACTATATGTTGTTTAAACTTAAAAATTAATACACTTACATTCGAAGATCAACTTCTGCATTTTGATTTATAGCATCATTTGCTGATTTCATCACTTTCTGTATAGATATATTTTTCAAAACATTAAGAAAGAATGGCTAAGTGAGGGTGTTCTGTGTCTCAGAAGTTTAAGAAGGAGGTTGTTGTCTGAAATTTCAATACCATAAAATTCTGAAACAATCTGTAAGCCCCTCCATGTATAAGCCCCTCCAAATGCAAGCCCCCCAAACTCGAAACACAAAAAACCCTCTGTGAAATCGCCCCTCTCTACATCCTCAAGGCGAGTAACTGCAACTATAAGCTAGTCCAATCGATTTTGAGATGCAAATTTCCCTTCAAATATAAGCCTAGCCGATTTTGAAACTCAAACTTCCTTCTGTGTATGAGCCCCTCTAAAAAATAAATAAGCACTGCGGTACCCTGCATTTAAGTGAACAGATTCTCAAAAGAGAACCATTAACGAGACATTGTGGTGTACCATTAGATAAATACGACGTAAACCAATCAAAAGCTGTTCCTTGTATTCCGTAAAAGTTCATTTTAGATAAAAGGATATCATGATCAACAGTGTCAAATGCCTTTTTTAAATCGAGAAAAACCACAGCATTAGCATTAAATTCAAAACATTTGGTCTCTCGCATAACAGTGTGAAATATATGAACAGAAGAAAGTTATTTCTTGAATCCCAAAAGGAAATCACAGAAGTTTGGTGAGGTGATGAGAGGAGTGAGAGTAATAAGCTTCCGGGATAAAACAAGAAAAAGTCAAATAATCTATTCATATACAGTTCCTTGAGAAAAATAATGCAATTGTAAAAGAGAATTAACAGTAAAACCTAGCACATACTAGCCTGATTTCAGACTATTACTTCGAGCCTTGAGGGAGAAAAACGACTTGAAGTAATCGTCTGATCTGAAATTGAGGCTGAGGTACCTACTTGAAGATGATCAGATAGTACAGGCTATGCTGGGTCTATTATCAACAGCTGTACGTCGTCACGGGTTTTCTTTAACTGTATTTTCATCACAACGATATAAGCTTACGTTCGTATGACTCACCGCGAGCGAATCCTTCACAATCTTGATATATTTCCCAATGTATTCCGCATCCATCCCTCCCGAGGTCGCCATATTGAATACTGTGTCCCCTAGCCACTTCAGCGGTAACTACCATTAGAATTTAGGCCAAATACATAAAGTACTTGCTGTCAGATTTGAACAAAATGGCGGTAAGCCACGATGGTTTGCTTCGAGTGTCTTCTTGCCCAGGACAACTGCAAATGTCCTGTGCAGGCGATTTCCTCGCTTTGCCTCTTACAAAAACTATAATAGGTGTTTGGTGGCTTGGAGACTTATCAAGAAAGGTATGTTACTGTCTTGTTTAAATTATTAATATCCGATCTATGGTCTTAGTTACCGTGTGTCAACTGTTTGACCGGCAACTGATGTTCGTGTTAGAACGCACTGGTTTATAACAGACCAGCTGGTCATGTCACTGTTCTTCATGGAAAGAATCGCTATGCAGTATCATCAGAAGCTCTGTTGGTTTTGATTGCTACCTACCTTTAGCTTTTGATTCTTAAAGTTGCAGTCCTCACTGTTTGAGTTAGAAGGAATGCACCAACAGCTGTATGCTTGTATTGTATGTAGTTAATCCTCCCCTCACCCCACATTTTGCCCTAGGTAAGTAGTTTGTGTTAAACTTGAGTTAGGAGAGGGGTAGGTCAGAAGTTTACCAGTAACTTACACTAAATTCCTTAGTTGCTGCTTTGGAACAAATCAGCTGTTGTATTGATAATGGAAATAATCCATTCTTTTTGGAGTGTCAGTGCGAGTGCCATAGACCTAATCATGGGTTTTGAAACCATCTTGCTCAGTAAGCAGGCGGGTGAGAAATGATGTCATCATTTGTATGTCTGAGAATCTGATGTCAAATAATTTTAGTGAATAGGCTTTTCTAGAAAAAAAAAAGTGAATCCCAAAATCACTTTTTCAGATAGAGTGTAATTATTATTTGTATATTATATACAATTGTCTGTAAAAAATTCCCTCTGGCTGACTCAAATTTCCTTTGAATAGTTTACTATAATTAATGTATGGAAATTCTGTAACAAGGTGCAGCTTCTAGCTAGCATAGGTCTAGCTGTGCAAGAAGATACCTCTGCCTTGTAGCATTAGTTTACAGTTCAATTTTTTTTAAGAACAGATGTTATACACTGTAGCAAAATTATTCAACATCAGATTTTCACATTACATACCTAACACTGTAAATATCTTGCACATACTTAGCCATTAAGAGGGTATAAAAAACTGTTATATGGTCTATTGTCACTCTTGATATATTTGTGGTTAGGATAAAGTATTTTTAAGTAAGTTGCCTGGAGCATGATTTTTTGGGTAAGCGTAGTTTTGAGGAGGACTATTGTTGACATTGACTGATGTTTTGACAACCAGTGTCGTAGTCATCTTCACACTCAAAGATATTATCATTGTCATAATCATCATCATCACCATGACAACCTGTGTGGTAGTCATCTTCACACTCAAAGATATTATCATTGTCATAATCATCATCATCACCATGACAACCTGTGTGGTAGTCATCTTCACACTCAAAGATATTATCATTGTCTTCATCATCATCATCATCATCACCAACATGATCATCATGATTATCATTTTTATCATCATCATCATCATCATCATCAGCACTCTTCATGCCAGCATAAGGGTATCACGCTGTCTGTCCAGCCTACTTTGTCTTTTATGGATGGCCTCTTTTACCCTTTGAGAGTTTCACTGTGGGTACTAATGCAGTCAATAAAGCGTTGAAAACTGTTTCAAAGGAGACAGACTGCAAATAATTATCGATGTTGCTGGAAATATCTGTTTGCCATAACTATTCATCATTAGGATACCTACTAGAAACTATATAAGTGTATTCATTTGCAGAACCTCATGAAGCTTAAGGGAGTCAAACCCATAAATGTCAGGGATGGAAAGGGGGGGGGGGTCCGGGAGAATTGGAGTACCTTTTTTGCTCAAACAATTGACATCCCTTAATTAATCGGCTCCCTCAAGCAATCGCCCACCCCCCCACCCTTTAACAGAAATACTTAAAATAATCGCCTTCTCCGAATAATCACCCCTCCCCTGCCCCTCTAACCATCTTCTCTTCCTTTTATCCCCTCTCTGTCAAGTTGAAGTGCAAGGAGTTTCAGCACCGACCATCAGCAAAACTGGTCAGTGATGATTCAAGCTCTGAAAATTATCAGGGAACTATATTTGGAACACTTTTGTCTTAAAAAGCCCATATTCGTGTTATTTGACATGATTATTTTTGGATTTTAATGGACAAAAAAAACCTATTTAGGGCACGACTTCCAGTGTCAGTGAGCAATAATTATTTGAAATAATCGCCTCCATCGAATAGTCACCTTCCCTCAAATAATTGCCCTCTTTTTGTGCAAAAAAAGAAATAATCACCCCCAGCTATTGTTCGAGGAAACACGGTAAATTGTGTAACTGGGGAGGGCAGATTTCAACACTGCCTCTAACAACGGAAAGTGAGATGAAGGTAATATCCTTTTTTTGGAGTAAATTTGAACCCAATAATGTGCAATTCTATAACATTGGTTTCATCGCCAATAACAATTTATTATAATATTTTTAAGCCATTGCAGTTATCAGGACATAGCCAAGTGATTAGTGCAACTTGCTTTGGACAGAAAACCAGGCCACTTCTCCTTTGCACAGCCTCTGAGGACTTCATCTTTATCTGGAACATTGACAGAATTCTTGCTGTTGATAACATAAGTGAGTGCATATGTTACAGGTCAAATTACAATGAGGTTAATATTTTTTAACTTAGGTTGATTCTCAATTTTCTTTGTCTGGTAGACTAATTCCTGAATAATTAGGGATAGAAAACAAAAAAAATTGAGAATCAACATAAAGGTTAAAAAATTTTAAGAAAGTTTTACAAGACGATGGTGTTGTAAAACTCAGTCAATGGAACATGTCGCAATTGACCCTGTGGAGCATCTCTAGGTGATGTACTTTAGACCCGTATATCAATAGTTACATTGTTGATAGATGTAGTTACATTCTTGAGTGAGTTTTGTAAGTGTGTAGGCATTCCCAAAATTAGCAAAAGCAAGACCAAGAATGGACAGAAGTTTATAAGGATTAACTTTTTCAAAGATCCATTATATAACTATATTGACTTGTATGACCATGCAAGACAAAGGAAAACATAGATTAAATCACTATCTAGAAGAAAAGTATTTCTCTTTGGAAAACTTATTGTGTTATACACTGGATAGTGATTATCAGATGGATAGTGTTATCCAGCTTTTTAACAACTTGGGCCAGTTTTTTTTCTTTTTGTTCATGGAGAAAGGCTCTGTAGCAGAGATCAACAGTATGGTGATTGCATTGTTTTAAATTCCTATTGATATCTTTTTCCATAGCTAGTGATCACAGTAGTGGTATCCCTGTGGGCAAAGACCTTGGGTGTGTCCAACACCTTAGTTTCAGTCATACAGACAGACTGTTAACAGTGTGTATTAAAAAGGAAATATGGGTCCTCAATATCCAGGTTAGTAGCAAACTAGAGTTGCTACACATTAGGACATACCAGTAGTCAGGGTGATAAAACCTAAGGTTATAGGAGAGTTGTATTCTATGAGATGACGTCGATGCCTAACAGAAAAATCCATTGGCAGGATAGTATTTTCATCTCAGTAAATGGCTTTCAGAAAAATGGCTTTCTTTTTTTATATTGACAAATTGCCACTGTGGCATGTAAAGTGTGAAAAACATAAGTTTACAGATACAATGTATATGTAGAACTGTATTTTTTTCTTAGATGTTTTTTTGCAAATCAATTATTGATAATGGGCTTGGAATGGACAGTTTTAGAGACTAGATTCTAGACTAGGGAATTCTTACTTTAGTTAGTGAAAAGTGAGAGAATTGACTGGAGTTCTTCAAGATTTTCAAATTGATATCAGCTTGACATAAAAAATATATATATTTCTAACTTGCACTAGTTAGTTTCACATTTAGTTTGCTTTAAACATTTTGAAGAAATTGTGGGAAACAGACTTTTTTCATCCCTTGTCAGACAATCTAACTCCTCATTATTTATTAATGTTTTGTACTATAAAATAATGCCTTGATTAGAGTTTGGTACTGTAAACATGAACTTGAAATTTTACAGTGAATTTTTTATTCATCTGATCTGTTTCTTGCTGATTTTAGACAAGCAAGTTGGATACTCTTTTGGAAGGACACACCAGTCTGGTGACTTGTGCACAGTTTTGCCCCAATAAAGAATCAATTATTGTGTCTATAAGTGAAGACAGAACATTTAAGGTTATGAACTTTTTGTGTACTAAATAACTTTTTGTTGTCCCGGCCTGTAACAAGCATGAAGAGTTATCAATGCAGTGATGTTATTTGGCAACAAGCATGTGTCAGAAACAAGTGAACAGTGTTAGAACTATTGCTGGACACTGGAGAATGGTTGAAAAAATTAGATGCAATTAGGAGCCAGAAGCTGGAGCCTGCAACTCCCATACTTAGCATATGCAACAGTGTTTTCACCAATCAAGTTATTTTTAGCATCATTTTTGAGCACTTTTCCCCATGAAAATGGAAGCACTGTTCTATATGCATATGCATTGATAGTATGGTCATTACAAATTGAAGAAGTAAATGCTATCGAAACATCAGAAATACTTTTTTCTGGGGCCAGTTTCCGGTTTTTGATGACTGATTTGTAAGACTTATTTGATATTCAAACTTTGTGGAAAAATTGTTCTAAAAAATAGACTGGTCTGTGAAAACACCATTACATGGTACTAGGGAGTTTCTTGCTCCCGTTTATTAATAAATAATAATAATTAATGATAATAATAATAATTATAATATTATTTTTATTACTAATTTATTTGTTTTACTAACTCTTCAAGTTGTCCACCATATGTCAGACAAAAATGTGTTTTTGTATGGGTGTTTGATGTAGCTTATAGTCTTCAGCTTTTCAACATGTACATGTAATTTATGAAAAACTTTACAGCAAATTACCACTTTTCACTTTTTTGATTTATTAATTTTGTAAAATATTAAATGGTTTAAATAATTTTTATAAAATATAAATTAATATAAATTACAAATTTTTAATGTGTATCCTTATTGGTAAGAGTACCTGATAATTACTATTTGCAGGTTTGGGATATAGATCAGTCATGCCTAGTCTATCAGTCAGCCATTTTGTCAGGTACAAGTCATTTAAGTTTTTTAAAAACATATGTTGCACCCATTAAATTTCTTGCCTTGTTATTTGTTAATCTTTATTTTTTTTACATTAAAAGTCTTTGCACCCGAGGATACTTGGGTGCAATTTTGATTGTGTCATGTACACATGGCTTGTTGTATTATAATCCCTTTTTTCTAAATACATGAACATGTATCATGCTTTTAAGTTGACCCTTCTAAACATCTTTCAGCTCATCCCTTCATATCTCTGGCTATTGATCCTGTCCAAGACCAGATGGCTATTGGCTCTGCAGATGGAAAGGTAGTAGTGCTTAAATGAGAATTTCTTACTAATGTTGAAGAAACCATCACTGGTAGCCAGACTGCATTGGGGAGTTGCTGTTGTTCAGTGTCTTCTTAACACTTTCATTTTTTATTAATATTATTATAGCCAAGGGAAAAAATTACCAAAATTCATATTTCCTTGAACAAAATCTTAAGAAATAAAAGCACTATCCAAAAGTTCTGCAAAAGCAGCATGCAAAGAAAGTCATGTCCGATAGCCCGCGGCTAGTGGGTTTTGCAATCGGGCTAGTCATTCCTGTTCTTAACTTGCCTGAAGGGCAAGTGAAGTTTTTGGGGAAATTCAAAATACAGAAGAACTGTAATCAATTCTGCTCATCAAAAATTATTTGGACTACTTAAAAGACTCTTGGGCTAGTACATACTAGCAACAACTTGCCTGAATGACAAGCCGTAAAACTAACTTTCTTTGCATCCTGAAAAGAGGTTTCATTTCAGTAGTAACAACATAGAATTTCGTCCACACATTAAAATATTAGAGTGCAATTATCATCATCATCATTATCATTATTGAGCATTGTGCAGATTTAACACTTCAGTCAAAAATGCTATTTCTTTTTTTATTTCTCCTGTGAATTATAGGTTCATATGTATGACCTTACTTATGATGGTGGCTTCCACTGCCTGTTTGAGCTGGATATTGGAAAATTGTTGCAAAAGTACTGGGATCAGAAGGAAATTTCTGCTGCTACATGTTATAAAGGACCATCATTTATAAGCAGTCAACCAGCCTGGCAGAAAGAGCATATTCCAGAGGAGGATAAAGAGGATGCAGTTGAACTAGAACCTGGAACAGCTGTGTTTGGAATATATTTTGTCGAGAATCCAGAGCAGCCAAATGCTGGAGTACAGAGTGATATGGCCTTATATGAAGCTGTTTTTGGGCCACAAAATAAAGCAGCTATCAAGTAAGAAACATCAAGTGGGTTATATGATGAAAGAAAAAATTAATTACAGGGTTCCAAATTTTGGTTTTAAAATGAGGCAATGGGGCCAGATTGAACAAGGCACCCTTAGTTGATATAAACTATTTATATGGCCTCCAAATTGTTATTGTTGTTTACTTTTAAAACATCAATGCAAGTGGGGAATTGTCACAAATTACAATAATGATTATCCCGCTAGATTCTTTTGGATACAATGTAATTTTTTCTTCATAAAAGTTAGAACCTAAATAGACTAAATTTGTGCTTATTACCCTTATTATGTAAGAATCTCTTTCTATGACTAACCTGGGAAAATCACCAGGTTCTTACTCACAGGTTTTTAATGTACATGTATTTGAGATTAAGATGATTCACATTTACAGAAATGCATATATAACACATGTTTGTGTCACTATAACCTTTTTTTTTTCATTTTTGTAGAGATGTATTCCATGTTCCCTCCATTGTAGCCATAGCAACCTCAGCCTGCATTATACTTTTAAACTGCAATAGCAGAGAGCCACTTTACTTTCTGGACTTTCAAGGTGAACTACTGTGTAATGCTGTTAAACTGATGCTGACCATGTCTGTCACTTTAATCTTAAAACAGCTGCCTTTGGTGCTAGACACCTACATTCTGATTTCTTTTGAGCAGTAATAATACACTTTGTGTTGATAATTTCGTTGTTTATACTACTACGTGAGAAATTTCTGCAATCTGATTGGCTTAGAGCAGTGGTATTTCAGCTTAATTTGAAATACCTACATGTGAAAATTACAAACCTTCTGTGGGTAGTAGTATAAACAAATAATAGCATGATTTGTACGTGATATTTGGCATAAATACCACTCGTGATATTTCAAAACTGTGTCAAATTTCACTCGCCTAACGGCTCGTGAAATTACGTATAACAATTTCGAAATATCACTCGTGGTATTTATGCCAAATATCACTACAAATCATGCTATTACCTATACTGATAGAGAGGAGAAGTCATTATGTCATGTTGCCATGGTAGCAAAATTTCTGGATCTCAACTAACTGTTGTCCTGCAAACATGTCAAAAAAAAGACATGACTTTCCTGTGCATGATTGCACTCAGGGACAAAACGGTAGTCCATACTTTTCTTCCATCATTTGACAATGCAAATGGCCGTCTCTGTCAAGAAACATTGTCGAATCTCGAAATTTTGCTACTATGGCAACATGACATAACGACTTCTCTTCTCTATTCTTCTCTTAATTTAATGATCTATACAGAAATTCAACCAAGAAAGTTCTTAAGTAAGTTCTGCTCTGTTGGAAGTCACTCGAAATGTTTTTAAAGCAGCAAGGAAAAATCTTAGCCTTAAGGGGGCTATGTCACGAGGACATAATTTTCAGTTTTACTGTGGGTCAGTTCTGTGCAAAAGTCGTTACCTTAATAGTGCCTTTACTAGACTACGAGCAGTCTCCCTTTATTCTTGGTCCATCGAGCAAAACGCGCAAGACACGCAAATGACCAGCGTGAGTTTGAAGGCGCGAGATGGGAGCGCTCTTATTTCTCGTGTCTCAAGGCTTCGAAGCTCGATGCTTGCGTGCGCGTGCACTCCCCTCACTAAATCTGTAGAAAAGGAAAGACTGCTCGCAGTCTATGTCTTTACCCAAACATAAAATGCTCTTGTAGAGTTGCGATGAAAATATCAGACAAATGAACCATAATAATTTTTTTGGTGATTTTTGCGACCATACTATTAAAACTTGAACACGTTGGGCCAATTTTTTCACATTTCAATCCATGTCTATCCTTGCCATCAGTTGCAACAGATGACAGGAAACAGTTTCAATGCATAAAATAATATGGTCTTAAATGACAAAAGTGGACCATTATTTTTGGAATTATATTGATGCCATGAAATTTTTAGCTTTTTATAGAGATAGCAAATAGCTTAGGTAGACCTCTTTAAACCAACCTTAAAAAGCAGCTTCTTTATTGTTACAGAGCCTGTTTTATCCAGTGATGAGCTGGATGAAGTTCAGTATAACATTTCAACTCCTGGTTCATTTGCCTTTACTCAGAGGCCCGACGGTAGTGTAAGTTTTTTTTAAATTCTTTAATTTGGTTGAACACCATTTACCACGCATAAATTTGAAGGAGATTTTTTCATTCAAAATATATTTCTCCGTTTCTGACTGGTTTCAGTCCCCCGGCTTATTCTCCATGTCCAGCTAGCGTTGACCAAATTTGAAAGACGTTTGCTATATCAGGTAAAACGACGTCAATGGTGCCGGATATCGCCAGAAAAAGGTACGGCAACGGGGAGGCTCTGCGGTACGATGTTACATTAGATTAGCTGTTTTGGTAAAGCTGGAGAAAATGACGGTGAATTTCAAACGTTTTGCAAGGTAGAAATAGCCGAACCACAGCCTAAAAACGTGGAAAGAAAAGCAAAAATACAACTCGACCGACGACACCTGCCATTTCTGTTATCTAAAGAATATCTGCTAACTTAAATATCCATTGACATCCTGATAAAGGTATTAGCTTCTTTTAAAGTCTGAATTTTTTTGAACTAATAATAAAACAGTGATTGTGTTCGGTTTTCGTTTGATCTAAAGAATTGTGCTGACTTGGAAAAATGAAAGCAAGCTTCTTGTCGAACAAAGCGATTACGTGCTTCGATCAGCTCTTTATGAGTCCTCATTGACTTACACGCTGATAGTTTATAGATTCATCATCAATGAAAATAATTGTCCCTCTGTCATTTAAATGATTTAACAAAGTAACAAGTTTTCAAATCAGGCAAGTTCACCTTGAAAGAGCTTATAAACTTCAATCTGTTTTATTTTTTTTCAAATATCATTTCAGGTCACTTGTATGATCGGCAGCTTGTTCCAAAACACTGTTAACGTCGTGAATATTAAACTGCCATTGATTAACAAGGAAAACGAAAGTGTCTCTGAGGTAACTCTTGATAACTTTTTTTCTCTATAAAGGGGTAAATTCAATAAAACTTTACAAGTGTAATGTACAATCGTAGGTATGTTTTCAAACTCTAAAACGGCAGCAACACTTGTAAAAGTTTCATTGAATTGACCCCAGCTTTCTGTGTAGACTTTAAAATTAAACAGTTTGTAAACGGAATTTTTTCTTAATTTGTAGTGTTTTCCCTTTGTTTACTAGGTCTTGTCTCAAAGGTTTTCGCAGTCAATAGGTCTCAGTTCCCATGGTAACCAGGATGAGGAGACACCAGGCTTAAGAGGAGCAGAGATGACCTCAACGACCACTATCACCGTCCTTTCCAAGTATGTTGTTTTATATTTGCTGGTAAAAAATATCAATTGTAAGCTAAAGCTACAAAGCAAAGGATTGCACTAAAAAATTTTGGGGCCGTACCTGTGCTTAAATTTCTCCGGAGGCTTGCTTTAGATTTTCCACATACTTGTCTGTAATTTTTCCTGGGACTTAGTTACAGACAAATGTATAGAAAATTTTAAAAAGTGGTTCTAGGTCTTCTAGCGCATGTAACGCCCTCAATTTTTTTCAGTAGAATCCTTAGGAGGAAAGCTTTAGTTTACAATCGATATTTTTTTCAAAACAGCCGTTTTACGGAAATTATTCTACATTAGATTCTCATACAAACACTGTAATTTCTCACGCGTTTGCCTACTCGTCAAGATGGCGTCGAAAACCGTGACAAGTTCTATTAAGCGTCTGCAGACCCCTTTTCAGTTGACTGTCAAAAACTCAAACCTCGTCCAGGCCAAACTAGTAGACAAAACCCAGTGCACCAATCAGAAGTCGACGTAAATACATGCAACTGGCGAAAAGAGCGGGAAAAACGAGTGCGCGCCGACAATCCCGATTGAATTTGAGCCAATTACAGAGAATTTAATAACAGGAAACCAATTCAATTCCGAAATAAAACTTTCCAAACTTTATATTGACACCTGTTTTTAAGCGAAAAGGGAAAATAAATGACTTTTGTTAAAACAAGTGTGACTAAAATATTAAAATCAAACAATTAAATTTCTTGCAGTTCCCCCTTGTGCAGCAACTCGCCATTGAAGGCGGAGCTTGTTCCAAAAGCAGCGACGAAACAACACCAACAGAAAAAGCCGTCACAAAAAGGTGCTTGGTGACCTGTGTAGTGTTTGTACCATATTCCTAGGGATACTGTTGAACCACATTGCATTGTAAATGCTTCTACAAACAAGATCGATTTTTTCGTGTTTATTGCAATAGGCTGTTTCATGATTGCCTTCAATATGTTTCTGTACATATCATTCACAGCGCTTTCAAACTGGCAACTGAGTTAAATTCAGTACTGTTTATTTTCCAAGCTTTTTTTTCTTGTACAGTTAAACCATTGCTAATTACCACTTAATTTAAGGAAACCCAAAGCGAGAGCCAAGGACTTTTTTTAAGTTCAACAGGTACTATAAGAATGACGAAAATTTGAGCGACTGAGCTAGATCACTTCAATGAACTGTCATCCCCGCATACCGACCATATCTCCGTCCCCACTTTCTGACCAGTATTTTTTCGAGTTCGTGGTAAACGGTCTTCACTTTGTACATGAGAAACTAATGAACTCAAAAGTTACATGAAATTAAGAAAAGGGCTTGGGTGTTCCTCGTATGCACATAAAAAGTAATTTTAATGCATTAAGAAACTAGGTTAAGGCGAGTCTTGTCACAAGGGTTCTGTGAGTGTATGTCAAAAGGATGCTATAAAACGGTTTGTATCTGATGTTTCAGGGAAAACATCAGGCGTTCGCGACAAGCCACTAACTTTTCACTCGAAAGTCAAATCGTCTGGTTACTCTTCTGCTCCAAGGTATGGTTTGGCAGTGTAATTTATATTTAACCTTTAAATCTTGATAGTGACCAAGATCAATTTTCTCCTAACAATATCCATGAAATGTCAAGAAATAAGTTATATGAATTAATAAAATGATCACCTAAGAGAAAGTGCCTTGATCTATTATCAAATTCTCGCAACTAATTCTTTAAGGAAATGTATGGAGACCAGTGTGGAGAATTTGTATGTGGATACTGGGGCTTAACGGTTAAAGGAGATGAAGAAATAAATAGTGACTCGTTGGGACCTCGGAAAAAGGTGACGCAGCCACTTAACAGAGGGTGACCGCTTAATTAATATAGGTCAATTTTACCGTAAAAAAATGATTTACGAGACTTTGGTAAATGACTTCGTAAAAGAGGTGACCACTTTTAAGTGTCACACCGACAGCTTTACAGTAGTTTGGTGGGTGGCCGTTTATTACAGATTCGTTTAGATAACACAGGTTAGACTGTAATTACAAATCCAGATTCCCGTAAGACTGACACCACTCAAAATACTATGATTTTCGTTCTCCCAACAAGCCACTTGTCAAAGAATGCTAGGCAGAATTCCTCAGCAGGTGAACAAGCCAAGTTTATTACCGGTACTTTCGTAGATTATTAGATAAGCTCTAAGTGTTAACTTATTACTGGCCCGTTTCTGTTGCAAAAAATTAATGATCTGTACCAAAAGAAGGAAAAATTCTTAAACTTATACTCTGAATTTATCCTTCGAGAAATACCGAGATTACGAATATAAAGAAAATACCGATGTATATAATGAAGCCACGTTCGTGTTCATTTTTCAGATCTAAAATGTTCTCGCCAAACACTAACATGTCGAACAGAGCGTCGTCGGTCTCCTTGAAAAGGACGAATGCCTCTTCTTCAAGTGTTAGGTAAGTTATAATTGAGGAATTCTACGCTTTTTTCTACGAGATGAATGAAAATTTGTAGCAGGAGTCCATATGGTATTCAAGGGCGTTAGATTTTAAGCCTAGTTTTGATTCCTTTTTCGGGAAATTTGCCTTGATAGTTACTACTGGAATTGCTTCCTTCGCTCAGAAAATCGGATGACTTTGAACTCAAGTATTTAATTGAAGCAACTACCCTCGCTTGAGACTTATCTTCCATTGCTGTTCATTTAGTGGGAATTCTATACTCTGCACTGATTGGTTAAGAGGTCTTTTTTTGGCGCGAAAGATGTTCCTATAAATAGCCTGACAGTCTATAACGCTGTCACCCAGGCCTAGAAGAGTGATGAAAGCTTTTCGAATGGAATAAAGGGACGAATGAAATCTTTTACAGGTTGATGAATTTTTATTAATAAGATCACTGTATTTTGCGGCATTTTTGCTTCTATGGCCGGTTGCGGCTTAAAACGTAGCAGGCTTTCTATTTCTCAGTTGAAATTTCCCTTTTATCATAGGTCACCTCACAAGGAGTACCCTATGGACAGCGAGGCTCCGACAAATTTGCAACATAGAATACCGCTTACAGAGCAGCCAACTCCTGTTAACAGCCTCGTATTTGCGGGTAGGGGAGCAAAATTGAAAACTTTTATATCCGATATAAATATTCAAAACCAGGCAAATCAGTTATTAGAACTTAGGCCATTCCGAGGTTGGGTCCCCCAAAACAGTCCCATAATGCAATTCGAATTCCCAGTTTCAATCACAAACTCAAAATAGTCGTGCATCTAATGCCAAGCTCTGGAAAATGCGCCCCTCGTGTCGAGCGCGAGTAAAACACGCAACTTTGTTTCCTATCGACTAAAGCATGCTGCGGAGAATCTGCTCGAAACAAAGCGCGTTAAAACTAGTGCCAATGGCGGGAAATCTTTTAACTGTTGCCCAGTAACTGAATCTAAGCACGAACAAACATCTGCCACTCGGAACCAATCTCTGCAAAATTTATACCGCTGCCAAACGAGGGAACACTCGCATGAGCCCCACGTCGAGAAGGAAACTGGGCCGAGTTAACTTTCGTAAAGGTTTCTGGGACAGTTAAAGCTGACCAGCGCCTCCCCAGTAACAATCCCAGAAACAATTGCGGGGAACATTTCGGTTCCAGCTCCCTTCTTGTTTTTTATAATGGCAAATAGTTTACTGATCATCGTTTTAGTTCACACTTTTCTTTTGTTGCCTTATTTCCTCATTGTTGAAATGTTTCTCCACAGGGGATGGACGACATCTAGCCTGTGCACTGGCGAACAACAGCGCTCACGTATTAAGAACTCCACCTTCAAGCAAGGAGACAGTATTCACTGGTCAGGTTGTTTATTGTGGCCACTATAAGCCCAACTGCTCGTTTTGAAAATCTCGCTTACAAAATGAGCTGAATCAGCTTACTTTAGAGCGCTTTGCTAACGGCTGAATAAAAAGTTGCTGTTTGAGCGAAAAAGTTTAAGTTGGAATGATCTGTGGTTGATCTACGGCCAGGCTATGCGGTACTCAATGATTAGCTCTGCGTTGCTTTTTCCCCTTTTTTAAGGTCATGCGCTTAAGACAAGGGCGTACCCATCCATTTTGAAACGGGAGATCTAACTCTTCTGACGCTACCACCCAAGAAACAGCAGACTGAGAGTGATGGACACTCGAGTAGCGTGAAGTTTGCAAGTCTTGCGCGTATGCAAATCTTAACGTCGTTGGTACAAATGGTGAAAGTAGATTCATTCTTATCAAGCCTGCTTGGCAGGCGCGTTCGAGAACTTTATACGCACGTTATAATCACTCCTAAGTAAGGTCTGTTTACCAGCCGCTGTTCGGGAAATGAGCCCGCGCTCCTTCCCCGAAAAGGCGAACCCGAGAGATCGGCAGGAATCAAACCCAATCGAGCGCCTTAATTCCACTCTTTACATACCCTTCAAATGACTGTCACGCAGGTTAATTCTTAGCAGACGGTGCTTGTGTGTTGCCGATTGTCTCAAATTAAGGCTGACAAAAATTTGGAAAAAATATCACGAGAGTCGTACAATAATCAAGAGGGAACTAACACCTTCGAATTTGTTATTTATCCTGTTGTAGGCCATGATGGCTCAGTCACAAGCGTAAATTTCAGCCACGACAATAACTGGCTTCTGACGTCATCATGTGACAGGACAGTTAGACTGTGGAGTCATAGTCAGTCGGACCCTTTATTGACATTGTCATCTGTCAATCATAACTTTGCCACTGAATTGGGTAGCTCTGCTAAGTTAAAGGTTAGTGGTTTGATATACTTTGGAGATCCCTTGTTTGCCTCAGGGGGCAACGAACTGTAACGAAGTGTATGGGGGAGTCACGAGAACTCACGCGAAAACCTCACACGAAAGGAAACGCAGCTTCACAGCTCGCTTGTTCTCTTGCGGGTCGCTTTGCTCGCCAAAATTGGAGAGCTTGATTGCAAGCTAGTGAAATCCAGTGAGTTTGGTTTGAATTTCTTAACTCATTAAGATCTGAAGTGATGAATATATTAATCTCATACATTTGAACCGCGGAATATAGAAATAGAGTTAAGGAAGATCATCATAGTCAAGGAAGTCACTGCATAAGATGCGTTTTTAACTGCGATGATCTTCTCTACATTCATTCCATTAAGATTTGGTCTTTGAGTCTCGAAAAAAATGAAGAAAAATTTAAAATTTACTTTCGGGAAGTAATTTTAAAGGTTGGGTTTCTTTAGAATGTTCCGAATCAGGATTGATGATCCAAGATCACTCGGATAGTGTGATAGTGGTACAAAAAAGGAAACGCTAAATCCTTTGATGCATTGATCCGAGTGATCATGATATAAACCTAATCTGGACCGTCCCGCAGGAACGCACCCTGAACTTGTTGGTTACTGTATCTTGGTTCTTTATTTATCGATTTATTTGTTTACAGGACAACCCATTGTTTCCTAAAGAAATAACCCAAGCAAAGTTTTATTATGTCGACAAATTTATCCTTCTTGCCTGCGGAAACGGTCTACATATGTACAAATACCATATTGATGCCGGACACAAAGATGACGTCAAAAGGTGAGGTCAGCAGTGTACTCCTTTGGCGCATGCGACGTTTGATAACAGTTTGGGTTGTTGTTTATGTTTATATGGATGAACATTTGACCAATAGGAAACGGGTGCGGGTTGGGAATAATAAGCGCAAAGCACGCTAACTGAACTACAGTCTAACCTCTCCTTACGGAAACCTCTATAATACGGTCACCTCTCTATTACGAACAGTTCGTTTGGTCCCAGAAATGCCAAAAATCATATATTCCTTACCTCTATAATACCGACACCTCTGTAAAGCGGACTCTTGGTTCTGTCCCTTTGGTGTCCGTATTAAAGAGGTTTGACTGTATGCGGAAAAAGAAAGCAATTTTTTTGCCTTGAAATGTTAACAGGAGGGCAACGGAACTAAATCAAGGGACAAACTTAAAGGTAGCTACTTGAATGATTAGCAAGTGGAGAAAAAGACACGGAGTTTGGTCAGTTGGTTTAGTGAGCTACAGTATTAAAGTGACAGACTAGGCTTTCTCTATGTTGACTTAATTTTAGTGGGAAGAAAAGGTAAAATCACGATAAATCACGATAATGTTCACACTCAAATCGTTTTAATCTTACTTGCAGTTTCAGTTAAGGCTGTGACAACGATTTTGTTACCCAGCAAAGGGACACCTTGAACTTAGTATCCAGATTTTAGTTTCTGCTTTTATGGTTCTGATCATAAATGACGATGAGATTTTTCCTTGTGTATAGGTATCAGTCGAACAACAAGTACAAATTGGTGAAGATCCTTCAACAGGAAAGGGCCCAACAAATCACCTGCTTCTCCGCAATAAATGGATTTCATTCCTGTATCCTCTATCTTGTGTGTTCATTATTCTTCGTACTCATCAGTAATGACTACATGAAGGACTGCAACTTCGTTCTCATGGTCCTTTCCTACTTTCTCTCTCCGGGGGCCGAATTGGACAGAACCCTGGGAACGAGGTTGGAAGAATCACACCAGGCGTCAGCTCGTAAAAATAATCACGTTTTGTTACGTAGCAACTTCATCCGGTGTTGCATGTAGTAGCATAGCATATCAAGAAATTCTCAAAGACTTAACTCATCATCGTTTCCTTGATGATTGTGCAGATATCGTTTTGTGCTGCGGCTCCAACAAATCCATAGAGTTGTTTGATATGAATGCCGCCCGCTCTGTCCGCGTGGTCCTGGACGCCCACACTCGGCCTGCTCATACGATTTGTCAGAACGAGGTAAGTAAAGCATTAGTCCAGTTCGGATCCTCTCTCTGTCACTCCCTTTTACATGACGACAGAACTTGACAGAGTGTGAGCCAGAACCGGACAAGTAACGCACGTGCGGTTTGGGCAGCGTGTGTCACAACCTGGCGATGTGTCGTGACAACCTGGACATAAAATCCGAAAGCATCGATTCCCACTTTGTTATGATTCTTGGTAGTCCTGAGATCATCTCCTCGTCGCCACTGTATCATATTCAAGTGGTTTGCCTCCTGTCAGTCAAGATTTTTTACTCACGTATTCGCCATTTTCAAATTGCCCATAATTCACCTTGTCCCGCCCCCCGAAAAAAAAATGCATAAACATTGTCTTTAGTTTCTGTAAGGTACGACTGTATGTTACACCCTTGAAAAAATGGAAACAATGGTTATGCAAAATTGGGTTGCGTGGGGGGGAGATAACAAAGTGTATTTTGGACAATATGAAAATGGTGAATTTCCTGGACCCCATAAGCCAGTAAATTTTGACCATTACAAGCGACGTTAAGCTACGTGCAAACGGACGCAACAACTCTCAACAATGTTGGAACCTGCAGTGCTTCGCGGGAAGGATCTAACCCATAATACTTTGGAGACCATGTGTAATGCGCGTGCGTGGCCCCAACAATGTTGGAAGAGCTGCGCAAACGGATCCAACATTGTTGCGCTACGCTTTGGCGATCACGGAACAAAAGAGATGTTTTGAGTTGTTGGCTGAAAAGTTTGGTCAGTTTCAAACTTCGCGCAACAACTCTCAACAACACTCAACAGGGTGTGCAAATGGACGCGACTTGTTTCATCCAACAATGTTGCGTCCGTTTGCTCAGGGCTTTATGATTCGCAGTAAAATTCGTTTAGCCTGATGACTGATGAAGCTTTCGTAGGTGGAGAAAAAGGGTTGTAATAATTTCAAGTCTTAAAAACTTTTTGTTTGGCTCTTCATGACTTAGGGTTCAATGTTCGTTTCGCACCCTCCCAGTGCCTATGATTTGTTTTTGACGGATGCAGTGGCTGATGGAATAAAGTTATGGGACCTGCGCACTAACAGGTGTGTCCGTCGGTATGATGGTCATGTGAACAGATCGCAACCAGTTGGACTTGACATCAGTCCTTGCGCAAGATATATCGCCACCGGTTCAGAAGACAGATCGGTAAGTCGTTAATTGTTGTCTTATTATTATTATATTATAGTTAATTCATAATCTTATTAAAGTTTTTGCCTTCATTCTAAAACTAGCCGTATGTCTAAGCGTATTTATCACGTAAAATAAAGTGTCTTATATCCTTACTAATGCGTGGTACCAGGTCGTTTCACCCGAAGGGCGATTCGCCCAACGGCAGTCCGCCCGGACTTAAGTCTATTCGCCCGATGTTCGGCGAGTCAACCGGGTCTTACCGGCAGTACTAGGTGTTAGTGTTAGGAGGTACTTCGCTGCACTGGCGGCGTTGTATACCTTTCAGCAAAAGCAAGTCGCGAGTGCCAGACTAAGGAACCCACACCTGGCTCCCTAGCACCATAAAACTGGACGTACAAGGGACAAATACAGAGCACGCGGGGGGCAATTTCTAAACCGGCCATTTGTTTTGGCACTGCTTCGAATCTCATTGCCAGGGCAGAATTTACCGATTTCCCCATTTAGGTGTCATTGCTGTTAACCTTGCCATTTCTGCTTTGTTGTAGGCTTATCTGTATGACATTCGAGGAAATTCATTTTGTCATCGTCTCACAGGCCATACAGATGTGGTGTCAGGTGTGACATTCCATCCCGCTCGACCTCAGGTATGCACAATCTATTAGTACCGAGACGGCTTCTTAAAGCTGCTATGACATGTTACTTGCTGTCCTTGTTTTAAAAGCTACAACGTTTCTTTGCATAAATTGCATTCCAAAAATAATGGTCCAGCTTGTTATTGAAGACTATATTTAGCATTGAAAGAGTTTCCTGACTTCTTTTGCAATGGATGAGAGGAATGGACATGGATTGAAACTTTTTAACAAAAGTTGGCCCACCTTTTTCAAGTTTTAATGCTATGCCTGCAAAAATCACCAAAAAAATTATGGTTAGTGCTTCTTGATGAAAGTTGTTTGATATCCTCTTCAGGAGCATTTTGTGTATTGATTAGAGTGGTTTTCGTTTGAGTGTCGTAAAACCAAAACCAAAGTAATTACTCTGGCCAATCACGTAGGACACAGACAATACATTGAACCAATCAAAACTCGAAGTAATTACATGTGGCTGACGCAAAGCGCGGGAAAATGCATGCGAGCGCGTCACAATTGGCTTTGGTTTTACTTCTGATTGGATGAAAAGGTGGCGCGAATCTTTTAAGCCAATCGCATCGTGTAGAAAGTGCAAAACCAATTACTTTTCGACACTCAAATGAAAACCGCTCTAAGGCACGAAGTAATGACGTCAGGACAGAATTGACCTAAGATAGCAATATCCTCATGGCACAGTCCGCAACACTAAGACACTCAGGGTTCCAATCAGGCCCTTAGACGTTGTTTCGGACGCGAATGTTTCTCAATTTGTTCGCGCGGGAAACGAGAGGCGAGAATGCTGCTATCTTTGTCACGAGCTTGGGGCGTATGAAAAATCTGAGTTTCTGTCGGAATTCGATCTTGTGGTATCAAAGAATGTTGGTTGGTTACTCTGAGCTCTGAGCGACAGTGGAACTCCGGGTAAACGACCGGGTGAACTATGCCATATACTTGTCTCGTTCCAGTCCGACTCTCCTTTCCCCAGACTCGCTGGGAAAATTTCATTATGGTGACGTAACGGAATCGAAAGGCTCTCGTTTGGCTCGAAACACACGTAACGCACTGACCGCGCCGCGAAAATATTGAGGCTTAGAAATTGCGCGAGGTATTTGCAGTTATACAGCTGTTTCGAGAAACGTGCACGCGACAATCCTGAAAGGTATTGTGGATGGTTTTGATCTTCACTGTTCTACAAAGAAATTTGAAAGAATGGCACAAGAGGTCACGGACATATGTTCGCGAGCGCTAATGGAAAGCAACAAAAGTAAGGAACAGTGTAATCCCCCCTTTTGGGATTGTCGCGTGCACATTTTTTTCCGACAACCTTTCTCGAAATTGCTGTGCCCTACGTACGGCATCTAGGATCATCAACATCAAATTCATCCCGGACAGTGATAAATAATTAAACAAAGTAAATGTAGATCTCGATAAATAAATAATGGAATTTTGATTTGTCACAAGTTTATGAAACATTGAAACAATTCCAAGCACGAAAAAAACATTTAAGTAATTCCAAGCGCGAGAAAACACTGGCCGCTTTCCAGTCTTTTAACATTTTGGGAAATTTTGAAATGTGAACGAATAGAACGAGATTTTCTAGACACAATTTTCTCCTAAAATTCCTCCAAAAACTGGAAAATTTCGAAAGAGAACATTCAACAGAAAATTTGGGAAATTCCGGTGACAACATCGAATTGCGATGATTCAGGTACACTTTGAGAGGTTGTCTTTTTTCGGAGCTTTCGTATGAAAACGGACGCTAAAAGAGTGTTCTAGTCCCTTTTTTGTTGTTGTTGGTTTTAATTTGTTTGTTTTTCTGTTTGCCGGCAGGGTTCAAAGAAAGTCAGCTTTACAGCTTGTCATCCGGGCAAGCTGTAGATAGCATGTACTGACCCAAGAGTCATTTCAACTAGCCCGGAAAACATATTTTGATGAACAGGATTGATAACAGTTCTTCTTTAATTTGAATTGCCCCAAAAACTTACCTTACCCGTCGGGCAAGAACAGAATTCACTAGCTCAATAGCAAAATAATCTAGCCACGACTTTCTTTGTACACTGAGTCGGCCTTTATTGTTAAAAGCAAAACACCCATTATGTCTGAAGCAGTGCCAAGCGCCGAAAAAAGATGTGATACGTGGGCCGGCTGCACCGCAGGTTACCAACAGAAAGAAAAAATAAATGTTGGTTTCGCATATCATCATTTTTTTTTTCCACTCTTAAACTGGTTGAAAGTACAGTAAAATGTCCTTTTTATTGAGAATACCAACCGCTTCCTAATTTATTACCTAGAAATTAACTATTTCACTTTTTTATACAGCGTGCAAATCCTCTGGTGAATTTTGACATCATTTACATGTTATAAAAATGGCGTTTTCATTCGATTTCACGGGCGAAAGCCGAATTGTAGTGGCTACTAAGAGCAAATGTCGTGAGTGTTGAGTTTTCAAAACAATCACATGACTTGCCTCGCTCATTGTAGCAAAGTATCTTGTTGCCAAATTTGTTCCGGCTGGGAATCGATATCAAGATGAGTTTTACAGTCGATTCTCTATTTACTGTACTAGTTTCATTCGCTCGAAAAGATTAAAAACTCAGTAAAATTTAAGTATACAAGCAGGGCGCTAAGAGACCGGTCGACACTCTGCTCTAAATTTAACGATGTTCTCATTGATCAGCTTCGTTACAGCAGCGACAAAATTCATGAGACTTTTTAAGTTTTAATGATGCACTGTGACACTTTGTGGAATTTTGTGAATATAATGTGATTCCAAAGCTGAAATAGCTTGCTTTCAAAGGGCTAAAGTCACGGTAGTCCAAATTCTTTCGTTTTACTTCAACATCGACGTAGCAACGCAGTTTCTTTGGGAACTTTCCTTGAAAGGATTAGGTAGCGTCGCCAAATGTCGGCTGTTTTCTCAGGCTAGTTAAAGGACACAACCCCCTATAGTTCGGTTTACTGGATGAGCAGTGATTGCGTCGGAGTTTTCATTTTAGTTTATTAATTATTTTTGGCGTCCATCCCCAACTATTGAAAAAGGATACAACTTTTTGCGCAGACTCCTGTCTAATCAATTTATGACTTACAGGAAGTTTCAACTGAATTATATAAGTGCTAGATAAAATATTGAAATATTACGTAAACAATATTGTTTTCAATGGAGCTTTTTAGTTTAAGAAATTGTCGATCTCTCTCAAAGCTGGACAATTCGTTGAAACTTTCGTGTTATCATAAGTTTCTTACTGTTTTTTTTTGCGTCTTCGATTGCCCAGCTTCATCGGAGCAAAATTGCAAAAACGCGAGTATTTCACGTCGCAAAATTGACAGCCACGATTAAAAAGCGGGAAACTTAACGACAAGAAGTAAAAGGCAAAAACAATTCCTCCACTTGAGACAGGGGGCGATAATAAATGTTTATTTCCCTTCTACCAATCGTGAAATGTTTCCTTAAAACAACGGGCAAAACAGTAACATCCTGTATCACTTTTTATAGTAAGACGAAGTAGCAAGCATAAAAAAGCTTCCTTCTTTGTCAATGAAACAAGATAACCGACTGATTCCTCAATTGCAACGTGTTTATTTTGTTTTTTGTTTACTGTAGCTTGTTACCGCTTCTCTGGATGGTAAATTACGCTTCTATTCAGATCAAGCTTGAAGAAAAATCATTTTTAGGTGAGTTTACAAACCATATTTCCTAAAAAATGCACATTTTTCAAATTTTCAAGATTATAAAACGTGTGGAACCATTTTATACCGCACAGTTCGACAAATCATTTTGAGTTAAATCGGCTCCACCCTCGAACTCCACAAAACCCGTAACGGAATGGAGAGGATTAGGCATTACTGTTAAATTTCTTTGGATTGTGTTGTTTTCTTGAATGGGATTAACTTAAAAGGATAGGCAAAACTGAAAAATGTATGTTTGGTGTTGTGGTGACAAAAGCTACTATGTCGACTTCCTGTGATATCCTAGCCTTTGTGGGGGAAGCGGGAGAAATGGGGTGGTGGGGGTGGGGGGAGGATTCTCCTCTGTCAGTCCTGCCTCTGTTTTTTGTATGAGTTGGAGAGCTGCGATAAACGTTGGCTGTTTCAGGTCATGTCTTTATTCAAGCCCGGTTAATACGATAGTCGTTTGTAATAAGTGCAGCAAAGATCAATTAAGCGGGACCCTGTTAGTCAATATATTGTTTATCGGACTTCCTGTTTTGAGTCAAGTTTAGTGAGAAGTGGCGAAAACAACGTTTTAGTTGGAGCACTTTGAAAGCTTCTGATACTGATGTTCCGCCAACCCTAACGGATGCCTGCAAAGTTCAAGATACAAAGTATTTTATTCAATGAATGTTTTATCGCTGAAAATCAAAGTCGTGTCAAGTCTCACAGTCGATGATGACATAAGGGTCACGTCTCTAAAGTTTTGACCGGCTTCTGCAACTCGGACGAAATTTCTTTCAAAGCGAGACGGTTGAATAGGGGAGTGTTTACCCTTATAGCATGGCATTAAAGTTCAGTTTGACAGCGACAACAACAAAACAAGTACCCTCAAGGTTTTTTAAAGATTTTTTAAAATACATACTCAATGTTTGCGAAAACTTTGTCGAGCGTTAAATCCCTTCTGTGGTCCGATTTATCCTTTTGACATCCAACGTCACCTTGTTCAGTTTAGCTGATTTTCCTTCTTTAAAAGTTGAGAAGAACATCAAATTTCGAAGATTGCTGAAAACTAAGCACGCATACGTACGTGCTTACTACTTCCATGTTTGTTTTTGAGTATGCCGAGCAACTTTTGTTGTATTAAATGTTCGCATATGTAATAGATGGACGCGGAATTACCGTACAAAAATTTCCAACTGCAAATTTATTTGCAATTGTCAGCGTTTTTATTTGCGTGTGCTTGCTAAAGTGTAAACTGAAAACGAAAGTTTCACTGGATTTTGCAATCAAGTCGGAAGTCGATTACGCTCGCACGCTGTTTACATTCCAGGCTTTCCTCCAAATATGGCGTATATGTCAATTATACCTGTCATTATTGCCCAAATAAGGCGACTGACGTCAACCGTTTTGATGGTTGAACTTGGATGAGTAAGGAGGAAGGTGAATTCGCCGGCCTGATTTTTTTCGGAGACACACGGATTTACCCTTTTTCTGTAAGCAGTGAAGGATTTTTCTTGAACTTCAGTCTTGAAGTGTACAGATTGGAAAGTATTACCTGCAAAACGGATTGATATCTCTGCGAATTCTACGCGAACAGTAGTTTCGGTGAGTTGTAACTTTTTAGGCTACTACTTCATCAAGTACCTGCTAAATTTTGACAATGTTGCCACCGCGATCTGTACTCCGGCGATCGCTGATTTTTCAAGTATTCTTCGAAGGAGACATTTGTTTTGGCAAAATCGTGAACAGTCTTTGTCCTTTTTTTGAACAGGATTAGTTGGTTTTTCTGAACTTTGATTTGTTTTGAAGCAAAATCGTAAAGAAGTTTGATGAAAACCATTTTGGGCTTCAGCTCGAGATTTTACTCCTTTTATTTTGCGATATGTTCTCAGGTGTCGCCTTCTTTTCTTTGCAAATTTTTAAGTATGTGTTTTATCTTTGTAGGATGATAACTGAACGTGCACACGGCGTTAAACGAAAGCTGAGTGAGGTTGATGGCGACGATGAGGTGCTTCATGGCCGTTGTATTCAACGGCAGACCGTGTTCAACATTTCGATCTGCAAACTGCAGAAAAGCTTCACCAGGTCAGAACCTATTCTTTGCAGAACCGTGCTTATCTCAAACACTCTTCGTCTAATCGAAGAAGACATCCGAGAAGAGCGCAAGACTTTGGAAATGACTGATGTTAGCGAACTTAGCGACGGGCAAACACGAGCAGTCAATGACAATAGCGAACGACTGGCTTACGTTGGTCACAATATAGGCACGCGATCACGCGAAGAATGTGAGACTTTGAAACGTTCTCTAACCTTTGAACAAGAAATGAACATCCTGGGCGACAAAATGGTAAAAGAACTTGAATTTGACTTGGAGAAATCTGCGAACAGCGCGCAGAAAATACCCGCCAAAGCGAAATCAGACCTGGAGGGGCAGCAACTCTCTTTCGCGCCTGATTCGAACAACAATTCTGCGCTTCTTTCCGACGACAACGATCAACTCCACGGGAAAGAAGTCAGTTACAATGCAGAAGAATTCATCAGAGAAATCACGTGCGGAAGTCTTTTAGGAATGGAATTGACAGAGGAATTAGAGTTTAAAGATGTAGATGTATCACTATATGACTTTGACGTTCCGAACGGCTCGTTTCCCATCGATTTCGATGAGTTTTGCACCGCTTGGAACCTTGGATCAACCAGTGTAGCTACAAAAAGTTTATCCTCCAGGTGTAGCGACAGCATAAAGCTTGAGCGTGCGAACGATTACGCTTTTGATGAACTAGATCAAGTAATGCAAATTTTAGTTGGATCTTAGTTGTAAGCGATCAAAATTTCGTAATGAAATTTGCCAAGGCTTTGCCTTCACATTTACCTGCGCAAATCCTGTTTAGATTCTTTTAAATATTTTTGCTAGACGTTTTAAGATGTTAGAATCCGCTTGTGGAGTTGTAATCTATTTATATTCGGTTTTGCCGATTAAATCCACATCGTTTTATATGCAGTTTGAAATGAATATTTTATGTGAATTGGAGATGTATTTGAAGTTGGAAAAGAGTATTTTTGCATCGTATATTTGTAGGTAATTTATACTGTACCATAATATTACTGTGTAAATATATTATCTAACATGGCAAAGTTTGTAGGATTGGGAAGCCTTTAAAGCGATGTTTGCAGTCCATTATGTGCTTGTTAAACCTCCTTGAAGATATTTTATGACAAAATCCAAAGTTATTGACTGAAAATCGACATAAGGCTATTTGTTAGAAATTTGTTAAGGCTTGCATACAGATTGTTGCAAACAATGCGTTTTTTAATTTATGGATGTTATATCCCAAGATTAGTATGATAATGACAGCAGTGATTTAAAATGAATAATGTTACTAAGAGCTAGTGAAATAATATTATTATATGTATACTAAGTATTAATAAATTATACATTTTGCTAGTTGGACAATGTCTGGAATACATGGGACCTGTCTATGATTAATAGTTAGCAGCTACTAAGAAGCAATTGCCCTGTTTGCCCCAGCAAGCAAACCAATTGCTAACTACAATAAGCATTTTGAAATTTTAGAGCCTGAAAAGAAATGCTGTACAATTAGAGGCAATGGTTTTCTCCCCTTTTTTGTAATAGTGGTTACTTAATTGTTGACTCGAAGTACACTCTTAAGCATCAATTCTTAAAATGGTCACTTTGCTCCCAACTTCCTCTTGTTGAATGACTTTCAGTGAAACTAACAGGCACAATCACTGCTACTGAGTAGAAGCCTGGAATTTGTAGACAGGGATGAGTCTCGGGGACTCGAAACCCTTGATATATACCATACCGTATAATTCTGAAAATAAGCCCCCGGGCTTATATTTTTCAAAGGCCCTTTTTAAGGGGCTTATTTTGGGGGGGGGGGGGGGGGGCTTATATTCGGAGGGGCTTATCTATGAAGAGAAATTTGCATTTCAAAATTTTAATTCTGAAAATAAGCCCCCGGGCTTATATTTTTCAAAGGCCCTTTTTAAGGGGCTTATTTTGGGGGGGGGGTGGGGGGGCTTATATTCGGAGGGGCTTATCTATGAAGAGAAATTTGCATTTCAAAATTGATTGGGCTAGCCTTATACTTGGAAGGAAATTTACCGTTTTTGCTTTGTTTACTTTGTATTTGAGGGCAATTTCCAAGTACAAGCCCCCAGGGCTTGTACTTGGGCTTGTGTTTGGAGGGGCGATTTAACGGAGGGTTTTTTGCATTACGAATTTGGGGGGGCTTATTTTCAGAATTTTACGGTACCCTGTTTAATTGCAATTTTGATCATCTGTCCTTGACAGGGCATCAAAAAAATCCTACTCTATTCTAGACTCCCAATTACAGCCATCCTTTTCGTAAAGATCAACTGCTATAATTTGTCAGTAAGCTTATTCAGTGCAATTCAAAACTGAACTTTTTTGACATTCAAGCGATGATCTCTTACAACCATAAGGGATCATGCTAAGTGGTCACCAGGAAAAGAAAACAAAAGAATATGTCAAATTTCTGGCCTTAAAAGTGGTGGCGATCGATTTAAATACCTGAGAAGTGGTCGCTTACGAGAGAGTTTTGAAACAGTATTCAACTGAGAAACAAAACAGTTGTTTATTAAGTGGTTGCTTACAGGAGGTGTTTGCTTAGGAGAAGTGTTCACTATGAAAGAGTTGACTGTACTGATCACTATCGATTCTATAAACATGGTACTTTATTGTAGACCAGTTCTAATCGTTTGATTTCTACAACCTATTCCAGGCTAAACTACTTCACCTTCCCCACATGCCTTTATAGCCCCTGTATGTATATGGCTACATCCTCAGAGGCTTTACTTCTTTGAGTTTATCTCGAATAAATTGTAACTGATATGAAGACTGGTTACATCTTTCAGATCCATTTGCACCCTGATCTACATCAGTGCTAGTAATGAGCATTAAGTAGAATTTTAACCTGTGCAGCACCCTTTTAGCACCCCCACAGCAAGCTACCAAGTTTGTTATGATTTTTGGTCTCGTTTTTGAGATCACTTGCTTATTTCGTTGCCTAGCATCGGTACTTGACTGGCCTGCTGGCATGTTTAATTATATACCGGTAACACTAAAGCATACATCTGCATTACGCAAGAGAGCCAGGGGCATAGTTAAGATGCAGTGGGCACACTGTGTCACTTCGTGGGGTTTTACCAGATTATCATTTTAAATAATAATGTATGTTGTTCGTGTTTTATTAAAAATGACATTTTTCAGACGTGCAGTGAGCGTTGGGGGAGGGGGAGAGGGAAAAATCTGCAGAGTAGCTGCATAGTTGAGTCACGAGGCAAGAACAACTGAATAATGTTGCCAGGGGAAGAACTCCCTTATTGTGCTGTGCCATGAGGCCTAAATGGGTATGGAGTTTTTGTGCCACTGAACGGAGATTTTTAAGGTCTAGAGTCTTAAGAGTATCTTTTTGGACCACAAGCCTTTAAACAAAGTGTAAATGTTGGTGATGAATGGTCTTTATTTGTAGCACCAGAAATATCTTTCCAGCAAATCTAATTCCATGATCTTAGTTTGAAACATTACTCAATTCTGTAGGCAAGATGAAACTAATCAGGGTCATACAATGAGGTCTTTTGCCTGGGTGGCAGGGTAGCAAAAAACAGAAGCAGGGTTTGAAGGCCTCAGGGGAACATTTCTACCCCAATTTGCCTAAAGTGCCTCCTGGGGTAATGTCAATTGAAAGCAAAATTTTGCCCTGCTGACAAAAATGCTTTAATACAAAAATTTCCTAGCTGAACTTTTTGCCAGAAAGAGTTGTTCAAAAACAGCAGGTTTTAAGATTTTAGCATGGACTTTAGTTTATCAATTTTCTAGCATATTAATTTCGCAGAAAAAGGAAAGGAATGCCTCTCACAAAGTGGGGTCCATGGGTACCTCAGGACCTTCCCTAGCTACAGAGGCAGCGTAAAATGCAGAATGCGGACTATTGTTTTTAGTGTTCGAAAACAATGGGACTGTTGTTGTCACATACTCATTTGCATGGTGCAAAGTTAACAATAGTCCGCAGTCTACGTTTTTCGCTGACCGCCCTAGTTACCCCCCTGCCCAGCACAGAAAGTTTAAACCCTCCCCATACCCCTGTGGATTTTCCAAATATTTTTGCCAAACATAAATGAATAAAGGGCCTTCTTATTTGTGCTATGATCCAAACCAATCAATGACCGCATAATAAGTATCATTGATGAAAAATTTACCGCCACTTTTATGGGTCTTTTATGATAAAGTAAGTTACCATATCAACAGTATACACTTGCTAGAGTGATTTTACTTAATCCACAGAACAGATACTAACAACTACGTCAACAAAAGAAGACAATGGAATTAGTGTATAAATTGTGTGTAATAGCCTCTACTAAAAAACGCCCAGTTAATTTAACTCAAAAATGTAAATGTATACTGTTTCAGTGCTTAAAAAGACAACACTGAATAAACAGAACAATATTTTAATACAGTAATTAAATTCTGGAAATAATTGCATTATATGAAAGGCAACATAATATTTCAAAAACCAACTTTAAATCAAGTTTGAGTATCTTTAATCTCAAAAAGTCAAGGTTAGGTTGTTTACAAGATTTGCATACACATGAAAGTTGGATATCATTAATAGTGATCATGATTTACAGACAGGACCTTAAGTAACAAAATGAATGCACTGTAAAACAGTAAAATATATTATAGTAAATAAATATTTTTTGTTAAAAAATAGATGGATGTTAATGCGGTTAATGTTAAGTTTGGTAAAACTGTTTGTGCAACATAATACAAAAAAATTGTGTCGCTTAACAAATAAAGAGCAACTCTCCAACAATTATTAATTAATGACAACAGCGACGGCTTCGAGAACGTCACCTAAAGAGTGAATTTGCTCTGTCTAAAACTTTTTTGCACCTAATATTTCATTTTGTTTAATTTGTTAAATGTTGGCAAATTTTTGTGAGTTGAATTCTAAAGGAATGAATCAAAGTTCAGGAAAAGGAAAACAAAGTTGTTGTTTTGTGTTCCCATCCTCCACAAAATGTGAAATTAGGCACTTATGTGTTGAAGTCGTGCAATGACTGCTAAGAAATGTACAAAAAAGCATGATGCACGTGCAAAGTTGTTGTTTTGCCAATCTGACCCTATTGCGTTTTTGCCGTCGCTGTCATCGTTGCTTAACCACTCTAATGTTGCTGCTTAAGATGGTGGTAAAATAAGCAGTTGCATTGATGTGCTGCCTTATTTTGACCACGCTTTAGGGTTGATCCTAGCCAAAAGATGCTATGATCTTTGTAACTTTTAAACTATAGATGACAAAATAAACAAAAATACAAACAATGATTTGTTAATTGGAAAATCAAAATACCTCTAATGTTTAAAACTTTTTTATATAACATTATAATAATTTTCTTGGTTTTCAATTTTTTCATGAGAATAAAGAACTTCTTTAGTTATTTCTCCAACCATAAATTATAAATTTTGTACTAAATATGTGACATTAATAAACACAATTCTACAATATCTAATGGTTGTATACATCTATGTGGTCAAAGATCTACAATGCAATATTGTCCACACAAACATGTATAAATATACAAATTTCTTAATAACAATAATAATAAATTACTTATTAACCATAATTAAATTACCTTGACCCAAGCTTTACACAATATCTTAACTAAAAAACCCGATCAGATGGCAATGATTTATATATATTTATATCTGCCTTTTATTTTATAAAAAGCAACATGTATACATTACATGTACGTACACAATAGGACAGCAAAAATATTATCATTCACAAGATCTGAGGATGTTGATCGGCCGTAAGGAATTATATGTAGCATCATCACTGTAAGTGAAAAGTACATTGGTCCTCACAGCCTAATTTATAATCAACTTTCATCCCAGTATTAAAGCTGTCGAATTATTTAGTTCACATTAGTACAAGTTTAATTTCTGTAACTAAAGCAGGCATTTCAAATTAAGCTGCTCAAAATACAACTACCTTTCAGCCGATCAAATAGTATCAAAAGCTAGTATTTTCACACAATATCGTATTTACTTGATTAAACGCGGCCCTTGAATAAACACTGCCCTCAATTAGATGCCTAAGATGGAAGTGAAATTACCAATAAATGCCACACCCAATAAGAAGAATGGGGCATTTATTTGACAAACATATGAGAAAAAACTTGGTGCAACTCACTGATGTACACCATTTCAGATGATTCTATCACAGCAAAAAAGTGAGACTTCATAGACCTTTTAATGCATTAATTTCTGTTTTACCTTATAATTATTTACGAATGATTTACTGTAATTGCTGTCAAAGCAAGAACTCTGATTTTGAAATAAATGCCACCATAGCAGTGTGCAAAGAAAGTCAGTTTTACAGCTTGCCAGAATGGCAAGCTGTATAGTTGCCATGTACTTGCCCAAGAGTCATTTTAATTGGCCTGACAATAATATTTTGATGAACAGGATTGATAACAGTTCTTCTGTAACTTCAATTCCCCAAAAAACTTCACTTGCCCATCAGGCAAGTTAAGATGATAGCAAAATCCACCAACCCTGGGCTACTGGACACAATTTTCTTTGCTTACTTGCCTCGAATACATGTTGCCCTTGAATAAATGCCACATCAGAAACCCCAAAAGTTTCATAAAAAGCGTTTAATCGAGTTAATACGGTAAGTCAAGAAGCATCCAACTGATAAAAACAAAGACACAGAAATGCTTTGGAAAAAACTCCGACCACTAAATAGCTATTTAAATGAATTCAAAACTGATTATGTCATTCCAACATGCTTTTAACAAACTGGCCCATTATGATTGAGATGTGTTACTATGACAATACAATTGACAGAAAATTAATGACTTCCATGTTCCACAAGTGAAATTTACAAAATAAAAAAAAATGCTAATTTCTTAAGAGAGTTCTTTTTCATGATGACACCATAAAATTTCATCCAGAGACTTGAAAATTAGATCAGCATTTCATCGGTTAAAAATGCCTCAGAGTAGTTTAACACATTGTCTAAACCCAATATTTTTCAACTTCTGTTAAATTTTGTTTACACTCTGACTTAGGGACTGTTTATATGAGATGAGCCAGCCCAGCACTCAGCTCATGCTTGTTTCCTGTTAAAAATGTTGTTGTGTTTATATGAGAAGGTGGGCTGGCCCACTTGCTGTGACCCCGGTCACTTGAGCCGAGATAATCAAAAGTGGGACAGCCTGCCTCCCCATAAATTAAAAAAGGACAGACTGCAAATTGCTGTTGCTTGAAATATCTATAATATGTAACTGTTCACTAGCAGGACATCTGCAATAAAAGGAATTGCACACAAAAACAACAATTATTTTATGAGGAAACAAGGCATGAGCCGAGCCAGAGGGGTAAAATGGGCCAGGCCAGCCCAGCTAACCAGGCTATCTCACCTCATATAAACAGGCCCATAGAAAAGGGGGGGGGGGGTTGGTTGAAATATCTAAAAAACTGAACTGTTCACGAGCAGGACACCGGCAAAAAAAGGAAGTGAACAAAAAAACAACAATTATTTTATGAGGAAACAAGGCATGGGCCGGGCCAGGGGGGTAAAATGGGCCAGGCCAGCCCAGCTAACCAGGGTATCTCACCCCATATAAACAGGCCCATAGAAAAGGGGGGGGGGGGGACACCTGGAATGATGTTTTTTAAATGCAGAGAACACCATAGAAGAGCCCCAACCCTGCATTCCTAGCCCAAGAGTAAAATCTCTTCTTCCCTGCCAGCAAAGTCTTGTTTGCTTTCCTGCACTTCCAACACCATACATCACGGAATTGGAGTCCTTGCTAGCATGGGCGGGGGAGGGGGGGGGCACTCCCTTATTTAAGTCACAAAGGTATGTGCCACCCCAAAGGGTAGGGGTTTAGCGGCACTTTGATCTGAAAACAGGTATCGACTTAGCTTATTTGGGTCTGGAATTGGGTATGGTTTTCAAGCGAACCACCGAGAGTGTATGAACGTACGAATCATTTCAGTTCCAAATGACTAAGAACGAAAGAAAAACATGCAAATTCAAAAGGGATTTTAAGAAATCTTTTTGGTTGCTTTTCTAATCTACATAATCATGATGAAACTATTTCTTGGAGGCCAGGTCTGAAATAGAGGATGGATTTTAGAGGCCAGGTCTGAAAACGGGTGTGAATAAAGACATTTTTGGTCTGATATAGGGTCAGAATTTGGAGAACTGGGAACGATTCAACGATTCAAACAAGTAACAACCGTGTTTAGACTGACCTGAAAAAACTACAGTGTAACTACGTTCCTATACGCTTGTTCATTTCACTGAATTCCAAAAGGGCTTTCGTTAGGGCAATCAGTATTCAAAAGCGACAAAAATGTCGGAAGAGTTACTTTAAAAACGGACCATACGCAACTATCAAAACATTTTAATGAAGGAAAACTGCAACGGAAAATCTTCTAAAACCACAAAGTGAAGGAGCTGAAATTCAAATTTACACATATTCCTGTCTTGGCACTTAAGTGGCTATGCGTCGCAAAAAACGGACTTTGAAAGATGTTTTTTTTAGATGTTGGCACAAATTTGGCGCGTCAGTTTTACTCAACACTTATTTATTTTTATTCGGGATGAGTTGATTTTAAAATCTACTCGTGTTAATATTGACTCGCTATGGTGTGTTATTTCCTTATCTCAAAGTGTAAAAAACACAAATGATTTGCCTTTTAGAGAGATAATACCCTCGAGAACATCTACGCGTGATTATCATGCGTGATTGACACGACGATATTGCAATTTTCCACGAATAATTACTACAGCTTACAGCTACATGCGGACGAAGCAAATATGACAAGTTTGCAAGACGACTTTTCTACACAACATGCAATATAGATCGATCTTTTGCCTAATAAGTTAGTACATAAAATATCTCTTGATCTTTTTATAGGGATCAGCGCAATTTACATGAGCTGCTATGTACAAAGATGTATAAATATAAGCTTATGTTATTACCACCTCAGGAGGTATAAATTTAAATAAACTCCGTGGTGATACACAAATGTATAGTACAAACATTAGCCATTTCCAAAAGGGCATGTATAAATCTAAAACTCACGTTTCAAGGGCGCAAATATAGCTATGAAATACATTGTCGAGTTCACCAAATATTGACTCTCGGTCGGACGAAATTTCCTCCGCTGGCTCAAAGACATCGTCTTCAACCTCCTCCGTATACACATCTGAAAGCGTACATCCACTGCAGAGGTTTTCCCCTGGTGTCAAAGCCGTGCTATTATCAACGCGTTTTGTCCGACCTTCTTCCGTGACATTGTTATCAAAACTTAACCGTATCACCTTGGGATTTGATGGGGATGCTTCCTCTCTGGTTGTACATTCGCTTGGCTGTAGTGTCGCGAGCCCACCGCAAACAAATGGGTTTTCCTCTGCGTAAATCTGCTTGTGAAGCATTTTCAACGTATTGTTTATCAAAACTGTTCGTCTCAGACAGGCTTCCGGGTCTTCTAATCGCCGTAACTTTTCAAACGTTACCTGTAATATAAAGCGACGTTGATCCACCGGCGAAACTGGAGCGGTTTCGCTTCCTACTACAACATTACTACTGGATTCCTTCCTTTTGATTCCTCTGTCTTTCACGCGATATATATCTATGAAACAGGAGATGAATAAGTAAATAGGTCAGGGCACAAATATTAAGTGCTTTTTAAATAACCCGAGACCCTTTCGAGACTAAACTTTGCAAAATTAAACAAGCGAAGACAAAGGGATCCTGCTTAACTCAAACAATCAGTCAGGCTTGATAGATGCATACGAATTAAGGATGAATATATGCACTCAGCCTTTGGCTGTACTTTTCATGCATAATAAGGTGTTGTTTTGAGATTAAAAAGAAAAGGGGAATTCAATTAGATGTATAAAAATGTACTCACCTTCCTCCCCTAGGTTATTACAAAGAAAATTAAGTTCTTCAGAAGGTGATTCCCATTCGTCCGCAAGCAATGTCTCGTCCTCATCCAAACACTGATCTTCCATCGTAAACGACCACAAACTTGTCATGGGAATTACAAGGGTCATTCCACATCGCCTGAGTAGGACCTATAAATGGTGTGAAAACGTTTTATAAGTATCAAGTAAATGAAGGCATGACTCCGTGAAACCCTACAATAAACCCGAGCGCGACTTTTCTGAAAAAGTTAAAAAATTTGGAACTCGCACTGTCTGATTGTCAAACGACGGCAAAAGGCGAAGGAAAAATATTGACACCGATCTCTCAATTTAGTTTATCGGTGCCACATCACAAACATACCTACACTAACAAATACGAGAGTAAATAGGCTAAGAGATTCCGTAGTTGAATGAACAAACTTCCCCTGTTACTATTTAAAATGATGAAGCTACATCCTTTCCACTTTGTTGTCCTCAAAACACTAATCAAAACCATCAAAATCATTAAAAATGAAAGTTGCTGTAGCGTGCCATTATTCCGGTTCATTAAGACACTCTACGCTTCGCAAATTAACCGACATCATGAGCTGGAAAAAATATCAAAGCTATGAGACCTTGAATGAAGATAAAAAGGAACTAATCTGGTTGTTTTAGCCCAGCCGCGGCAGATGTCTCACAAGGAATTCTGTGCTCCGTTTCACACCGCATCACACCACCACTCCTGTCACAAATCGTCATTTGATTGGCTTTCCATGCATTGAGCGGGCTTCTCTATTGTTCTCTGTGTCAAGAGATCGTCAACACACCTGTCGCTGTTTGTCAAAACGAGCCAATCGGAAGTGTCGGATTCCGGATACACAGTGCCTCGAATACAAATAGTCGCTTTGCGATTTTCTACCCGTTTTACGATCGCAGTTCCTTAATATTTTATACACGATTGTACGCGTGCATTATTTATTCAAGTGAAACCTAGTTGAGCATTGATCTTTTCTATACCAGTTTATTTCTTTAATAACGTGTCACATAATTAACTCATTAAAAACTTTTAGCTGCTGAAATTTGGAATTGCCAGGTATATTGTTCTGATTATTTTATTCAAATTTTGGACAGACCTCCGAGTCTTGGAAGCAGAGTGCATTTTTTTTTTCATTTTTATTTCAGTTTTGAAGGAAGCGGCCTGCATTGTTTTGTCAGAATTTTATGAGACTGAGTTTTTCTTTAATCGAAATCGCATGCAATTATATATTATAAATATTGTAAAATAATGGCACACGCTAGGTTTCTTCCGTCACTGACATTTAATAAAAGAAATTTACACTGCAAATGGTGATTTGCGCCCAAAGATTTGTTCTACAAAACTGTTTAAAATATTTACAGAGTACGCTAAAAATTGATCCTTCAAAACGTTTTGCTGCGAACAATACCGGAAATTTTGAGGTGAACCGTCAGTCTAATATAATATTTTGCCTAAGCAATAAAATGAAATACACACTCAGTGCTTGGACTGAGTGAAATGTACCGAATTATATTAAGGCAAATATTAAAAAGACAGCAAATACAAACAATTAAACGTCGACGACGTGCATAAGTGAGTCCTTTCTACTACTTGACGGTTTTTTCAGCTTTGCTCGTAACTCAGGTCTTGTCAAAGATTGGTTTTCGTTATTTTAAATTTATCGTAATCACATATGTCGGAAAAACAATCGCTAAGCGTTAGGGGTGATTACTAAGATGGCTTTTAAACGATCACTAGCTGCAGTCCTCGCTTCGAAGGAGTTCCAGTTTATTTAATGATTTTTAAAATCTTTAAATAAACTCGAAAGTTTCGAATAATTAATTCTGTTAGAACTTGGCTACAACCAATTTGTGTCGAAAGCCGCATTTTCTTTCGGTCGAGATATTGCTCGTCCTCTCAGATTTTGCACATGGCGAAAGCGAAACATCAATTGTAAAATAATTACATGTGAAGGCTACGCGAGAACTTCGTTGAATGCGCGGCAAATCACTTGATCTCGCTAGGATCAGGTTTTGTTAGAAGAGAAGTCATAATAATTTAAATTTATACAAAAACCATCTTTGTTATCTCCCACTTGTTGTAAAGAGAATATCAGTACGTAGTTTTTATGTCCTATCAATCAAAAAAGTGTTGTTACTTTTTTTTTACTAACCCACCTTATCGTTTATAGGTTTCCTTGTTTTGGTGCAAATATTTATCAGATTTTAGACGGAAAACAGTAGTTTTTTTCTCAAATCCGTGTGACCGCCTTGTGCAATATTGAAGTCTGGTGTATTTCATTAGCAATTACAGGTGAAAACAATGCAAACCAATAGAATCCCACATGGCGAATAACTTTCACATATGAATACATTGGCAAACAAAAAGGAGATCTCCTTTGTTAAAAATTCATTGTTTGCTAATCTAAGATGTAGCTGTCAGTAACAAAACCATTCGCTATAAATCAACAATATAATATGGCATTAAAATTTAGCACGGAAGATGGAAAGACAGTATTTCGCAAGCGCGCCAAGAATCAACTGAAGAAGTTTCCTCTTTTTTTGCATTGTTAAATCATGATTTCGATTCCTTGGAATGACGGCATCAATCTCAAGCTGATCGCATAAAATCGTTAATCTACGTTAAAAGGAGAAAATCCCACAGCAGGATTATCTGTTCTTCTGCAGTTTGCAAGGTCTTCAAGCGTAAAAGTCGTAAAATATATTAACTAAAGCTCGAATGATTATAGACAATAGAACAAAACACGAGTCTGTTTCATTAAAAAACCTTATTCTGGATATCATACTAAGTTTATTTAATTGTTCTGCGCAGAACTAAAAAAGTGACAACTCGCGTGTTTGGGTCTTTTATATCCAACAGCGAATTTGCAGTATGAAAGCACTCAGTATATTATCTATTTTAAAAGTTGTTGGTGGCAAACGATGCATAGTGAGTCTAATTGTTTTTCGGTAACTGAGAGGAAACTTAAGTATTTTTAAAAAAACCCATTAGTTTCTATGGTAACGTAAGACACGAGTAATTTCTGGAGTAATCGATATCATTTTACTCAGAAACTAATTACTTATCGTCCATTTATGAGAATTTTCTCTCTTGCCAGCAATTAAAGGTCATGGTCAGTTTTCCCGGGATTAACAGTGGAAACGTTGAAAAATTACCGGCACATGTAAAATGGATTTACAACCTGTAAACTACAATTTACATGTTTTGTAAATCTACATGACAGTTTGAAAAATTAAATTTACATCAATTTTCAATTTTCCCTCACCACTTAAATTTACTGCAAAAAACATTTACAGTCAGCGTCCTTCGGCAGTAATAGACTGAAGACCATGTAAAAATGTGTAAAATGTTTTACACGAATTTACTGTATCTTCTTCGTAAAGAGCCTGTAAATCTTTCCCTTCGGAACGTGTAAATAACGCGTAAATAAGAGTTTTAGCGATGCTGCAATATCGAGCAAATATTTGTCATCGTAGACATCATGTAAATCAAGACACTGATTCTGCTCTGTAAAACATTTGTAAATCGAAAAAGGGAGACTGATTTGACACTGTAAAACCATTGTAATTAAAAAAGGAGACTGGTTTGATAACCTGCTCTTTTCGCGAAGAATATTTTACGTTCCAAATTTTAGTAAAAGAATAATCATCATGCATCATCGGTTAAAAACCCATGGCTCCGGTTTATTTGTCAAACTTGCAACTGCATGCAAGACGGTAAAGTGCACGCGACCGAATAATCTAACGAGGGCCTGTGATGACACTGGATGAATTTCTCCTCCATGTCCTAGTTTTAGCAAAGCCACCATATTCAACTCTGTTAGGAACATCACTATCCGTCATTTTCTCTTTAGCCTTTCAAAGATTCGTCCGCTGCTAAGTGAACGGAGCCTAAGTGGGTCCTGAACAGTGATATTTAAAATTTCTGCTATTATAAACAGTTAGGTACATATTTTGTAGTTTTCTACAGATCTTAAAGTGGAGGCCAAGGGGCGCGCTCTCAACTCCCTTCTCATCTCTCCACACACTGCTCTCTCAGGAATTCGCTCACAACTGACTTTGTAGGGGTAACACAATTACTGGTATACCAGTAGTTTCCATTGTGGACCACAACTGGTCGCAGGTTAGCCTGTTCCAGGCTCCGAGATAGTGGTGGAAAGTCGCTCAGAAAAAAGAAATGCGAAAACGTGCGGGGGCTGTCCAATTTTTCCCGCCGCCACCGCCTCCTTTCTCAAGTCGCGCCCGTCTTATTTTCGCTTTGCTCGTTTTAATACGTTCCCACTATACTATCTGAGAGCCTGGCACAGGCTAGTCGCAGGCAAACCAGTTGATCTCCGGACTACCGAGAACAAAACTCGCGGTCTTAAGATTACAATTCCAGCACTCTAACCGCTCGCTCACGAAATCAAGACCAGTAAAATTCTACATAACTTTGGCTCCGCTATACAAACTTCAAACTGAGTGCTTGTGTCTGCACAATACAAACGTAAACATCTGATTCATCTCAGAGGGGCGTGACTAACAACCGGAGCGGGTTTTCCGACCGGATTCAGTTTTGTGTTCATGTTTCGTGTTGGTAGCTCCCAGAATTAAACGAGACACCACCGCGGTCTAAGGGTGCTTTCACACTTAGTGCCCGGGCACGGTACAAAATGGTGCTTTGTCCACACTCTGGGTACCCAAGTTGTCTTTCGTCCACTTTGCTCCGTCACACAGGGATCCGGTGCCCACTTTAGTGCCCAAGTATAAGGTCGATACCTTGTACTCGGGCACCGGAACCGTGCCTGAATTCTAGCGCGGGTCCCTTAAAAAAAGTGGGTTCACATTAGCGACCAGTTAGTATCATACTCGGGCACCAGTCTCCAGGAACTAAGTGTGAACGCAACCTACGATGATTTTTCAGGCTGAGAGGTGTCGTCTAAACAGAAGCAAGATTTGAAAAGTTGACTACCGATCTGAGTTTTTACCATTCTCACGTAATCAATCCAGGGTTGCTTGCCTTTTGACAAGGAAAATCCGGTTGAGTTGGCCAGTGGCATGGGATAATGAAAAGCAATTTAGCAGCTAAAAGCCGGCAAAGGAAGAGGGCGGAGAAAGGGGTTGATGCTCAGAGATACTCTGTCATTTCAATGGATGAACAAAAGTAGTCGCCAGTTAACAAGTTTCCTGTTTCTAAAACAAACTTTATTTTCTATTCTTTATTCAATCTGTCCTCAAACAACAACTCAGTTGGTGGGTGAATGCCACCACCAAGTTAACATTTTATATAACGGCAATACTCTATACTAATGTTTTACTCTAATAGAACCTTCCAGGTTTTTTTTTTTAACTTTTGACGGAGACCAGTAAGTGAAAATCTGTCAACACGACTCAAACTTAGTAAGTTGCCTAATTTTAAGGCGCTCTTTACAGCAGTGTAGATGGATATTTGATTACTGTTCTTTAACAAAACTTGAAAAACAAAAAACTGCCGTGTAAGGGTCTATTTTCCTGAGGTATACTTAAGACTTGCCGAGTACTTGCAAACTTCTCTTACGGGAAAAAGAGGAAACACTTACTGATCAGGGATCAAACAGAAAATAACTCCGCCCAGATAAAAGTATTTTTTCAGTTCTGTTACACAGTTAATACATCTCCGAAGTTCAACGGCACTAAAATATTAATAATAAACACAACTGGGCTATTAGATTTCATCAATATCGATATGTTCTTTGCAGTAACTTAAGATTTATGCCACAAATGATGCAAACAAAATTAGCGTCGGGCAGTGATTATTTAAAAAAGGTATAGATTATTATCTGATATGATAAGAACTATTTCAGACGAACTAGAGCCTTCTTTTAATTTCCACAGCAGAAAGGAATAATTTCTTAACATAATTCTCTTACATTTATAGCCTTCTCAAGTAGATTTATTCTGAGCTAAGGTGAATATTTAGAAGGCTTAAGCAACCACAACGGCGACTACAGCAGTAGAAAGAGCATTAAATTTTATCCCGATAATTCCAGCTAGCTCAAACCATCGAACAAAAGAAAGAGAGAGGAAAAGTTGGTGTTCCGTGTTCACGTTCTCCATGAAAACGTTGCATTAGGACGTTTCACACCGTAGTCATGCAGTGACGGCAAAGAAATGTACAAAAATTAACGTGAGGCAAGTGCAGAGTTGCCATTAAACCTATTGCTTCTTGGGCAGGGTAGTTGCAGTCACCTTGTAGGTTGTCTGGACTTAAAAATTCACCTTTTCGCGATCGATTTCGCCCACTTTTATATACTCTATTGTCTATTTTAAGAAAGTGCGACAAGAAGAGGCGAAAAGAAGCGCGAAAAACACTGTTCACTCTTATGGTACATATATCTCATATCTACCCCTATACTAACTATAGCGATATTGTTTAGATTTGAAATCAATATTTTCTTAAAAATAAAATCAACTTTTTCGGCAAACTATTGCTTAATTTCCTAACTACACTCTTCATTTCAGTGAAATGTATCAACTGAAGTTCGACAATTCTTTACAACGAGCTTGGCTCCAACATCATATACTCTCACTAACGAGTAGTGGGTGGCCCTCAATACTCTCATACGACTTGTTGAGGCCAAATAACCCACGTCAAATTTACATTTTTACATACGGTTATTCAAATGAATCAGTACAGATAAATACTACAACTATCGAGAAACCAATCCCCATATAACAGAGTTAATGACGGGGAAAAAAGAGGCCGTAGGTCCGACTAGAAACAACAAATGTTTACTAAGACTGCTCCCCATAGTGTAACACAAGGGCCTGGAGTAAAAAGTACAGTAAAACGCCCCTAAAACGGTCACCGAGGGGGCCATAGAAAGCGCCCGTGTCAACGGGGTAAGGGCTTTCTTTCCTCAGGGACAACCCAAACTGTCCGTAATAGAATTAGATGTCCGTAAAGAGGGGTTTTACTGTAGCAGTCATCTGGTCTCACGATGTTCAACATCTCAGTATAATCCAAGGAATTTCAATAATTTACAACTTTTTTCCAGCAGATATGTAAATGACAGCAAAACCAAAAGGGGTGCAAAGTTTCTTACTTGGCGATTCCTTAGCTGATGAAGTAAAAAGAGAGCAATTTCAAAGCCAAAAGGATGCAGTTTCTGATAAGAAACACGAGTTTTTCGTCGCAGCATGGTAGACTTCAGGTGGAAGTTGCCTTCCTACGAAGTTGAAATTGCCTTCCTTTTTCCTCTCAAAAATTACCCCTAGGCTCAATACCCGTCGCTCCTTCAGGTCCGATCTTATTCTTCCCCGAGAAGAGACGAGTGCGGGCTCATTCTCTGATCAACGGCTGCTAATAAGGTCTACAATATCCCCATTATCACATCACAGACACTAAGGGTCAGTTATTTAAACGAATTCTAACTTACACCGCGGTTTAGCAAGTCTTTGGACCTTCAGATCTCTTCCTTAGTAGTTCAATTTAAGAAGACAAATGCTTGTCTCGTGTAAGTCATATGCTTTCATGAAACTCTTCACAATAAATGGTGTTAAGCAAAAACATTCGGCAAACTGAAAATCTCTTAGAACGGGCTTTTGTTAAGCACTGGCTGAATTCCGTTTATGTAACTGACCCTAAAAGTTTATAAACATTAAAGCATAAAATCGGCGTAGCTTTTAAAAGAAATCTACAATGTGTCAACAATAAAAACAACTAACAAAACATTACTTCTTTTTGTACTAAAAATAAAGTATTCAGTGACGTCAAAGAAGACCAACTGTGGAGCCTGGCACTATGGGCCACTCGGCACTCTCTAGGTCCCAGACCTTCACCTCCATCCCTTGTTTGCTAGCCGGCCCGGTTTCATTGACGTTACAAGTTATACCCTTTTGTCGTATGATAGCGTTGATGTAACTCGCCATGAGAAGAGTGATTTCAAGAATCTGCAATGATAAGAACGTCTCCATCAAAAGAAGGCTTCAACATGTTAACGACATATTGCCATAGCTGCCGGAAGTACATCTTACAGTCCGTTTTCAGTGAGTGGAAAGGAGCAAGCTGTAACGTTGAGACGGAAGACAGCAAAATAGTAGAAGACGAACCGGGAGAGAAGCCTCTCCCTTTACGAGCAATCTTTTATTGTTCTTCACGCCTTCAAGGGGTATCACACGACACAAGAAGAGAGGGCGCCAATCAGACTTCTCCGGTAGACGCCTTCATTTTTCTCAAAATACGGATTTGCTTGATTCGCCACAAACATTGAAGAACAGTACGAGACTGACGTGCCTTATGAGTTGATCTTTGAGCGACGACTCACAGACGGTGGATAGCCTGCGTACAGACGTCTATCAAAGGAAACACTGGGGAGACGTCCGCACGCAGGCTAACACACGGGTATAACTGACATTACTAAAAACTCAATCATTGTATAATGCAATTCTAGAGCTCTGATTGGCTTAGCCATCATGGTATATTTAACAATTATTCCACGAGGGCGCGTTGGATATGAGATGATACATAGCCAACGAGGCGCGTAGGTCGGAAATAATTCTCGATATTTTGTGGAGTTTTAATAACACAATTATTCCACTCGTGCTTGTTGGATACGAGATGATTAAAGCCAACTCATATCCAACGCGCACTCGTGGAATAGTTTTAAATATCAAATAGTCTGACACAACCTTGCAAAGGACACTCATACGGTCCCAAGAGTGTTTATTTTAGACAGAGTTGAGCTGGCTGTATTTAATGAGCTGCAAACCGTTACCTTTTCTCTTGACATCACAAACAATAGTCTCTGTGTTCCTTGCTCTACTGTAGCGCCGCCACGCATGATGGACTGGTTCACCACTAACATGAAGTCATCTTTCCATCCTCCAAACGTCACTACTGATTTATACCGGTACCGACACATCAAGCGCTGAAAAAAAATCAACACACAAACTGAAGGCCAGTACAGTAAAATCCCGCATATGAGAACCTAGAATTTTCGAGGTCAGGCTGAACAGGTTCTTATATTTCAGGGTAGTTTTTCAAAGTTCAGGCATACAGTTTCTAAGAAGAAATCTCACGAATACAAGTGAATCTCTCCCTTCTACCCGGTTCAAAGTTGTCTCATAATTTTTGACTACGATCCAGGAATCCTTCGAGCCTTTTCGTAATTGATTGTAGCTAAGCAGGATGAAGAAAGCAAATCTATTTTTCTTTTCCTGAGTGGGTGATCGTGGTGTTCTACCACAAGGTCGCCAGACGAAACACTCGTTCACTCAAAGTTCTTGTGTCCTCACTCCTACCACGATCATTTCATTACGAAGAGCGACATTTATCGGCAGAAAATTAAAGCTAGTTGTCCATTTGTATTTAAGTGAATGAACAGGACTATTTCAGACCGTTCTTGGTAAATAACGAACTAACAACAGACTTACCAAGCTTTGCCCTTCCAGTATACTAATGCTATCCTCCTCCACTGCTAGCCAAACCGGCTGGCTACTCTCTGTTTGAGGTCCTCGCTTTTTAGCAGCTGAAACTGTATGCTTTTGCTGTTAACGAAGAGACAATCTGTCAGTGCCGTTCATAAAAGGCATATAACCCAATTCTCCACTCCAAAACTATAAGAGCCATGGGTAAAAGATTTCCGCGCAACGATTTCTGGGATTGTTTTGGTGGACAAGCGTTAATTATGATTGGTCGATGGTATCTAAGACAACCACTAACCAATCATATGTAACGCTTATCCGCTCAAACTATCCCAGAAATGGTTACGCCGAAAGCTTGTACCCATTCTCCTTATAGTTTCTGGAGTAGGGAATGACCCAATTATTACTTGATGAAAGGCAAAGGTTAAAATTAAGTAACATAGTTGTAGTTCAATTTCTGACTGAGCGAAAAAAGGTCAAGAAAAGGTGTTTCATTTTAAAGCCAACCACAATGGCTATGCTGAGCACACTGAATTTCACAGGTTCAACGCTTTTGCGCCCGCTAGTTTTTTGGTAGCACATCCATTTGAATCGCTACGACTGCTAAAAAAAGTACAGGGATCTGTTTTATGGGTGCGATCAAATGAAAACCTTCCTTTACTTTACAACCATAAGAAGGTGGTTTTTTCTCTTATACCTGTGCCTGGAATAACTTGCAGCCAAAAAACGGCCATCTGCGTGCATTCTCCAGATACCTATCAACACACTCCCTTTGGTTCCAGCCATGCAGTGTCGACCACTTCTCGGCCATACGCAAAGTTAGCGATCTGACAAAGAAAGAAAATAAATCTTTTGTCAAAAATGCGTCACCGGGCGATAAATCCCACAGGACAGCGGAAAGGTTCGTACAAAAAGGAAAGGCAACACAAACAAGGGGAAAGGTTCAAGAAGGAGACCGGGTGAAACGGCCAGAGAGCAGAGAAAAGGAAAAATAATAGGAAACAAGCCCACAGAACCTAACTGACCAGAAACTGAAGGATAGTCCGCAAAAAAGAGGAAAATCCGGAACAAAAACAAAAAGGCCTTTAGCAACAGTGAAACACTGGTAAACAAGAAAGTCCGGCTGATCTCGGTATCGAAACACGAACTATGAATCAATCACTAACGTTGAATAATTTCTTACCGCTTGCCAGTTTCTTCTTTCAACGTCTTCGCACAAAACTGAGAGATAACCATTTCAATTCTCGTGCTTGGTAGCGAATTTGTATGAGCTCTGTAGTCACCGTAAGTGATCTAAAATCAAACGTTATATCATGATCAGACATAAACTGAAGAAAACAGTCGATATACAGGTGCCTCTCTTAAAGCTCCTATAAAGCCTCCAAAGCAGCGTGAGTGCTGTAATTCGTTCAGGTTTTTTATGAACAGAATACCGTATTGAAAATCGAACGCCCACCTACGCGATCGCCCTTTATGTTCACCCTCAATCCTAAGCTTCTTTTAACAAAAAGAGAGAAAATACTAACCATTATGCACAAAGACGGTAAAAAGAAAAGTTAATTACCTGAGCCATCAGAGCAGCAAACTCCAGCGCCATCTCTTTGCTTACTTGAAATCGGCCTTTTACAACATTAGCATTTGTCTGCAAGAATTAAAACCATAAATAATTATCGCTGAAAAGAAATAGAACATTGTAGTTTCTAAAGCGACTGCTTATATATTTAAAAAGTTAAGAAATACAGCGAAAGCTTTTACCATTTGCAGTACAATACTTATGTAAGTTTTCAGTGGTCGCCTAGTTAGGCGAGGGTGCCAACAAAATTAAAATCGAGTTGGAGCTGGCCAGTCCCTCACGCAGAACGCAGGCATTATCCGCCATCATGTTATATGATCGATTTAACTATTTGAAAAAGGTTAAGGTTTAGGTTTCCTCTATAAGACAAGCTATCACCAGAGCCCCAGGCTTAGCCAGCTGTAGTTTGTCACCGGGAGAGAGTGTCATGGGGCTCAATGAACAAAAATTTGATTTTTTGAATTAGTTGTTGCTAAAATGTACCTGCCAATTGATAAAGGTTTTGACCGGAAGTTCAGTTTATACTTTCGCAATAAAGTCACTGGGCGCCTCGTCGTGCCAAAGATAGGGCGGAGTCGTTTAAGCTTCATGTTATACTCCAGCTTTACTATTTTTATTATTAGCTGATTCTGTGATAAAAACTCCTTGTCCCCCGAGCTGGGGGAGCACAGAAAATAGAATTCCTCACCTGAAGAACTAGGAAAAATCTCTCCTTCTCAGTCTCTGTGCTGCTGAGGCTCTTAAAGTGTAATCTTAGGAGAAAGATAAAGTACAAAACATCAATTACAGTCCCGTTTGGGTGATTGCCTGAAAACGCCGTTTGCTTTGTGACCTAATAGGGACGCAAGGTGGCGTTTTTAATATTGGATTTGTCGAACTTAAACCGTAAAGGAGGAGGTGTCTATATGGCATATGCTAGACCACTGAAAGTCTGCATTTTTATGAGCCAGTCATGTCCATGATTAAATGTCACTGACACAGACTATCCTTTTGATAGTCATCAAAACCCATGAACGTCACCGAAAAGCCCACCTTATAGCTCTTTCTGAAAAATACCACGATAACAATCTTTAATGCGCGGGTTTAGCCTCGTCTAGGTTAGTAGATGCAGTTATTTTAGTGCCCTTCGCTGAAATAGCATACAAATTGTACAAAATCTGATACTTTGCAGGTGCAGCTCGAGCCAAGACCCTCCTGAATATGTCCAACGACGTCTCTAACCCGGCACATTAGAGAGTACTATGGTATTTTTTGGAAAAGCCTATTCTGTCAAACAAAAATTCTCTTCGAGCGAACTTCCATTATTAATCACCTGTTTTTGTACGACAGTTTGATGACCCGACTCGTATCCAGTCTCCCCTGGCTCTGACGCATGGCTTGTTCCCATTTTGATATCACATCACACAGCTGTGTAACGAAAAAATAAAGGAAAACGTATTCTGTAACTCACAGAGCGAAAAGAAACGCAATCACCAATTACGCGAACTTCAATCAATCTTGTTTACTGAGAGACTTCAAAGCCGAGCGATAAAAATATTCTCTTCACTTCCTGGGTAAACGACAACATAAGTAAGTTTATAGATCATCATTTCGCGATTAAGTGAGCTATAAAGGGTGTCCATCTGTGCATAGAAATATTACATATATCACGCCCGAATTTGATGCTGCTCAAATTTGGAGACAGACAAAGCAACTATCTCGTCTGCTGGTAACTGATACCACTATATCTCGAATTTATGAAGGCATGCTCAGGACCGTTTCTTGCAATACCAACCTTTACACTGGCTTGTAAGCAATGTTCCACTGCGTTGACGGGGTTATCTGTGAAAAGCGCGAACCCACTCTCTGGAGGAGTACGAATACCCATCATCTGAACGAAAGTAATAAAACTTCTATAAATTTATTGGTAACCACTGGTTAGGGATTTATCAAGAAAATCCTAGAATTCAAAATAGTGTCGTAAAAGGCACCGTAAGAAGCATAAAGAAACTTGTAGCAAACTAAATTAGAGCTGTGCTCTAGCAGCGCCCAGTGGCCCCTGGCACCTTACTTTGCGTTTGGCTCTGGGGTGACTAGGAAACTACGGCTTAGTTTTTTCATACCGACTTTTCATGCTGAGCACCCTCGATCTCTCAGGTTTAGAGAACTGGAGTCAATTTAATAAAACCTTTAGAAGTGTAGGCAATGTTAGAGAGTCTCAAAACAATAGCTACACTTGTAAATTACACTTGTAAGAGTTATATTTAATTGACCCCTAGGCTCCCTTCGTATTTTATTAGAGCACAGCCTTGTAAATTATGACACATTCCTCCACACTGTGAAGATCAACGACAAGAAAGGTGCCTTGCCAAACCAGGTCGCAAGTATCCAGCTTAACATTGACAACCACTTCTCGAACAGCCCTTTGCTACGGCTTTAGAAATAGTTGGTTAAGTTGAAAAAAAAAAAACGCTCTTACATGTTTAAACGTAAATACTTTGGAGTACGGGTGAATTTAATGTCTATTTACACCATAGATTTCCATTTCCATTAACAGAAAGCAAGAACATGCCATTACAACTTACTCTGTTGATTGTCTCGGAGAATTCTTGAACTGTGGTCGAGCCATCAAAACCAAATACCTGGAATTATAATAACAAACCGAAACATTAGCTTTTCTAATACACCATCCTCAAGTGATTTTAAACTCCTACGACTTAAGACCTGAACGATTTCGTAAAACCCCTGATCATGTTGTGTTCTTAAGTAAGAAAGCTTAGTACAGGGTTCATACAGATTTTGGATCCAAAATTCAAGACTTTTTGCAGACTTTTTCCCAAAACAATACTTTCTTTTTCCAGACTCAAGATTATCAAATAGGTGATCAATAGAGAACTTAAAAACAAAACACAGGAACAAAGCTTTTTTCATGATGCGCTGCAAACGTACAGGCGAAATTGAATAGGAGCTGACCAAAACGAAAAAAATTACTTATAAAGCACATGTTGTAGCTTTGCAAACAGAAAAACTCAAGACTTTTCACCACTTTTCCAGACACCATCTCCATTTTCCAGGCTTTTTCAAGAATTAAAGACTGTACGAACCCATTCAGTACACACCATCCACGTACTCAGGTGTTTTTCAGTTGATACTTCAGGCGCCATTAGGCAGCGGGTAAACTGATGATAAAATAAGGCCACGCTCAATTCACGCGGCACCGGACGAATTTTGGACCGGCTGAAAAATTGGACGGGAAACTTCATTCACGCAGAACCGTTCAATATTTTCGCTCTGTTCACACGGAACTGATGAAGCAGGTTAAATTTTCACGTTGTCACTGATTTCACCATCTACCCATGTGCAGAGAGCTACTTTAAAAAATCCAAATTGGCGTCTCCTAGCTGAGTTACTACGCAACCATGCAACCACACCTTTCAAAGTGTCGAAGGAAAATTTAGCCGGTTATGGTGTTCACACTTTCGACCGTACCGGCTAAAAATAATATGACATCTATGTTGGCGCTCAATTTTTAACGACTAGGTATCTAAATTTTGGACGACTGCATGTTGGCATGTAGTGAATCGACCACAAAACCGTGCGAAAACCACTCTTTTTGTGGGCAAATCCGCTTGTTTACAGTTGGCCCTGTAGTGCACTAGTAAAACAATACTTTAATAATAACAGACCAAGTCGCCCAACGTTTGACTTACTTGAGTAGTGCCGTCAATAAAATGAACTGGAATGCTCATAGAACAAGAGTGATCATATGGCCTGTGGAGAAGAACAGACAACACCTGCAGAAAAAAGACCATGAAATGAATAAAAACAAATGCACTGAATCATTTATGTACATTAAAACTAAAGGGAGGGAACAGAGAAAAAAGCAGTCTTACTGAGCAATCTATGTTGCATAAAAAATATTGTAGGATGTTAAAGCCACAAAGAAGAGACTTGAAAACATGAGCATTTCTCTTTTTCGCTTCAAGTTTTGTGAGGACAGTGGTCCATCCTCTGTCATCTTCAGAGAAGAGCTCGCTAAAAATACTGTAACGATCGAGAGGGCACCATCCAATAAATACGAACGCTATCAGGCTACATCTTGGCTTGCCAGATTTCGTGCGCACATGCAATTTTAAACGGCGCCTCGATGAACGGGGAGAACTAACGCTCAGCGAAAGAAAATCTACTAAAGCAATTGTTCAATTCATACTATCGTCTTTTGTTTCACTACATTTAACCATTATTGGTGCAGACTAGGCAAGAGTTTTTATTCCTACAAATTACCTCCATTCTTGATGGTCTTGCCTCTCTTTTCCCGTTAACCAACGTTCTTTCCAAGCTTCTAAGGCAATAGGTGGCATATTTTCCAAGCTTTGTTCTATAGAGGAAAACAAATGATTTGCAAACCGCATGTTTCATATGAGATTTTGAGTCAATACCCTTAAAGAATGCCTTTCCTAAAGAAGATCTTTAGAAAAAAACGTAAAATATCACGCACTTAGCTGCTAATTAACCCGAGATCAGGCCCAATTTTAGCGGTTCTCATACATTCTCTCTAACGGCTTCCGCTAAAAATTGGGCCTTGCCCGCCGGAATGTTATTTACAAAGCGAAACGAAAATAGAGCCTGATCTCAGGTTAACTACTAATATCCTATACAAACATTCTCATTGAGACCATATGTTTCACACGAAGATTGTAAGTAATTCTATTATGTAGGAGCCGGAGGAAGCGTGGCCGACTTGCAATCCGGAAGCCCCGAGGTCAAGTCCCGCCCAAACAGCTAACTGGATTTGTTGTCGGTAGTGCCCAGTTCAAAAACTCGGCTACCCTTGTAAGTACTAGCCAACTAGTTCAGTTGTCTTCGGCCAGTTGTGATTCTTAACCCGGCGTGCTATGTTTAATTTGAATTATTTGCCTCCTACTCTCTGAAAAGTCCTTTAAGGGAAGAGGAATATTAAGTACTACTGGTAATTTTATTCAGTGATAGTACTCTAAACTCAGCTGGGTCTCATTTTACACCATTTATTTCCAGCAACAGTAGAGACTTTTAGATTCGAGGAAAAGGACGAGATTTGACTTACAGTTTATTCGCGTATTCTCAAAAATAGGCACCCCGAACAGCTTCATTTTACTTTTTTTTTTTTACCAAAAATGTTAACTCAGCTACTTTTATTGAAGGACGTTAAGCACTTCTAACATTTGATAACTTGTTTCCGCCACAACGATTTTTTCGCTTAAAAACCGTAGTACAATGACGACGGCTACCACGTTTTCCCGCCAAAATGACGCTGATTCACGCCCTTAGTATTGAGAAAATCTCGTCCTAGTAGTCGTCTAAAGGTCTCTAGTAACAGGAAATCATGAACAGCTACCTTAATGTCGAACTTCTGTTTAAATGCCCCTTGAGAAAAAGCAAAAATTTCTGTTTAGGGGCAAACAACGCGGTGCAGAGTGCAAGAAGCTGCCAGGCCTGGACATAGACATGTTCCTGAACTGGGCGCAGATCGATGGTGGCCTGTGATGAAATGTCGAACGAGTCTTCCCTCAACCACGATGACTTGCCACAATGCTCCAAGAAATGCTGCAGAGAGACAGAACACGGATGTTAACAGATGTTGTTTTCGTTCAAGGTGTAGAAAATAACAGCGTAATTCCGCCGCGGTCTAATGTCCGAGGAGTTTTCTTTTTGCCTTTTTCTACAGTGCGTCCAAAAGGTAATTTATGAGCCATAATAAAATATGAAATTCATATATTCATCATTTCATCTTCATCTCTCCCGGGTATATTACGAACCAATTTCATGACCAGCTCCCGGTTGGAAGCTCTTACTAGTTAGAGCGCTACACTGATATTGCAGAGGTCAGGGTTCGAATGGCGGCAAGCCTCAGTTTTTTCAAGCTTTCTTTTCGCATCTACATATTAAAGTTGCGCCTTAAGCTGCGCTAAGCTTCTTTGCATTTATTTTAGTGATAAATCAGGCACAAAACAATTAACTCAAGGTTTTCATAGACCAGCACCTGTATTCAACACAAGCAAGTGTTTGTTTGCAGTAGCGATTGCCCTTTTAGATTTATACGTGTTTGTGGTGATCAAGATTTTCCTTCTGTGACTCTTACAACGCCTCTGAGGAAAGAAACTGGCTCCTGAACGAGTAGCGGTAAGGGTTTGATTGAAAAAGTTTGGACATGGATTAGGGAGGGGTTGAGTGGAAATGGTTCCCGAAGGAAGCAACAGTTACTTCGGGGCCGAGTTCTTCTACGCCAGATCATCTCTAATCCTCGGTTAATTGCAAAGAATCCATGTGAGTTGTCACGTTAAATGACCTGAGATTACCCATAATAGGCCTTTGAACAGTTACAAATAAAAAGAAGGGATGGGGAAGCCAAAACACTTACGCCCAAATCCTCAGGTCCCCTATGCACATGTTTTGAGGTTTGTTTAATCAGTTGGCAGTAAAACTCATTCTGAAGTTCAGGATGATCAAGGCATTTCTGCAAGGCATTCTGGGCTAGTGACACGTGGTAATCGATGGCTGCTTCTTCTGTCTGCACAGTTGTAAACAGGTGCACGGACTAGGAAAAAAGAGAATACACCGTCAATACAAATTAAAATATATATAAAAAAAGGAGGAGAGATGGGGCTTCGCCGCTCGCCCCTCACGCGTACTCTCGGTCTACTGTGACTCAGAAGAAAAATAAAAGACTGCTCGCAGTCTAAGAAACACACAAAAAATAAGAAATTTAATTTTGTAAAATGCCGAATAACAAATTGAAGCAGCTAGAGTAATGGTGTGCTTTCCAACCTTGAAAAGTTTGAGGGCTTCATCCTCAAGTTCCTTAGATGGAAGAGTAGTGAGCGGTTCGGTGATTAATTCTTTTACGTGATTCAAAACATAGCTATTCCACGTTTCACTCTCTGGAAAATAAAATAAAATACAAATGCTAAAAAAGATTATACCTGTTCAGTAAAAGTAAATTATGAATTGCTTCACTTTCAGCACCACAAATTTTATGGATTAGCCTGCAAACCGCAGACGTATTTCTGGTCGTCGCTTCTCTCCCTTCGAATTTTTCGGAAGGAGAGAACCGACGACCGGAAATACGTCTGCGGTTCGCAGGCCATTTATCAATTGGACTCTGAGGAAAAATCGTTTTAAGACTAAGCTGCTCTGACAAAACTGTCTAGGGTGTCCAGCATACTGGTTTTTAGTAAGGAACTGGTCAAGTCGCCCGAAAGTCATCTCGCCCGAAGTTAGCTAGCAATAAACACTTCCAATCAAGAAATGATACGTTTTATGGAAAAGTTATTTGAGAAAAGTAAATATATATTACCAGCATCACAGTCTTGAGAAATGAGTTCAAAGATGTGCTTCTCAAACTCTGTACCCATGTCATCAATCCCGCTGCCTGATGCGACTTTAAGATGGAACAACCAAGAGTCCTACCAGGATTTAAACATATCAAGCCAGTTAAAAAAAAACAACAAAGTTTAAAGGGTGCATAACAAACCCGTTAAATTTGGCCAACTCTTACATCTTAACATTGTTTTTTTTTTTGTTTAAGGCGGCAAGAAAGAGGATTACAGCGCACACAAGAATACCATACTTGAAACTAATAATAACCAAAGGTTAAGGAGTGCGGGCGAGTTTCAGGTTCTCTAATGAAGGTCAAAACGCTTTTTTGCAACGTAGCGTCCAACACAGACGTTTTTAGGGGGCGCGACTGCCCTTAAAAGGCGTCTGCTTGGGCGAATAGCTCCAACGCTGGTACACTGCGTAAGTTTCACGTGATACTGTAGAAGATCAAACACGCGTGATCAGATTGCGTTCGCAATTCATTCATTCTTAGTGCAAGTCCAAACGAGTGCTTGCTAGATACGCACCAAGCATGCGTAATGGCAACCTGGAAATTAGGATTGCGGGCGACAATAAACACACTAGAAACTGAATTGGACGCCAAGTTTGTTTAGTTAACTGCAATCTCTCAGTACCTTCAGAAGGTACTATTTATTTTAGTATGTAGTTCCAGCTTGTGAGTGTGTGGTGCGACAATTCAGATGAAACCTCTTTTGCAATACTTGAACATGGTGCTATTTGTTTATCAGCATAAAAAAAATAGGATGTTTAATTCTGTAGTGCCACTTCTGAAACACTTCTGAGAGCAAAATGTCTGACAAATTCAAAGACTACCCACACGCCACAACTTCTAATAACCTCCCAACCGGAATTTATGCTGTATTTGCCACTTGCGCATAGCTCTTAATAGACATCATTTGCCCCCCAAAAAATGTCTCTTAGGATAACTGCATGTGATACCCAGGAGTTAATGGCAACAATGGTTAAGGAAAATTTTGGGGAACCAATAAAGTGTATTATGGGCAGTGCGAAAATAGTGAATGGATATTTTCTGTAGATTACCTTCTCCTCTTTTGAGTCGATCAACAAGTAGGTGCTAGCAGGTTGTTTGAGTGACTTCATCACCAGTGTATAGTGCCGGTAAGGTATTGGTTCAGAATCCAAACCATCTTCAGAATCTGGTGACTCCATCTCCTCTACTATCACGTCTATCATGAGTGTCATGCTAAAGGGCATCTGTGTTTAACAACAATCAGTTAATACAAATAGTTAACGCCTCACTCTTCAGCTGAAACAATATTTTATTACACATCACAATAATGTTGTGAGAATGTTGTCAATTCAACATTGTTGTATCTTGGTTAATATATCCTCAGCCTGGATGTCATAGATTTTTTCCGTGTTTGGCGACCAAGGAGTTGAGCAGCAGAGCTGCCAAAGTGAGTTGCGCAGCAGCGAGAAAGCTTACCGACCAGCACTTTGCTCTTTACGCTTCTTGCAGCTAGTGAGTAAGGAGGCCTTTGGGATTCAGGGCAGAGTGAGTGATTTTACAATAATTTATTTTTTCATTTACCAAATGAATAATACACACATGTAAGTGTTCAAATTATTAGATGGAGTTGTTATTAACTGAAACAGAATTCTCCTTTACTTACCACATCATCTTCACTCTTGTAGTAACAAAGGTACTGTCCACGTAAAACAGTCCAACATTTCTTGGATGTACCATGTTTAACCTTTTGGTGAACAAAACAAAATCAGTAATAGGAATGCAGCTAAATAACACCCTAGTTAATGCTTTGTGTTTAGACTATCTACTGGTGAACATTGCCTCTGTCCTCTCTAAGCAACATTTGCCCTAGGATACTATGTCAAGAACAGAGAAATTGTTTTAAATTAATATATATATTATTTTGCCACAGTATTTTTCCCCACGTAAAGTTGGGATTTAATAAGCTTCTGGTTTAGAATAATAACCTACGTAAACTTGAGGTCGACGGTGCGCTCGTTTTACCCCCCTCTCTCCATCAATGCTCCGCTTTAAGGGTATTTAAAGCTAGTCAAAGCTACACAGAAAAGAATGAAGTTGAAACAAGGATGTGATGTCACCAGGGATCGAACTTGGAACCTCACGCACTGAAGGACCGGTTTTGAATGATAAAAAATCTTACTTCGCTCAAAGGCTGGGCGGGTATAAAACAAAATAAATAGCACTGAGATTAATTCTTTTGCTTTATTCCCCTTAGGCCCAGAGTCGAGCATGAATATCTTTGAAACTGGTCCATTCAGCCAGCAAGTAGACCTGAGTATGCAAAACTAAACTAAAATTTATTTGATTGATCAGTCTCACCTTTGTTAGCCAGCCTTTCATAATTTCTTTTTCACTAGCTTGCAAGAGTGGAGTGCTTGAAAACTTTCTCATCACATTATGCAAAACTAAAAATATATAAAACCTTAGGAATAAGTCAATGAAAGAATGAATAATAATAAAAAGCATGGAGCACAGTAATGAAGTTGTTTGAAAGCCAGTCACTGCCTATCCTGGTTTGAATGCTAATCTGGGTTTCTGTTTCTTTGAAATCATTTATTTTTCTCTGTTGACTTCAACATAGTCATTTCAGCACACCCAGGAGTCAAATTGGGGTGGGCAAAAAGAATTTGCTTCATAAGCATTCAGATTTTAATCTAAATGTCATAATTGTCAGTGATGTAAACCTGCTTATGAATAAATAACCTTAAACTGGATGAATTTAATATCAATAATTATACTATATGTTATTAAAGTTTCATAATAATATTATTTTTATTACCTCTGAGCCACTCATCAACCACTTCCTTGGTCTCCCCAGTTAAGTAAAATGTTCTCTTTGGCGTTGCAACCTTTAAGTTAAGGATTGTATGCAAATTAGCTATAACACAAAGGTAATTATAGAAAGTGATCCTAAGCTAGGAGTCTTGTGGTAGCCAACGTAACTGAATGATAAATGTTGAGAAGTTCATTTACTTATTTCTACTTACAGTTGCAAAAAGAGGGCCTGAAAAATAGAGTACTGTAAACTTCAACTTATAAGCACCCCTGCACTTATAATTCCCCCCAGTTATACCATTTGCCAGTAAACAAAAAAAATACAGCCGGTTGTAAGGCCAACCCCCACCCTCCAGATATAAGCTCCCCTGTAGCATGTACTGAAATGAACTCCATTTTTTTACAATGTTTTAAAGCATAAAAAAGCGAGTAAATTCAAAAAGTCTTTTGATCAGCACTGCTACATAGCTTGTTTTGAAATGCCTTTTTGAGTCCAGTTAAAAGCCTCCCCTGGATAGAAATGCCCTCTTTTGATGTGTCCTCACTAAAAACCCTTATGAAGGTGTATAAGCCTTGGGCTTTGCCAGAAATTAATGTTTCTTACTTCAAATGTGAGTGCGCCTTCTGTTCTGGCAATTCTGCAAGTCCCATCCAATGGAATCTGTCCCAGAGGCTTTCTGTTTACATCATGCTACAACAGGAAAAGTTGATCATGTCATGGGAGTAGAATTTAAAAGAATTCATTTTAAGTGCCTTGTGGGAAATGACTGTCTTACTTTTTAACGTCATTAAATGCTATGTTGAGCACCTGCTTAAGATGGATGCCAGGCTATTATGTGGAAGGAATTTCCCTTGTGCTGTGCAGAAAGTCAGGGCTGTGCAAATGCATCTACTTCACTTGGTGAAACAACATGAGTTAAGTAGCTGTTTTCTCATTCAGTTGAAAGGAAGCGATATGGTACAGACTTTTTAGGGTTTATGTATATGTAACAGGTCAAAATATATTTGGGTTAAAATTTTTTATCCACATGTTTCGCCTTAAAGTAAACTAACCAATTGAGCATTACTTTGAATAGATCAAGTTAGTAGAATCTTAAAACTTATAGCTCTAAGGTTAAAAGACAGACTTAAAATAAAGTAATATTGGATAGCTTTTTTACCTCTGTCTTATAGTAGTAAAGTTTACCATCACGAAGAACAAACCATCTTCTTTTCCAGTTTTTTACCCGGCCTCCTAGCTTGGTTAGATAGCCTTCCTTTTTCTGGTCTCCCTACAAAAAGACATGAAACTTTCTTTCCCTAACGGTACTCTCCGATAGACTGACATTTCCAAAATTACTTCACTCATCACAAAATGAACAAAAAAAGGCCATTGAATGGCAGGCATTATTTGCAGTGTCAGTATGTTCAGCTGTAAATTTACAGATGCCATCAAAAGTGGTAACAACAGGACAGAATTAGCCAAGGAGGCCCACTCCACTGTTAGCCACTGATGATTTTTTTTACCATATTTTGACCACTTCTGCAATCTAAATCTTAACAGAAGCACAGCAGAACAATGGAATCCACTTGTTCCCTATATAATCAGGAATAAACATAAGCCTCACAGTGCTCACTTAACAAGGATTTTTTTCCAGATTTCAGCAATTTCAAATTTGGAGAGATCCATGTGTGACTTGAGGAGATTCGTGAGTCGCAAGGCTGGTATTTCTTTAGGCGCTGGCTGGTAAAGGGGTTGGGTTGATGTGTCGATTGACTATGGTGAATTCAATCTTACAAATAAATCATTACCTTTTTCAGACTAACAGTGGTGTATGTAGCACAGGTCTTTAACACTTGCGTAGTTTCCTCAAGGACCTGATCTGTTTTTTCTTTAAGTTGTAAACGTTCTTCAGCTGGGGAGAGTTCATCAGGTGGAGTACAGTAATCCCCGGCAGTGCTCTCAGTGTCAGATGAATCAGTTGATTCTCCTGAAAATGGTGTCTTGCGCAGCTGAGAAGCTCTCTGTTGAATAATCAATATTATCATCAAAAACTGCAATAATTATTTAAAGGGACCAAGAAACAAAAATTGGATTTGTCTTCGATCATTCAAAATTGGAAATGGAGATCCAAACATTAACAGTGACTATTAAAAAAACTGATGTTAGCAGGTGCTAGAATACACTTACTGATATACTCTTAAAACCTTTTTTTACTTTTGATATTTAAAATAACCTTTAATTTATTTTATGTTGTTTACTTTTTTGTTTAACCTTTAATATATGTATATTTTCAAGGGCTCACCTCTAAAACTATCTTAGCGGTTTTTTTTTACTACAGCATCTACAGGCAATTTTTTAATTTTTAAATTAAACGTTTTTTAATGTTTAACTTTTTAGTTTTTTTTTCTTTTCAAATATGTGGTAACCAGGAGGCAATAAAGCAAGTAATCTTGAGCAAGCATCATAGATCCATCCATCTTTCCAGTTTTGACAGGTATAACAACAAATGACAAAAGCAAAAAGCCTTCATTCCAATCTTCAAGTCAAGAGGTGACAGTTTCATTATTAATAACTACCTAAGTCAGTCTGGGGCCATCAGTGGTGCACAAGTGCCTGTCCTGTGCATCTCACAACACAGGTACAGCAGGTAAAGCTTTGACCTTTTAGTTTTGGATTTCATTCAATAGTGCACTTACCACAAAGATTGCACTACACCTCCTTGCCTTTAGATGAAATAAGTAATGAAAACAGGGTATGATTAACAATGTTAGAAAGCAGTACAAAATCAATATGGTTCATACAGAAAAATGTAATATTAAACCAACCTTTCCAGGATGTTTTAAGGCCACTGGTGTAATTTTAATGCACTTGATCTTATGGCTTATATCATCAAAAATGACTTGATTTTCAACAATTTAGTATGTATACAAATGTGCTTCTCAAAATTATATCTAAGTGGCATGGAAAGAGTTTTCTCTTTGACCTCAGGAATACAACGGCTAATTTTCAAGCTGGTGTTTAAAATTCCAAGGCCGGTCAGACAAAGTTTCAATGAACTTCTTAACAATATTGAATGATGCTTAAGCAAAAACTATTAGGGCCTTGAGGAGAAGCTTACATTTAAGTAGTCAAACTTTTTAATAAAAAACTGAAAATCATGTCCAGGTGACATTTAAAATGAGTAAACTAATAATCAGTTATTTGTACTGACCTTGCTGTTATTATCCCATTTAAATAATATCAAAGCTCTTTCAAATTCTCTTATCAAAGGCCTGACAAAGCTATTTTATTTTGATTATCAAATATGTTAATTTTTCTCATTAACATCAAACTATTTCTATTATTGATTTTAACCCATTCGCTCCTAGAGATTTTGCCGAAAAACGCGTTTTGAAGCTAGTCGAGTGGTTTTCTGGTCACTGTCGTGCTATAAAGAGCTAAAACTTACCACAAACTGGTTTACAGGTCGAACACTTCGCGGTCTTCCGATCCAGATGCAAAATATCAGCTTGCGAAGTTCGGGCATGCGCAGAAAGCAAAATTTCGACATAGTTTTTGGGTTTAAAAGTGACACAGCAGTCTTGACTTTTACTTTTCGCTTTCTCTCCTCCCTTCTTTTTTTGCTTTTCTTGCCTCATTTTTTTTTTCTCTTGCTGGGCATTTAGTAGGCTTGATTTTGGTGGGAAGAGTTTTTAGGAAAGCTTTTAGGATCTTAGGATTAGGCGAAAGGAAAGGTAGGTGGGTAATGGGACAAGATTTTCATGGAGATTTTCAGGTCAATGTCACGTGGTTTTTTGCTTGTTTCTCCGGTGTCCTTGACTGAATTGTGCTCATTCTGGTATGGTTTGAAAGATCTCTTCACTCTGCACAAGTTAGTGAAGAAAGTTGTCCTTGACCGTTAAAACTGATGACGTCACAATGGGTAGAAAGGACCTGGATCCGCACGGGCGGTTACGGGCGGTTCAGGGGCGAATGGGTTAATATAATTATTATAATAACAATTAACACTTATAACTTTGAGAACTGATGATTTTTGATAAATGTTATATTTAACAATTTTAATACAAAGCAATCTAAAATGAATAAAAGGTGGGTAATATTTATAACAAGTAATAAAAAAAGTTGTATGTTATGTGTTTGTGGAAATGGGATGAGAGTGCTGAACTACATGCCAAAAATGCGAGAAACAAAACAAACACATACCCCTTTCAATGTGGTGTAAACAGGACAGGTTTGTTCCTGTGAGTATGTTGAAAATAAAAACTACAAATTAAAACCAACAACTGAAACAACTACAAATTAAAAATAACTGGTCAGATTAAACAGCAAGGAAAAAATAATACTGACTATAAACAGTAAAGATATATTGTAAAAAAAAATTGTCATTAATATGGTTAAACAACTTTCAATAAAAAATACTAGTAAATTAAAAAAACAAAATATTGAATTCAACCAAAGATAAAACACAAAGTGACTACTGGATAACAATACTACATTGAAAAAATAATATTAAAACAAAAACAAACAACTGTTTGACAAAACTATTATCTTAATAAAATTAATTATTAACGACTAATAATAAAATGGTGCATTGAACAGATGACAATGCAATAACCAAGAGGATGCTTGAACGTATAAGATTTTGTGATACTGGCAGGGGCAACTAGGAAAGTTTAGTTTTTGCTTAAAACTAATGCAAGGCACCCTGGATTTTATGGGTTTCAGAGCAATGGGAGTGCTCCCTTGAAACTCTTCTTAAACCACAGCCTTGTTCCATATCTTTTAATATTACATTTATTGTTGAGAATTATCTGGATTTTTCACTGAATTAAATCAGTTACAGATCATGGATCATAAATAACAGGCCCAAAATGATGTCTTTAGTTATTACCCGTCTATAATGCTACGGCAGCCTTAAAATAGAATTCCCTGACTGGCTGTGTTAAGAACTAAGATTGAGCTTGACTTGAGGCAAAATGCACTGACTTTTCCCTGACAACGTCAACCCTGTTAGCATGTAACAACACCTTTAGTTTTCTCACCGTCAACATGTTGAGCTCTTTATGGGCTCTGTCCAGTGTACCAAATGGAGGGGTATCTGAACCTGCAAATAATAACAGGATATACTTTTAACATTCAAAAGTTAGTTCCACCTGTGTGTATACTTAAAGCAAAATTCCCTCTGTAAACTTGAACTGTGCAATACAGTATTATGAAAAACTACCATGGTGCTAATATCAGAAGCCTTTAAATAACTTTTGCGTATTTTTTCTCTAAAATATACAACTCCAACCATGGTTGCCTCTATTCATCCCATCAATCTTCAATACATGTGAAAACAGCAGGTATTGTAAATATCACACCTCCAAAAGAGACAATGCATACACGTACATGTATGCTTGCAGGGGGTTTCAATAATATTGAAGTAGCCAGCAGGTTTGAATAGAGTAACCGACTGTGTTGACAAGGGGCCAATAGTCCCCTTCTTCTAAGAGGGTCTGGGGGCTTGTTCCCCCAGAAAATTTTGGAATTTCAAAGCCCTAAAATGCAATTTCCAGTATTCCGGGGACTAAATTGAGAACAGAAGAGAAGCACATAAACAAATTCTGCCTAAACCTACAAAGAAATGTGTAAAAAATTGACTGAAATACAGCGTTTGTGTGACCAGAAGCACGTCAGGTGTAACTAAAGCATAACATATCAGTGGACCTCGAAAGCACATCATAATTAACTTACATTTTAATTCAGATTTAATGATATATTTTTTGTTTACGAAATTTTCAAAAGTAATTGCTTCTTTTTTGACGAAAAAAATAGCCAACACGTTTCGTCGGTCGTTGGTGCTAATTATTATTGAAACCCCTGATGCTTGCTATGGTTAACACAGGAAGTTATAGTGACCATCCCCAAAGGGACCTTGGGGAAAGACCCCAACCTCAAGGTACATATAAGCCCAGAGGAAAACTCTCCTCCAGCAAATTTGGAGCAGTATTATTAGAACCTCTCAGGTGAAAGTTTTTCTCCAAATTGGCAAACATATCACCAACCCATTCAGTCAGCAGTTCTAAAACCAAGGTCAGGGCTCCAAAAAGTCACCCCTCTGGTAGTTCAGGACAATTAATAGATTTTCTTTCTGGGAAAGGGTCCTGGCAAGTCATTCTTTGACAAAATCATTAACTAAGTCGAACTGAACAAGAAGTGGCCCTGAGCAGGAAAAAATTTGGGAGCTGCTTGCCCAAAGGACAAGCTGGAATTAAAGTTTTTTCGAGCCCACCTGAAGGTGTCAAAAATGTATATAAAAATTTGGGTCACAAACAGCTGAACACTTGGATGCCCATGTTGCTAAAACCTTGAAGCATACCTGAATTATCATTCCACATCCAGGACTGAACAGCAATCTGTGTCAAAGATGTCACATTCTCAGTATTCTCTTTACTTGTTTGTGGTTCTGATCTACTTTGAATCTCTGTGTTCGTTAAGTAGCTAGTGAAATTAGATTCTCTTCTTACAAGTTCCTGTTGGTTTGTCTTAGGAATTGGTGGAACTGGAGGTGGTAGAACAGTTTCTGGCTCAAACCTTGGAGGCAATGCCGGCGGGGGTGAAGGCTGTGGTAATCCACTATCTATTGATGATAAGTTGTCAGTCAGAGCATCCACAAATGTTCTTGTTGACTCTAACTCTTCAATAGTTTGTTCAATAGTTTGATAAATAGGATTAGGAGTCACTGATTGATCTCTAAATGAACCTATAGATGATCGGTCAGATAGATCCTCTTGCTCAGTTCCTGCTACGCTGGGAGTTGTGCTTTGATGATCTAATCGAAGAGCTACCAATTCCCCAAGCTGAGCTGGAAAACCATCAGAATTATCAATGTGATTTACAGGTTCTAAGTAAGTTTCAAAGACATTGTCAGCTTCAGAATCCAGTGTTGACTGACTATCATAATGTTTCTTCAGTGGAACATTCTCTGGTGACAATAACTGCATGTAAGGACTGTGTGAATCTTGTATCTGAAGGAAAAACTTGGACTGAGAGCCACCAGGTCCCTTTAGCCCTCTCTTGAGTGACATGTAATATGAGATTTGCGCTGATCTGGGATCTTCGGCATTCCCAACAAATCGAGGAATTTTAGATGGCGATTTGCCACTTGATGTCCTTTTTATTCTTATTTCAACAGGTTGATCAGGTAAACCTGATTTCGCATCATCATGTTCATCTACTGAAGTTGTTGCCCCCCAATCAGGAGAGATAGCTGTTGGTGAGAGTGCAAGAGTGCTTGTAGAATCAACTGAGGACTGACTTGTCAGTCTTTCAGTTTGAAATGACTGAAATCCAGACTCAAGCTGTTCTGGATCAGGTTCCAAGACAGAATAGTCCCCATCCTGACACTGGGCATTAGCAAGTTCCCTGGATAATCTGATAACTTGATCTGTTAAAAAAAAAACAAAAACAAATACATATTAACTAACAAAATGGTAAAAGTGTTAATAATACATTGATTTCCTTCAAAACACACTGTACAGCTGTAGTGCAATGTCCTGCACCTGTTTATGTGGGCTCACTGAGCTGCTGGCTCATACATGTACTGCTATCAAAAATAATATTAATATAACATTTTATAATAACGATAAATTATTAAATTTTCAATTTCTATTATCCACTATTTTACAGTCAACTTTTGCCTTGCAGACATATCACTGTTTTTAAAACAGACACCCCACAAATACTGACATCAGCAAAATTCCAGGAAAAAATATAACAAGCTCAGAAATTTGACTGAAATAAGTTCCCACTCCGCTATTAAGGGGTCTAAAATGGAGTTGACTGTAGTTAGTTTATCTTGTTTCTACATGTTGATGCTTAAACATCACTAATAACATTGAATAAAAAAGGATGAAATGAATTCCGGTTCCTTCCTCTGGCAAAATAAATGCCACTGCATAAATGGCCTATTGCAATTTTGCAGTGGCATGCATGTTTAGTGAAGGAGCAGAAGAAAGAAATGCAGTGCCCACCTTGAGAAAAATTAAGTTTGGTTTCAATTTCTCGCACCATGTTCACAGCCTGTGTATGTAATCTCCTAAGCTGCTCATTCTCCCTGCTAACTTCTTTAATTATGTCTCGGTATTGCAGAAACTTTCTTTCATCCTCCTGTAACCTTGCCTCATACTGTCACATAAAAATATAATCAATTGGAATAATTCTTATAAAGAGATTTTTCCAATTATAACTGATAATCGGTCAGTTAGTTGGGTCAGACCCACTATTTTTTATGATCAATGTCAACATCTCACAGGATTCCCATAGTATGGCTGATGCAACCTACCTCAGAAATCTTCTTATGCATCCAGGTTTTGATGTGGGCTGCCTTATCTTCAACTTCCTTTTCACGAAGTATCCGCCTTTGTTTCTACATAGAAGATAAAAAAAACCAAGATTACTTAGCCTGCGTAGCAAGCGTTTCCGGTGGTTTTGGAGCAAAGAACAAGGAACGTGAGTCAAAGACCGCACAAAAAATGTGGCAAGTAAGAGAGTGAGGAGGGGGTGAGGAAAAAAGGAAGGAAACGCTTGCAGATAAATCTTAGGATTTTTAAAACCGAGCACTTGGCCTGTCATGCCTGAGTGCACGCACCCACATTTGATGCCGTCATCAGCTGTCATAAATTGACCAATAAAATGTTTGGCCTTCCATAGAGCAGAAGTGAACTTTAGAGGACATGTGTGGAACCAAAACAAAGTTTCTCAACTTGTCAAAATTTTTTGGCAAACCACGCACAGACGGCAGGAATGGACAAATCACAGAAAATCTGAACGATCAATGAAGGTTTTGTCATTGCAGCTTCAAAGTTAAATTTGTTAATTTACGCCAAAGAAGCTATATTTCTACCCCAAATCTTTTTAATCGGTCTAAAAACCTGCAAGGGTGAAATTCTAGCTCAAAATCTCCAGAAAGTTGGATTTGGGGAGGTAAAATGTGACATGAAGTATTCAAGTCTAGAATTTTGGATCTGTGAGGGGGGAGGGGGACAAAGTCAGCTAGACAGAACAGCTACTGTCTTGCCATGGCACAGAACAACTTGAGTTGCTCTTATAAAACCAGTTAAGCACAAAGTCAACCCGGCAACTGATGAGGTTCGCGTGGAGAACCGAAACCATGGTTTTGCCTGTTCACAAAGTGACAATAACAGAACAGTCTTACGACTGTTAAGCTAATTCAAAACTTAATATCTTACAAAAAATACTAACAAGCTGGGCCTGGCATGACAAAAAATTGCAGGAAACCATCACATTTACAGACAAAAGAAAATCAATTTTTAGTTATTCAGATCCAGGATGCACTTTGGAGAAAATTAAACAACACTAAACCCTTTTTTAGCCACAAGAAGAGCTTTGCGTTTGATGTTGAGAATGATTTCAAGACAAAATAATATACAGTGCTAGTTGCAAAATAGTCTATTTTCAGATGTGCATTTGCCACTTTAGAAACATGAAGGGAATTGGAGCCAAAAAAGTGTTGTGAGCAATGGTTTTTGAGGCTGTTACTGGGGACGTGCAGTTCAGCTATTAGCCAATTTTCTTCCCTGTCCAGAGTGACTGTCCCAGAAGTCTTGTGAAAGTTATCTTGGCCAAGTTTCCTTCTTGTTTCTAAAGTGGCTAATTGGCACTCAGCCTCCATCTCAGAATAGGAACCTTGTATTACCTCATCCTCCAGCTCAGCCCTTAATTGTACAACTGTTTCATCTTTCACAGTCACCATGCTCTCCAAATGCTTCACCTAGTAAAACCATCAATAAAATATAATGCAGAAGAAACAAAAAATTGTTTTCATTTGACGAGATATTATACCTGTAGGTTACAAGGCTATTCTCTAAGAAAAATTGAAGGGAGCCTAATGCCATGAACCTGTGAAATACAGGATACCCAGCATGTGATGTATATGAAAAAACAAAACAGATTTTCAAGCCACCCAGGAGGAAAAGTTAGCATGCCAAACATCACCGGGGACTTTTAGAGCAGAGTCTTAAGTTAGAGAATGCGTATGCCAGGATGTACAGTTTTGTTACAAGAACAAGTCCAAAGGCTCATCAAAAGGAAAGGTTACCACAAAACAAGACTTAGCAATAACAGCTGTATCCAACTGGTTAAACTAAAGAAAAATTCAAGTTTGGTATGAAGTCCTGGTCCATACTACAGCAATGGATGGATTGAAGCAAATGCAAATAAATAGCAACACAGAATATATTGAGCCATGAAACTTCTAAAACGTTATGTGATCAGTATGAGTATAATTATTAAAGCATGGTTAAACAGCTAACCTGTTGGGCTTTTTCTGCTGCTTTTGCATCAGCATTTCTTGATTTTTCCTCCAAATTACTTAACTAATACAACAAAATAGAAATGATCGAGTGAATAAGATATATATATATATATATATTACATGTACAAACTACAATGAATCTTAAGAATGACTCTGCCCCAATATCCCTCTTGATATTATATTCTAAGCAATATAAAAAAGCATTCAAGCCCAAAAAAGGCCAAACTTCATTTAAACTTGGCTTGTCACATTAATACATGTACTTGAAAATTGTCATTGCTGTAGTTAATTTTAGTTTTAGTAAAAGTACATTAAGAAACGAATGAATGAATAATACTTCATTTCAATAAAGTGCATAATAATATTACAATTGTGGTCAGTGTAAAGTGCAAACTGTGGACTATTGTTTTCACCATGCAAATGAGTGCGTGACAATAATAGTCCCATTGTTTTCTAACCCTAAAAACAATAGTCTGCAGTCTGTCTGCAAGCCAGAAAAGCAACGTGCTTTAGAGTTTTTTCCTGAAATTAGCTGCGTGGGATGACCAAGATAGGGAGGGGTCAATATCCAGTCCCAAGAAACTGCTTGTAAGGGAATGTTAATAGAATAAACTGCATGTGTAGACTACCAGGAAAGACGAAAATGGTCAAAACTCTGTATTTGCAGGATAAGCTCCCTGAACTTGTTAAAAGCATTTACAAAAATTTGGGAAAAAAAACTATTATCTCTGTCAGAGCCCAAATACCATACCACTCAAGTGCTGAACCAAATTATTTATTATTGAATGGTTTTTCTTTCCTTCCCTTGTTTTATAAAGTTTGACTGTGGAGCAACTGCTTCATTGCTTAGGTTGAATGAAGACAAAAAAGATAATGGCCACAAAAATTCTGCCTGTCGTAACTGAAAAGAAGAGTTTATCTTTCACCCAATCGCCCCTGAGGCACCCGCCCATGCGGATCCACATCCTTTCTACCCCTTGTAACATCATCAGTTTTAACGGTCAAGGACAACTTTGTCCTCTTACTTGTGCAGAGTGAAGGGATCTTTCAAAGCAAACCAGAATGAGCACAATTCAGTCAAGGACACCAGAAAAAAAGGCAAAAAACCATGTAACATTGACATGAAATTTCCATGAAAATCTTGTTCCACTGCCCAGCTACCTTTCCTTTCACCCAATCCTAAGATCCTAAAAGCTTTCTTGAAAACTTTTTCCACCAAAATGAAGCCTACTAAATGCCCAGCAAGATAAAAAGAAATGATGCAAGAAAAGCAAAAAAAGAGGGTAGAAGAGAAAGGGAAATATAAAAGTCAAGACTGCTGTGTCAGAGCCCAAATACCATACCACTCAAGTGCTGAACCAAATTATTTATTATTGAATGGTTTTTCTTTCCTTCCCTTGTTTTATAAAGTTTGACTGTGGAGTAACCACTTCATTACTTAGGTTGAATAAAGACAAAAAAGATAATGGCCACAACAATTCAGACTATGAAAAGAAGAGTTTATATTTAACCCATTCGCCCCTGAGGCACCTGTAACCACCCATGCCGATCCACACCCTTTCTACCCCTGTGACATCATCAGTTTTGACGGTCAAGGTCAACTTTGTCCGCTAACTTGTGCAGAGTGAAGGGATCTTTCAAAGCAAACCAGAATGAGCACAATTCAGTCAAGGACACCGGAAAAAAGGCAAAAATCCATGTAACATTGACCTGAAAATTTCTATGAAAATCTTGTTCCACTGCCCAGCTACCTTTCCTTTCACCTAATCCTAAGATCCTAAAAGCTTTCTTAAAAACCTTTCCCACCAAAATGAAGCCTACTAAAATGCCCAGCACGAGAAAAAAAATGACGCAAGAAAAGTAAAAAAGAGGGGAGGAGAGAAAGCAAAAAGTAAAAGTCAAGACTGCTGTGTCACTTTCGAAATTTTGCTTTCGGCATATGCCCAAACTTCTTACGCTTATATTTTGTTTCTGAATCACAAGGCCGTGAAATGTACAACCTCACTAAGCGGGTTTGTGGTAAGTCTTAGCTCTTAATAGCACGACAGTGACCAGAAAACCACTCAACTAGCTTCAAAACACGTTTTTCGGCAACATCTCTAGGAGCAAATGGGTTAATAAAAAATTATAAAAGCATAACAGCCAGTGCAAGAGAAGATCATAAATTGATATGAGTCATCTACATTGTACTCCAGTAGCATGCACGTTCTACATGTATGTCTATTAGTCTCCTAATTCCTTTGTTGCACACACAAAGGGACATTGGTAAAACAGAGTCACTTATAACATTATTTCAGAGTATATCATCGAACTTCCTTTTAGTGACCACCCAAATGCAAAGTGGTTGCTAATTGAACTTGGTCATTTAGAAGAGAATCTAACCACAGGAGATCTCTTCTGAGAAGAGGACTGGGCATAACTACTTTTAAAAAGATTTCCACTCAGAAAAAAAATGATATCCTTTTTATGCATTTTGCACAAATTTTTGAGTATCCACTTGAAAGGTTTCATAATTATTTGATTTTCTACTCTCACAGGAAAAGATAACGGATTCCCATTTTTGGATATTTTTGGGTATTTAAAGAATACCCACAAAAATCCCAAATTTGGAAGAGTGAGACAAGTCCCAATCAGGGAACTTGGTTGGGAATTCCCTGGTTGGGACTTGTCTCACTATGCCAAATTTGGGATTTTTATGGGTATTCTTTAAATACCCAAAAATATCCAAAAATGGGAATCCGTTATTTTTTCCTGTGTCTAATATTACAAGACTATGCACCCAAAACATCTTGGACTGTGAATGGTTCTGTATCATAATAATATTATTATGAAAACTTTGAGATCCTCAATATTTAAAAAAATGTAACATAGAAGTAAAAAGCTTTGAATAGTCGGGAAAAGTGAAGTGTGGTCTTTATTGTAACAGGGCTTGAAAAAGCTTAACTCATAGGTTGACCTTGGGACTAGCAGCAGTCTCACATTTTGCTTTTCCAGAGCCATTGCTTGCTTGCTTTAGCTAATTTTCAGTTACCAGATGTCTTCCATGATCCCTTTCCTATTGGACCACAGGTAAACCACCCTGTTCATGGGGCTGTTGTCATTATTGAAACCTGAGCATCGCTTTTTTGTACTTGATAAAATAAATTAAGATGAACATTACCGCCACTACAATTTATTCCAAAATACAGATTTGAACCAAAATGTTCAAACAAATTTCAAGCAAAATGTTAACTTAGTCACCCGTCATGTTTTTTCATCATCCTGAGCTGTTAAAAGCATTTTTTTGGGAGATGATTATTTGACCAGAAGTTTAGAACTAAAGAATGTTAATCTGTACAGGGCTTCTGATATTTCGCGCGGTCGCGGACCTGCCAAATTCAGGTATTTCCACGAAATCCCACGAAATTCCCCCAAAAAATGCGAAATACAGTCAAACCTCTTTAATACGGACACCAAAGGGACAGAACCAATAGTCCGCTTTACAGAGGTGTCGGCATTATAGAGGTAGGGAATGTATGATTTTTGGCACTTCTGGGACCAAACGAACTGTCCGTAATAGAGAGGTGTCCGTATTATAGAGGTGTCCGTAAGGAGAGGTTAGACTGTACTGCGAAATCTACCAGAAATATTTCCAAATACATGTTGGCAAAACATATTTAATACTTATCCTGGCTATTAGACCTGTTTTATTCACCCTAAACGTCCAAATTTATCTTGAAACTTTGTCACTGCAACAAGTAAACAACGTCCCAAAACTACCAGACGTTTTTAGATGAACGTTGCGAAAAACTGGGCACTAACCATAAAGTTAACAGCTTTAGCATTCGCTCATTTCTCGTGCGAACTGTTGTTGAAAGAGCAAATGATTATCCCTGTTAAAAAAATGTTAAAAACAACACTGGTCACTGGTCACTGGTCACTGGTCATATCGACGCAAAATTGATCGATTTAAGGGAAATTTGCTAAAAAAAATCCAGCAAAATTGGCTGTTTTTTACTGATTGTTTCTTGGTGAAGTTTCCCCCCAAATTTCCCATGAAATTGGCCGATTTTTCTAAGAATTTGCCCCTGAAAATCCTTTGAAATTTGACTTTTTTCCCGCTAAAATCCCGCAAAATCAGCCTATTTTTTTGCAAATTTTGACTTCTCCCCGGCAAAAATCACGTGAAATCGGCCAATTTTTCCACGAATTTTGACTTTTTTCCCGCGAAAATCCTGTGAAATCAGCTGATTTTTAGCGAATTTGCTCCTGAAAATCCCGCAAAATTTAGCTTTTTTTCCGCGACCTATCAGAAGCCCTGTCTGTATTTCTTCTATTGAGTACAAAAGACCAATGCCCAGATTCAACACCAACAATAGCCACATGAACAGAGGGTGGTCTGCCTATAATTAGACAAGTGAGGTTAAAAAATTACTTGCACAAAAAGAAACTCTACATGTCCTGGATGACCAGACATGACTTTCTCCAACCTCTGTCTAACAGACCAATTTTTTACAGATAAATAATCATAAATTCCCACTTAAACAAGAGAATACCTATAAAGTGTGTGATGAGGGAGAGCAAAGTCCCATGAGCCACATAAAAAATCATCAGATTTAAACTGGCTTTATAAAATATTTAACTTATTGATACACAATGCCTACAACAGGAGACTAGTAAGACAATTATTTCACTTGGCTATGCCTTTAAGGAAAACACTGTATACTACAAAATACAAAGCCAATTTTAGCAACATGGCAAGCGAATATTCACAAACCGGAAAAAATTGCACAGTTTTGTGTCCAACAAACTTGGTGTTTGTTTCACTTTCCCTTCTGAAAAGTAAAGATTAGAAGTGTACCTAAACCAATTATTTTACAACAGTGTTTACCTTAGCCATAATCAAAATACGTCACTACTTGGTAAAGGGTTTTACTTAATGACACTACAGAAATGTCGACATCTAAACACTTCACAAAACAGTAGCGTGTGGCCGGACATCAGCAGACAGTCTAACATTTCTTGTGGTTCGTGATTTCATTTCAAAGGAAGAAACAAAGTGAGCAAATTTGCTGCATTCTATTTCATAGTTTATTATCAAAACAAATTTTTATTAAACTATAGCTCGCTGATTGCTCGATTTTGTAAATAATCAATGAATCCGAAAAATGGGAGAAAGTTTAACCAAAAATTTATTAAAATTTGTCTGAAAAGTATTTATCAAAAATGCCAAGAATATTTTATCATAAAGAGTAACTTGCATTTCTACAGTTTACACTTTTACAGCAGCTGTTTCATATGATCATAAATTTACTGTAAAGATTAATTTACAATTTCTACATTTGTTGATAAAGTTAAAACTGAAACAATAATTGAATGGCTGAAAGCAGATCAGACAACAAGGCTGCTGAACAGCTGATCAGAATTAATTTTTTAATTCAACGATGTTAAAAATATTTTTCCAACCGTTCTTACATGTTTAAATAAAAGAATTAAGCTAAGGCCTGATATTTCCTAGAGTCAGCAGCTGATTATGGCGATGACACCCTCGTTTCCTTCGAAAGTGGAATTTTATCTCATATTTCACTTCACGAGAATGGCGGTTATGTTTTGACGCCGAGAAACGCATGGGTGTTAACTTCTTTTAACCTCATGATTCTTTCACTTCAAAGGAAAACGTTGGAGACATTGCTCAAAACTTTTCACAGATGAAACATTTTGAAATATTTTCAGTGTATTGTTGTTTTGCTGCATGAAAATCATTTGAAAACAAACATCACCTCCACGCGGCGACGAGTGAGCTGAGGAGATTCCAATACCGATAAAAGCGAGGCTTATACGAATCCGAAACCGCGAAGAATACGACCAAAACAAAAAAGGAAAACTTTTCAAAAGGCTGTGAATACACCTTCACACAAGAACAAAAGAAGCAAATAATTCGTAAAATGAGAATATCAGGTGAACACGACATAAAATGAACAGAACTGAATTACATGCATACCTTTTGACTAATGACTTCGCGCACTTTGGTGGCCTGCTCTCGAAACTTTTCGAGTTGGCTTTCCAAATATTTACACTTTTGTTTGTAGTAAACTTCATTCTCGTCGCTTTCTTCTGTAGAAAATTCCTCCGGTCCGTTGCTCGTTGTAGAATCTTCCATTCTTCACAATCAGGGGCAGTTTACAAATTGCTCTTCCTGTCACCAGGCGATCGCGCCATTTCTGTTAACAGACAGATAAATTTCACTGAGCTTTCCTGAAAGCACACCGGCTTCTAAACCCTCTTGGGGCATGGAAACTTCGCTCAGACAAAATGCTTAGCATATTTTTTTGCTGACGTTCAAACGGAACTTAGTTGAGTTAGACCGTTCGACTAACAAATTCGAAAAGAGATTTATTGACTTTTCGACCCCAACTCATGTGATGTCATCGTCGTTCAGCGTGACAAAATATATGCTTAATCCACAGAGTGCCTAATCCTTTAACTTACCTCGATACCAGCCCAGCTATTCTTTGCAAACAAAAGTGAAAAGGCGTGTCCAAATTTACAGCACGAGAGACTCTTCAAAAATACAAATAACACAATATAAACGAGCGACAAGTTATCTTCCCAAGTCACGAAGTCTGACGAAAATCACACGACTATTTACTTCGGTCGGGTTGACTTCGTTTGACGACTACTTCCGGAGGACCGGAGTTACGGATAAGGACTTTTTTCGGCGTGGGTGGCTTTGTTTAAGAGGGGAGGGCTGGTTTAATTAGAAAAACTATCTTTGTACGTGACCAATGATTCAGAATTTACTAACCAGCGAGACAGCTGGGTATATCAGTTTTAAAAAGACATTTCTGACAATTCATAGGGTATCGGTCCAACGGAATGCAAACTTTGCTGGCAACCGAATCAAAAATACCCTGCTAGCAGTGCTTTCTCCAAGCCGGACGCTACGCTTCGTAGCGTAGGGTAGTAGAAACCACTGATTTCAGGGTAAATCAAAAATGGCAAATTGAATGAAAATCGAAATGGAAACTCGTTAAAAATTTCTCTGCTACTTTCATCGATTTTCTTTTAAGCGAACTAAACGCTCAGACCCTATAGACTGCGCTATCGGCACTCATTCCCCACAAGCAAGATCTGGCTCCACAAGACGGCAGTACAAACCGTGATACTGATCATTCCGTCATTTTCAGTCGACAGAACGAGCCTTTTTGGCTGTCATCCATAGTTTTTACAGAATAATCTAGAAAAATTCGATGAATTTGCATTGTTCAAAAATTATCTGAATTTATATATTTTTTTCTAAATTTATGCCTTCAATGTTTCGAAACTGCTACAGAAAACGGAGGGAGGTCTATTATACTGCCTAAGTCTCTTAAATTTACTTGTTGTAAATAGAACGTTACTTCAAAGCGTTTGGATCCCCCCTTTCAGGTTCAGTTGTGATAAATGGTCTTTCAAAAATGTCGGCCCGCAAAATTTAAAATATCTCGCTGTCGCGTTCAATGAGTGTTCCACAACGTTTTCTTATATTTCTTTCTTAAATCACAAAGCTGACAAAAGCCTTTTGAAAATTTTTAGATAAAATTAAAGACTCCAGCTCACGCAGAAAGTCTTCCTTGTCGTTGGCAAGTTTGGCTCTAGCGCTCTCACCACACCTACATATTTTTTCTCTTACTCAATTCAAAAAGCGGGTAGCTTCGAGTGATTCGGCTGCCGTAAAGAAAACGCGTTGTTTTAAGGATCTTTGAACGTTCCACTAAAGAAATCCAGTATACTTACCACAAAAGAACCATTTAGTGAGCTAAAAACTGGCAAAATCTTCAAGCTCGTGAAGCCTTTCTTTGTGCCGCGCTAAATGTAACACATGTTAATTTTGGCAAAGTGTCGCGGCTTTCTCATGTAAAATGCCTGCTAAAAGCCTCTATGACAACTGAGTATGATTGACAACATTGTCACGGTTTTAAGACAGCGCTGATGCCTTTTAAAAACTTTTTGCTTTAAATTTTTTCAAAAGTTTTTCCACTGATTTCAGGTTAAAAGAAGACTATTCCAGACTGAAGCCTATAGGCTCCTGACTATTCTACATCTATTATAGTTGACTGAACTATTTTTCTAAGAACAGCTGGCAACTCCAGTCAGTCGCGCGCTAGTTTCAAACCCGGCTGTACCCACTAGCTTCCACAGGTTCGACTCCTCAGCCATGCTTGTACTTAACAAAGTGATCGGGGGACGGCCATTTTACTGGATTCTTGACCCTGACAGAGTGTTTTTATTGCAATACTTATTTCTATCCTTTTTTGTTGGCCAAGGGGTAAAATACCAGGTTATCACTTGAGTAATTATTTTACACTAAGACAGTTAGTAAATTAATAAATATTTCTGAAAATATCTTTAATTGATACACTTAATATTACGTCGATCAGGGTTGCACCGGCAGGAAAAAGGCTCAGGAAAACCACTTTGTATATTAGCCAGCTACCTTACATGTTTTTTCACTATTCTGGCAGAGGTTTCATTCTGGCAGGGTTTTTAGCATATGCCGAACGAAGTAGTTCACGCAGCCGATATATATTCGCGTAAGGAAGACAAAAACTACGCGAATACAAGCGGAGCGTACGAATTAGGCGCGGGCGTCGTACTTCACAAATCGAATCAAATCGAGCCAAATCGAATTCGAGTTTAGGAGCACCTCCTCAAATTAATTTGGGACGGCCGATTTGATTCAGACGTCGAAAAGGAAACGGTTCATGTGAAGTTAAGTTATTCTTGCGTGACTAAATTTTCTTGAGTGCCTATGTACAGGCGACTTACAAAACCTTCTTGCGAAAAGGCTAAGTTAGCCTCTAATGATCCCCTTACAGAAAATATGATTCGATCTCCTTGCACGGAAATATAAAAAAAAACGAAAGTTAATACGCTGGGAAACCTCGCGAATTTCACCTCTTAGGTTCTTTGCCAATTATTTGCCTTATACAGTTGGATTCACAGATTTACAGTGAAGCTACTCTCTTTTTACTAATTTTTTTTTTAATTATTTACATCTTTCTGACTTGTTTTCCACAAATCCTCATTGAGTTCCATTAGGAGCCATATGGTGTAGATGTTAAAATGCGACTAGTACTGCTGTACCGGGGCCACCTACTCGGCAAAGTTTACCAATCAGATCACAGAAAATTATCAAATACATTCCGAGAAAGTTTGTTCGAGCCAATCAGCGGCTCGTATTGAAGAAAACAATAATTTACTCGAAAGCACAAAATTTGAATATTGATAGAACCTCTCTCCTCTGCAGTGGCTCCAGCTGGGTATCCGAGTAAAAATAACAATAATCGAAAACAAGAGCCATGCATTATGGCTCTTGTCGAAAAATAGAAAGCGCGCGCGGCTTCTCTTTTCCCTTCCCATCGTCCCACCCCGCGCTTTCTTTTCCCTCTCTCCAGCCCTTCCTACGATACAAAGAAGCCTCTGGGGAGAAGAGAGTGATAGAACTGGTAGTTCCTGGTAGTTCCTAAAGGAAGCCTTTTAAGTGCTGCGAGCAGACGCTTCATTATCAAGTATCAAATGTCTCGATCACGAAAAATGCTAGAAAAATTGCAAAAAACATCCATTTGGCATAGTGTATATCTAGTCCAATTCTTGAAAACGAACCTGCAGAAATTTACAGCCATTTGAGTGAAAAAGGGCCAAAAGACAGGTTTTTGCGTCCTGTAGGGCCGAAAATCACACGAACGAAGGAAATGCGTGAGGGCGTTTGTGTCCTTGCATATGGTCGTTAAACACATAAATTCTTGTACATCCCTCAAGGCAAGCAATTAGCATCAATATAGGAGGTAAGTAACGGTAGGCGAAGTTCATTCCCCACTAGGCCCGGTGCGACGTAGTCGGAAGAGAGAGGCCCTGGGAACGAAGATCTGTACTGAACAGCAGACAACAGACCGAAACTTAGACCGAAACCGACAACAGACCACAGACACAAGAGAAGTCAGAGAATGGCACTCAGCATGTTCCTGGAACATGTTGAACGGAATTTCTGTGATCTTTCCTATCACTTTAACGCTGAAACCATGGATCACATGTACAGAGCAACACAGCAGATTGTTGAACAGGTCGTGAATGACATAGGGAGAATAAAACCTCACCTGAATGTTAAGGAAGTAATAAGCATCGGCAGTTTTGCAGAGGGAACTAAGATTTGTTCTCCCAATGAGTTTGACTTCTTAGCATGTTTTGATTTTCTCTCCAAGAAGGAAAATGTGCGAATTGAGGGCATTGAAGGTTGCCAACCAGGTTACATGGTGGCTTTTCTCAACTCCGGCTTTGATGAGGCCATGGCGAACATAACTAGGCTACTCTATGAGGATATTTGCTGCATACACCATGAAGGATTGCGTGCAGAGTTTGTGGATACTCTGAAAGAGGTCGTTAAAGCCATGTCAAAGAAGAAGATTGTGACTCCACTTGGTGTCATGGTCATTAAAGGTTCAGACTATTTAGCTTTGAAACTAGAGTGGCACAAATTTGAGGAGAACTATAAAGGTCCTGAAGTATATAGTGGACTTTGTGAAAGAGAATTTACATTAACAACTTCCTACTCACTAGATATTGGTGTTGATATTATGCCAGCAGTGTCTGTTGAGGACTTTTCTCCTCTAAGTGATCTCCATGGTTTTCCCAGGCATATATTTGGAATGACAGGAAACCTAAAGTTTCATCTTGTGTGCAAAGTGTCAGGGCAGTCCCCTAATGCACCTTATCTCCACATTTCCCATGCTACCACTGAGGTTTTTCTCGTGCGCCATCTACATCCAATCCATAAAAAATGCTACAGGGTATTAAAGTATCTTCTGACTCACGACACATATTTTAACAGGCCAATAAAAGACATAAGCCTGTCTTCTTATGTGTTTAAAACTGCTGTCCTTTTCCATGAATATGAGAAGCTGTGCTCAGGTACTCCAGATATTGTAACCTGCTGCATTGAAATTATACGATATGTCAGAGTCAAATTAAGGCAGGGTGTGTTTCCACCGTTCCTGATGAGAACAACAAATGCTTGGGGGCAGTGTTACAAAATTCCTGTATCAGATGCATGGAGGCCAACAGATCTAAACAGAGAGATCTGCTCATTTGACTGGTGTTTTGTTTTGTGGTTTCAGCTTTGGAGGCAATTTCTTTGCAAGGCATTGACAATATTTCAAAACATAAAAATGAAACTGCAAACAGAAGAACCAGAAACCAGTGATAGCAGCACTTTATTGGATGATGCTTCACTAAACACCATGTCTCAAACACGTAATTTAGTGTATTATATTCCAAATAAGTATGATTCATTTCTAGCTGAGTTTGCAGTTTTAAGAGAGGATGCATTTGTCATTACAACTAAGTACTCTAAAGATGCAAAAGATACAGCAACAAGTAGTTTGGTTAGCCGATGTCCATCGGAAAAAGTCTGGGAATTAGTTCTACCTAAATTTCCCGAATATCTCAATCGAATTGAAAGTGTGTGCGGCAGGGAAATGAGTATCCCAAAGGAAGAATTTGAGGAAGTGGTAGAAGTGGGCTGATATGTTCTTGAAAATTTACCCTGCCTTTTCTCATCAAGTGAATACTTCCATGGTTAGTGCCATAGCTCCTGTGTTAATGTAAATTTATTATGCGATTCCTTCCTTAGAATGACCAACGTCAGTTGATTTTACAACAATGGTATCAAACGGATAGCTAATCATTGCTGAACAAGTTTAACTCACTTTCTTTATATAACAGGTCACTATAGTGACATTTTACCCGTTCAAGAGCACCCTTGATTCTAGCTATTAGCACTCTCACCTCAAAATGATTCATGATTCTTTGGATAAAATGCAACTTTTTGCCAAGTTTAAACATAACTTGGTAACTGGTTCAGAGGTAACTTAGTATTTAAGGTGGCTCTGAACCCTCTCCTGCAGGGTCCTTTTAACTTTGTTGATTACAGTTATTTGCTAAAGTATAACAGAGGCCATCAAACTAGTTTTTAGTTATTTTAACAGTTGGATTGCAAAATTAAGATACATGAACTACATTGTTGCTGTGGTAACCTTCGGGCTCTCACATCAAGAAAATGACTGTAGGTCATTTAACAACATTTGAGCATTGATGCCATTGTCATAGCACCAGCTGAGAAAGAGTGGTATTATTGATTCACCAAAGCAGAGGTACTGAAAAATGGCAAAAATTCTATCTTCTCAAATCCCCTATAATACACTTTGTTTGCCCCCAAATTTTGCATAAACTTTTGTTCTCAAATAATCCAGGGAGGCCTGCATATTCCAAGAGCATTTGAAAACTATAACTTATGCAAAATTTGGGAAGAGGGGAGGGTAAACAGAGTGTATTATGGGGAATTAGAATATAGCCAGTTAAATATATGGGGTGGAGTGGCACTTACAGTTGTTGTTTGGCTTCTTATGACCCCTGCTTATTACCAATGGTTTTCTTTCTGTTATGGTTAACACTGGTTAATAGACATCTTTAAAAAAGACATTTGCATTTCAAAAGTTCAACATTGATTTCCAGTTCTGTAAAACGCATCTTTAATGGTACATAGATCTCTTAGGATCTTTCTAGATGAGAAGACTAGGTTGACATATGCTCCATCAGCCATGAGAGTCAGACCAAGACAATTGAATTCTAAAAAAGCGTTTTCGACAGTTTCTGGCAAAAAATAGAATAAACCTTGGCTGGGACAGTTTTAAGGTTATTTTCTTCACGAGTAACGGTTATAATGTCCCATTGTTTGCTCCTATTGACTTAGATTTTTAGCTTTTAGTCCCAGGGGGGTACTCCCTTATATAAGCTATATAAGTATGTGCTGCCCCAAAGGGTAGGGTTTCTGCACTGTTTTGGTCTGAAAACGGAGCCTCCGCGTACAAAAATTTGTTGAGTCCCCCCCCCCCCCCCCCCCCCCCCCCCCCCCCCCCCCCCCCCCCCTTCTTCATTTTTCATGATAAATATGTTAATTACGCATCAACAAAATTAATCAATGATTTTAATCTTTCTTGTTCTTTTTCTTATTCTTCTTTAAGAATTGATTGTTTGATGCATTCTGTTGAGTCGTAGAGAATGATGTGGACCCCCCCCCCCCCATTTAACTTAGTAGATGCCTTCCCTTCAAAAGAACCTTTTTCAAATAATGAATATCTGATTTTAAGTGCAAACTTGAGTCGATGTAGATTTTCTTAAATTATCATAGGCGATTTATGTCGAAGTCGTGCAGTTACGGCAAAGACATGTATAACTAAAAACGGTAAAAAGTTTAACCAAATGTCATGTGGGGAGTCTTTGTGTTAACTAATTGAACCCATGATGACTTTCCTGTTGCCAACTCCTTGAGTATTTTTGTATTTTCTTAAAAATATTCTAGAAATATTCTAGAAGCTTCTACTTCCTCATAAACCATTCATTCAACGGCCACCATTCCAGAACGGCCGCTTAGTTGTCTCTCCAAGTTAACAGATGTGGAGATGATTGACTGTAGCATTTTTTTCTCTTACGCTTTTCTTCACAGGAAAGGTAGCATGTTGCTTCAAGTGGAAGTTGATACAGTGAATGGTGGTCTCAAGTTGAATCCTGATTTCTGCGTTGATTTTGGAGAGGAACCCGATGGACCCGCCCTTGCACATGAAGTGCGATATCCGGGAGGAGACTGTTCCTCTGACATATGGCTGTAAAGTCTCATGTCTAGATCCCTCCACAGTATGGAATTCCATCATTATATAACCGAATTTTATAGCCAAAATTCAATTGTACGGTTTGACGTAGACTAAGAACTATGTAACGGCCAACGTAACCTTTCAGTGATTTCATTAAGTTTTTGCACTGTGTTCTGATACGCAGGTTTTAATAGATCCTTTCCGAGCTCGTACTGCACGTGTTGCGACAATGTGTAATTAGAATTTTATACTCTAGATTGCTGGGTAACATTTTACCCTCAATTGTACTTTAAGTGTGTACTCGTTTTTGTCACTTTTTTATCAATAAGGGAAAAAAGTTCATAAATTCCAATTCTTTATGTTTAAAAAAGTACTAGCGTGACGGAGTAGGTTCTCTTTTTAAACAATTCAGCCCATTCCCTGGCAGGATTCTATAAAACAATTAACCTGCCAGCAGAGTCTTTCTTATTTGCTTGATTTTGACGATCAAGAAGAAGACTAAAGGATGTTCTTCTAGTAGGTTATTAACTGAAAATAAGGCACTCGCAATATATATTAACTAACAGAAATTCCTGGCTCGGTTGTTTATTCAGTTAGCTGATTGCATGGTCACCGCGTATTCAATTTTTAGGAAAGTACAACGCAGTTTGCATAGCTCAAATTTTTCGCAGAGCCTGTGTTCTGAATTAACCCAAACGTTCATTTCACGGTTATTTTTTTCTACCTTTATGCCTTCCTGATGCTCAGATCACGGTTTGTCCGTCCCACGTCTATCAACACTGTTAGGACAGCTGTTACCACTTTACCTCTCTCGCCCGGAGTAACAACTTTTCATAGCATCTGAACTAAAAAAGTTTGTAATTCCAGCGCGAAAGGAGCAAACAGATCGGTCTTTAGGGTTCAGGTTTAGCCTGCACTGCTAGCAGTTTTGTTTTTCGAGTGGGTAAATGATGTGGGTGAAGCCAGGAAGAGAATGCGGCGGATACTTCTTTTGCCGCTTGTTTGCCCGCGCTTTGCTCAAGGCTTCACCGCTCATTTATGCGAGAGAAGAGACCACCAGCTACACCAACTGCACGTCAATTTACATCAGTGTTATTACTTCATCTGACTCTTGCTGGTAACTAAGAAGCAGTCTATTTCGAATCGATCTCTCTGACCTTTCTTTTCCGCGCCTTTCCTTAGTCTTATTTATCCCTGGGTCTTCAGTGCTGGGTTCCTTTACCGAGGGTATTCAGCCACATGTATAGCCCCTGGCTCAACTTCGTCGCTTATGACTCCACAACTGTTGATTTTTCTAACCTAAGACGCCTGATTTTGCCGAAAGAAATTGTTCAAGAGGAAAACCTTTTTTTGCTTTTATAAAGAGATATGTTATCTTTTACTTCATGAGTAATACTGATAAGGAATACAACGTGACTAGATCCCATTCGGAATAACGAATCAATCGATCATTTGCGTTCTAATCAGGGGCGTAGCCAGGATTTTTCCAGAGGTACGCACATTTTTCTGCTTTCTTCTCAACCCCCCCGCCCCCCCCCCAACACCACCACCACCACCTCAAAACCCATATATTTTTAATTCCTTGATTAAAGATGAGGTTACGTTGTAAGCCTAACCGTTTTTTTCTGTATATGACATGACGGTGTAAAATTCTTTGTCGCCTTATTGGGTCCATTGACTTAAAGTTCTTAAGTTGGCATCTCCGATTTTTGTTTGCAAATAACTGATTTTTTTCCCCACTTTTTGCCACTTTATTTTTGCGCAATACGTTGACGTAATGGTGTCCTATACTTCGACTACTGCGAAGGCAGGCCGAGCGTGCTATCTGCGAGGTATTTTCCCGCCTTTTCTCTACATATACCATTCTTGAGTCGGTCCAAAAATGAAGCATTCCTTTGTTTTAGAAAAATATTTTCAACTGCTAAGCAACAAGCAGATTTAAGTGAATAAAGGGAAACTTTGCTTTTTAAAATAATTATATATCATTTGATTTTGTTATTACTCACTTTTTTTGATTATATTTACTACATTTTATTCTTTACCCTCGACTGTGTATCTACTTTTTTAGGTACGCACGCTTGCTTATTTTGCCTCTGCTAATTCTAATAGTGTTAATATATATCTGTGCAGGTGAAAATGTTAAGATAATCAAAGTGCGAGTGTTCAGAAGATAATGAAAAAAAAAAATAATGATAAAAAGGTCCGGGGTCAGCGTTTTTAAAGATTGTACTTGACGGCCATTTTCACAGACTGCCTTCACAGACTGCTTTTCAATGACACCATTTGGTAAAGAGCTCCAGTCTGTGTTTGTACGTGCAATAAAATTGTGTCGGTCCTGGTTTTGGCACTCACTTGATAAATTTCGTAGGATAGAATTGCCTAGTGCCCTGTCGCCTTTTAAATAATATATAGGGTGGAAATGTATAAAACCTCGTTGTGAGTCGTGCCACTTTCCTTCTCGGTACCACTTTCGGTTAATAATTGTTTAGTATTGTTATTCACGGCCACGTCCTTAACATCTGATCGCGAGATGTTCCCTAATGCTTCATTTTCCACAGTTGTGAATACCTTTGTGTTAGAATGAGGACAAGGTGCGGTGTTAAGTTGGGGGGGAGGGGGAGGGGGGGCTGAATTCGAAGTTGTGCGCTTTTTGGAAAAGAGGGCGTAATTCCTCCTATCCCTGAGGCTTGCACAGACAACGTGGAGGCTGCGTATTCAAAATTTGAATGTCTAGGCTACCCGAGAGGACAAAGAAAAACCAGCATGTTCAGTTTTTACGCCACCATTGCAATAGGGCAGTTTTTCCCAGTTATTCTCGCGTTTCCCAGATAAAAGTGAACGAAGGCAACCAGAACAGGGGTGACAAATTCAAAAGA